ATATTTCGTCAATTAAATTCCACTTGATCAAAAAGGCAATATGATTACTTAGCTGTACCATGATACGCCAGCAACGGTAATTTCAAGTTGTCATTCAATATTGTATTTGACAGGTAGTAATTTAAGACATTTTAAGTTAATAAGTAGTGAAAGTAATTCCTGTTTTTTTTTTCATTTGTATTTTAGCAACTTCCTGTTCAATATTTAAGGTTCCTGTGATGTCAAGACAATTAAAGGTAGCATATCAAACAACTGCTTTTGAAAATCACAGCTGTGACCAAGTTGTTTTTTTTACTTGTGCTTTGGTGTTATTTCATTTTAAGGAAACTTCACTTTTATCAGTGCTTCCCTGCCAACTCTCTCACTTCAGGAACAAATTACATGCCTGCAGATACAAAACTTTATGATTACATAATACTGCTATTTACCAAGTAGGAGATTGATATGGAAAAAAATTATAGAGTAAAATAATTTATAAAATGAGTTTTTATTTTTCTATAATTTTTACTGAATTTCCTAAATCACAAAAATCTTGTGTTTACAGAACAACACTGGGGAAAGAAAACTGAGAGTAACCCTTCTGAGTGCTGAATGGAAAGCTTCAAGCAATGGAGACTTGACAACCATCAACAGAGAGCTAGCAATACAGATGGCTAAACATCCCAATGTGGAAGTCAGTGTCTTCTTACCTCAGTGTAGTGAAGAGGACAAGAGAGATGCTGATAGTTACAATGTTAAACTCATTGAAGCTGTTAAACTGTCTGGTTTTGAACCAGTTGATTGGCTAGCCTCTTTGCCTGATGGCCATGCTATGGATTGTGTTCTAGGACATGGAGTAGCTCTTGGTCGGCAAATTCAAATCATAAAGAAAAATCCAAATTACAGGCATTGCAAATGGATTCAAGTTGTCCATACTGCCCCTGAAGAAATTGGCATGTACAAAAGCATTTCTGAAGGTCAACAAATGCAGAAAACAGAAATAGAACTATGTGAAATGGCTGATCAAGTTGTAACAATTGGCCCCAAGCTAACTGATGCATATAAACGCCAACTCAGAGAACAAGATGTTCTTAACCTGACGCCAAGTATTTTCACTGAATTTTCAGATGTGCAGCAAGCTAGTGATGAAAGAAGAACATTTTGTGTCTTGGTAACTGAGAGTGGTGATGGTGAAGATTTTGATGTCAAAGGATATGGCATTGCAGCGAAAGCTATTGCTATCCTAAAGGGTGAACCTTACCAACTCAAGTTTGCCTCCAAACAGAGAGGAAAGGAAGATGAATTAAAATGCAAGTTACTTCAGTGTGGTATTGATTCTAATCAGCTAATTATCTCCAGCTTTGATGAAAGCAGGAAAACATCAGCCAACTTATTCTCTATGGTGGATATTGCTATATTGCCCTCAAAAACTGAGGGATTCGGGTTGAGTGCTCTCAAAGCCATATCCGCTGGTCTTCCAGTACTTGTCAGTGGTAACTCAGGAATTGCAGAAGCCTTAAGGGAGGTGCCTAATGGGTCACAGTGTATAGTGGATTCAGAGGATCCTGCAGACTGGGCCAGAGCAATAAAGGCTGTGCGTAACAAAAAAAGGAATGTACGACTTGCAGAGGCTAAGATTCTTCGTGGAAACTATTTGCAGAAGTTCAGCTGGGAGGAGCCTTGTGGTTTCCTTGTTGAAAAGATGTGCAATCTTGCATTTGGTAAGTTTTCTCACCTTGCATCAGGAATGCAGAAGTTTTAATTAAATTTGAAATAATGACAAAGCTCATATTTTCTGTGTTAAATATTCAATTTACAGGTTAGCAGTTTCTAAATGCAATAGGGCAGTAGTCTTATGGAATGTTACAAGTAAATACATTTAGGAAGACTGGTAATCCAAGGCTATAAGTTGATGCTAATGGCCATTGTTGTTAAGGGCCATTCCATTTTAGGAACTGCTTAAATAGAGAAATTTAAAATAATTATTTCATATCTAGCTCAATAATGAATTTTGGAGTGAGGCAACCCTAAATTGTTTAAAATAATAATAATCTGAAAGTTGATTTTGCGGGAAATGGCAGAGTGGCTGTTTATTTTTGTCCAATGAAAAGTGTGTGAAAATATGTGGCATGCTGTAAGATTTAAAATGATTTTATTAAGACACATTTATTCCCAACATATCACCAGGGTAACAAAACTATTTGAACCCAACACAAAGGTGAACTTGCTGATAAGATTTTTTCCAAAATGGATGTGCTTTGTAAATGAGAGCAAGGAACAATTCACGTAATGTCTGTAACAAAAACCAATTTATTTTGTTTTCTCTGAAAAAACCAGCTGTTTTTGTAAGCTTGGCTTGTTTTACAGTTTTTAGGGGCCCAAACTTATTATAATAAGTGCTGTAAATTATCAAAATCCTGGAAAAACACCTGAAAAAATAAAGCCTACTTTATGTTGCAGACATTACATAACAGACACAATGTTACGGAAATTACATTATGGACATTATGACTGAATGACTTTTATTATAGTAAATCTTTGATAAATTCTTGAGTACTTCATGAAAACCAATTTGTTCAAATTGAACAAAAAATCACATCCATGTTTACAGTGCTTTTTTTGATTTTTGCCTGAATAGTCCATTCACAGGAAAATAAGTGTCAAGTGAACACATTGAATTGTAGGTTGATTTTTTTGTAATGTCTGCAACAGAGTTTCACACAAAAATATTGGCAGCCTCTGTTAAAGAAAGGAAAATTTTTCCTCTGTTGATAGTCAATTACCCTGTGAGGAGTGTTTGAGAAAATTATTAATTCAAAACTGTGCAAAATAAGTTTGTTAAGGAAATTAGTTTCCAAAAAATTGGTCTCTGAATGTAAAGTCTGTAACATGGAATTGCCCTTAACCCTTTAACTCCCAAATTAAATTTGTAATTCTCCTTACTGTCAACCATACAATTCTTATAATGTTAGTTCAGAGAATTTAGTATTGGATCAACTAATTATCCCCAAATGATATTGTATGGCAATTGTAAGGAGAAATTCTGTCTTGGTCACTCATGGGAGTTAAAGAGTTAACAGTAATAACAGTTTGTATACTGCATGGGTACTATTCAATTAGAAGATTGCTGTGCGATTTGCTATGAAGGAACACTGGTGTAGAAGCCCTTTGAAAATGAGGACCTGCAAGAAGATTGTCATCCAATGTGTTTGAAGCTTAATGTGATATTAATGGTTCCAGTGGGTTTGAAGTACAATTTTAACTTCATTTCATCACTTATTCCACCTGCATTGTCCAGCCCCACTGAAAAAAATTCACATGGAACTAAATGCATCTGATTGTGAACTTTCCACACAATTCTCCCATGTTGCATGTCAATTTCTTGTAAACAACCTGCATTTTATCACGTATTTCACACACAGAGGGCAAAGTCCAGATAGGTAACAACCAATCAAGGAGCCCTCTTTGAAATATTATCCTTGTCTCTTGGTCGTTGTATCTTCACTTATTTGAGATTGCAATATATCTTTGGTTACGTTTTATTGGAGATACAACAGAGTTTCTGTTTGCTTTTCGCCGTAAAATTTGGTGAAATTATATTTTTGGAGTCACTAACTGTTGATGAATAAGTTTAATCTTTTCTCTGTTAGAGGAACGGCAGTAAGCATGGTCTCTTTTGCAACTGTCAGTTGGTCTCGTCACGCAACAATTATAATCATAATTATAATAATAGTATAATGATAGTATAATGAGGGTTTTTTCCAACCTTAATTATAAATTGTGTATTGAAAAACTGACTTTGGTGATGTATTTTGGATAAATTTCATGCACGTATATACAGATGGTCACATTTTGGTTTGCTGTGTTAATTATTATTTCTCAAAGAAAAATAACACAATGAATACATATATTGCTGTAAATAATGTAAAATAATGAAAATCATTGAATTATTGAATTAACAAATAGAGAAGCCTTGACTGTGCTCTGTTCTGTTATAAAGCACGCAGGAAGCGGCTAGAGCACGAAAGAAGTGTAGGGAGAAACACGAGACGTAGTCGAAAAAGTGTCAAACCATCAAAGTTCACCTTCTGCGATAGTTTACAAACTAAAATAGTTCGGTAGGTCGAATTTAACACTTTTGCCTGAAGTTTTTAAGTCTCTAATACAGAATCTTGAAGTGAAATGTTCAGTGAACTTCAGCCGAATTATGGCTCATAAAAACACGCGAGTTTTTTCACATGACAAGGTAGAAAACGAACTGTTCAGGGCGAGTGTTTTTTGAATGAACGACAGCTGAATTCACCGGAACATGAAGATCGCTTGGGATGACAGCGCCGCAAAACTTGGCTGCAGTGACAGATGTGACTTTCCACTCAATGCATCGGAAAGAATATCAGAGCAAGCTCTTATTTTTTCACTCGAAGGGCGGCCGATGTAGTTTTTGAGGCTTGCTGTGATGACCGGAGATCGCCATGATGAGCGAGCCGCGGTGGACTTCAGCATGATCATATTTGGTCAGACACCGTCATGATTAGAATGAATTTTAACAATTATGCCAGTTTGCTTATATTTTTTATCATTTCTGTTTTGTTCTGTTTTGTTTTTGAACACTGAACTTTATATACTATACGAGTGTTAGCTGTGTTCGATTTTTATTACCGTACGTAAGCTTGCAATCTAACTGAGCGTGAAAATATTTAAAACTCGGAATGTTTATTTTGTTTTTCCTTTGAGGATTTTCGTATCTGCTCACGTTTTAATAACGTAAATTACGGTGCCTGGTATGTTTACAAACCTTTGTTTGATTCTTCTGTTGCTACTTGCCGGCTCGCTTCAGTTCCGAAATTTCACTTTCAATTATCGGAAAAAAGCTAAAAAGAAGTCCCGGAAAAGGACGAACATAGTACAATTAGCAGATGGCGTGATAGCTTTAGCTCAGCTCTATGCTCTATACTCTCATAAAGCACGCTCTTTCAACCCATAACAGCGTGCGTTATATCCGAACTTTATTATAAATACATATGGTCACATGTTGGTTTGCTGTGTTAATTATTATTTCTCAAAGAAAAGTAACCCCATGAATACATAAATTGCTGTAAATAATGTAAAATAAAAAAAATTATTCCAGATAGGATTGTGCCTGATTCTCTACTTATGTGAAAGTAATTTGAGTTTGTTTGTGGAATTAACCCTTTAAACCCTAAGAGTGACCAGCATCTAATTTCTCCCTACAATATCACTCCTGAATTGCTCATGATGGTGATGAGAATTAAGGACATGGTCAACAGAGAAGGAAACTTTTGATTGGCAAACAAATTCTCCTTTTCAGTACATGTTAATTTGACCTGTTTTCATGTCGCTATTAAAAGTAACACCATGAATTGCTCTTTGTACTTTTCCTCTCAGGTAGTTCACCCTCCACCTTACTGTCCACTTCTGGTCGCAAAAGAAAACTGGAAGTAAGGCAGAGCACTGTGAAACTTCAGGAAAAGAAAGGTGAGTGAAAAGAGACCTTGAAGCCAAGGAAAGGTGAAGAGGAAGCTCAGTTTGAATTAATTTCTTAAGTGAATATGTTCAGTGTGTTCAGCTATGATGTCAAGTGTAAAGAAGTGTGCTTTTGGGATTAAACATTTAAGGTTGCTAGGGTCTATAGGGTAAAACTAAACTGACAATTATTTGAAATACTTTCAGTTCTTCATTAAAAAAGATTAATTTGAGAGGAATTAAAAGCCAATTTATTTATTTATGTTTAGATCAGTGGCAGTAGATGGTAAAACAGTTTTAATAATAATAAAATGATAATAATAATTATAATCATAATCATAATAATAGTATAATAATAGTATAATGAAGGTTTTTCCCAACCTTAATCATAAATTATGTATTGAAAAACTGACATTGGTGATGTATTTTGGATAAATTTCATGCACTTATATACAGATGGTCACATGTTGGTTTGCTGTGTTAATTATTATTTCTCAAAGAAAAGTAACACCATGAATACATGTATTGCTGTAAATAATGTAAAATAATGTAAATTATTCCAGATATGATTGTGCCTGATACTCTACTTATGTGAAAGGAATTTGAGTTGGTTTGTGGAATAAACCCTAAGAGTGACCAGCATCTAATTTCTCCCTACAATATCACTCCTGAATTGCTCATGATGGTGATGAGAATAAAGGACATGGTCAACAGAGAAGGAAACTTTTGATTGGCAAACAAATTCTCCTTTTCAGCACACTAGGAAATGTATAAGGAGCAGTGTGGAGAATATGCAGACTGATGTTAGGATGTAAAGGGTTAAGACAATATACATGAGATATATATGTGAATATCAAATAGATGTTTTGAGCACCTTTTTTAAATCTATCTTTAACTACAAGTTGGTATGTTTGTTTCTAACTATTTATCAGTAGAAATGCTAATATCTCTCTGTATAACTTTATTTTTAGGCATGTTGCCTCTTCCTGGATCTTCCACCTTTGATCCTGAAGAAGAACTAGAAGAGCCACATATGAAACTCCAAAGAATGGAAGGTGAATAAATGATGCTGTTAAATTAAATTTCATGGTAAAACTAATCTAAGAATACTTTTAAATACATTTAGTTCTCATTAAAAATGTTTTTTTTAAGGCAGTTATACCCAATTTAGTTTTCCCTCTCTCTGTGTTTTGCTATAAGGGAATATTGAGATGGTAGAGGCTGGGGTTGGTGAAACAGTATATAATGATAAACTGGGTGTTTTCAATATTGATCTTAAATTATGACTCAAACAACCGACGGTGACGTCGTGACACGGTATGTCAGTTAATTGCATGTTGATTTGACCTGTTTTCATGTCGCTATTAAAAGTAACACCATGAATTGCTCTTTGTACTTTTCCTCTCAGGTACTTCACCCTCCACCTTACTGTCCACTTCTGGTCACAAAAGAAAACTGGAAGTAAGACACAGCACTGTGAAACTTCAGGAAAAGAAAGGTGAGTGAAAAGAGACCCTGAAGCTAAGGATTAGTCAAAATTAAAATTCTTAGGTGATAATTAGAATGTTCTTAAATTCTTTTAACAGTTATGTCAGTTGTTACTTTTCCAAGCACAGTCAACTGCTGTTACTGCAGACACCATGGGGAGGGAGGGGGGTGATATAGTGTCTGCAATAGCAAGAGTCCGTAATAAAAGGTTACGATAGAAATTCAAATGTTTGCACCCAACTGAAGAATGGTTTCTTTGTTTTCCTTTATCATAAAGTTGCTTTATATTATGTGAGTCAGGATTTTGGATGAAGTATTTAAGTGTCTGCTATAGCAAGAGATAAAATAAGTAAAACTTTATAGCAACAGCAAGAGTCCGTTTCATAGGGAGTTTATTTCAGTCATTTCTTTACGCGTTTCCCCTGGGGTTGGCTCTTGTCCACTGTGGCAAGGTGTCTGTAATAGCGAGGTGTCCACAGGGTGAGAGTCAGCTAAAGATTAATCCAAATTTGGCATTGTCTCATTCTCTACTTTAGCTAAAGATGGTAATGAGTCGGCGTGTGGTAAAATACATAATAGTTGCTTCAAAGTATGAATGTATTAAGTTATTATGGAAAGTTGTTGTGAACAGTGACCGTTATGTGATAAATGTTTGAAGAATTATCTCATACAATAACGTGGCATCAATTATTTAATATAATTGTACACATTTCCTCTTATCGCAACAAAACATCTGAAGAGAGGCTGTGAATTACTGCTAATCTCTCTCTGCCTCTTTTACCCTTAGGTACTTCACCCCTCACTGTAGTACCCATCACTAGTCATGAAAAAAAATTAGAAGAGCCTTCGGGAAGGAAAGGTAAACAGAATAATCAGTTTGAACTTTTTTTTAAGTTAATGTAATTTAAATATGGTGCTCATTGGGTAAAGGTAACGAATTCGATCCTACCGACGCGAAGTCCATGGCATTCATAAATCCTGTAATGAAATTAATGTACTTTACACTTGTCACCACTGTATCGGATCGATCAGGGTTTTAATAACTGGGATGTGAAGATGTATCTGTTTTGACAGTTTTGTATGCGGTTTTCGGTTTTGATCGAAATTTTTGTCGGTTTTTCGGTTTTGGATGATTTTTTCTACGGTTTTGCGGTTTCTAATAGGCCCCAATGCCCCCCCTCGAAGAGAAATCTAAATAACCGCCATTATGAGAGCAAAATACTAGGACCTAGGTCTTCACCAAAACAAAACGGCTACTTTAGGAGCCACCAAGTTCGAAAAAGTCAATGTCCAACGTAATAAAATCGCAGTGGTTTAGGTAATAAAAATTTAAAAACTCGACGACGGGTGTCGGTTTAGAATATTAAAGTGTCCTTACGGAAAAATATAGGAAATGTTCATCTAATGCTCAGTAAGGATAAGTAATTGGGTTCCAATAACACGACAAACAAGATGGCAGCCAAAAGAAAATTATTCATTTTCATATCGAGAGTGAAAGTTTTCCAAAGAGGACGCGTCGGTAGGATCGGATTCTTTACCTTTACCCGTTCTTCGGGTTGATGAATTTTTTTCACCCACATGACTGGTGAGAACCATGTTGCACTCTTTGACCTATTGAAAATTTTGCTGTTGCTGTCACATGGCCAGGCATCTGAATAGCGGGGGTTTTCTGTCAACAAAGAAAATAATTAGAGAACTTGCTAGAGCACTCTTTGGTAGCTCAACGTACCATTTGTGATAACGCAGAGGCAGTTGGTGGAGTCTTCAGGTTTTCAGAGTGAGATCATGAACCGAAGGCTCCAGTTTAAATAAAACTACTTGTCGCAGTCATAACTACTTATGTCATGAACGTTTGAAGAATCATTGCAGCGCTATGATATTTAATTCATACAAAGTATAACAAAAAAATTTTCACATTGGGTGAAGCTAATGATTCATGATTCCTGTTCCTGTGTGGGAGATGAGCCCTCCCGACACAATAATTGAATAGATGTCAAAGGTGTCATGGTAGCATCCCCGTTGTTAATGTCAAATTTATGGCAAGGCATGAATGCTTAATATCTCTGTTTGTAGCCGTTCCTGCCTCTTCATTTTCCACCACTAATCCTGGAGAAGAAGCTGTAGCCTCTCAGCCCCACTTGATAAGGTCCACCACTGGAGGTTGGCAAAAACAAGAAGAGCTTAAGAGATGGGAGCAGAATATAGAGACTGTGCAGCCAGAGAAATTTGAAGGTGAACACCAAATCTTTAAAGAACTTGTTCATTGACAAAGCAAACCCAAAAGTATATATATATATATAAGTGAAAGAATCAAAGAGGACGCATCGATTCTCTGTTACTCAGAGTTTCGCGCCGAGTAACAGAGAATCATGAGTAACAGAGAATCGATGCGTCCTTTTTTATTCTTTCACTTATATATACTCAGCTCTGCTACCACAGCATTGAGCACTTTATGCCAAGGTAGACTCTACCCCCATATATATATATATATATATATATATATATATATATATATATATATATATATATATATATATAGAGAGAGAGAGAGAGAGACAGAGAGAGACAGAGAGAGATAGAGAGAGGGAGAGATAGAGAGAGAGAGAGAGAGAAGGAGAGAGTTAAAAAAAATGCGAGGATGGACAACTTCTGACGGAAAAAAGTTTAAAAAAAATTTAAATAAGTTAAAAAAAAAAAGTTTCGGTCAGAGACCTTCTTCAGCATACATATACATACATACATATATATATACATACATACATATATACATACATACATACATACATACATATATATATATATATATATATATATATATATATATAGGTATCGGTCGACAGCAATAATCAGTACACGAAAGATATCACACTCGTTATCTTCCCTGTCTTTCTTACGAACTGTTGCGTAAAATTCCTCGAGAAGTTTGTTTAGCGCCTCCGATTCATATTTTTCAATGCCCAAAACTTCCAAACTTTTGGCCAGTTGTTTGTGCTTTGTTTTGTATTTTTGTTTTTGGCATTCTCAATCAAAATTTTAATTAAAAAGGTTGTTATCTTCTCTTAACCTCGCCATTTTGTTTTTCTGCGCTTTTGTGACTCTCCCAACAATCTAATTATTTTCATCTTTCTACACTTAATTTCAACTTTTTTCCCTAAATCTCAACTTTGTGCACTATTTGGGATTCATTGACGTGTTCTCAGCCAATGAGCGTTCTAAAAATGTTTGCATGCATATTATTAAAATGAAATAATTTAACCTTTACACCAACCCCTCGCTGCGCTTTCCTACTTGCTCGGTCAGAATTTGATGTCAATTAATAGCGAACGGATTCAAGATTAACTTGCACTTTTTGGAAAGCCTAGTTAAAGCAAAACTCAGCTAGCGTGATAACCAATCGCGTTGCAAGTCAGGCAGTTCAATAACTCTTCGTCGAGCATTGGAAAAGTTAATACATGAAGGGTTTATGAAAATAAATGCAGGTAACGGTTTTCTTTTCAGCTGTAGCGGAATACTCCGATGCGTTGAAAGAATCAATAAAAAGCCAAACCGAGTACCTCGCTCAGGCCTCACCGAATATGTCCAATGTGAGAACAGATGACATATTCACCAACATTCTCATGCAACATGGAAGAAAACCAGTCAAAGATCTTGATGTGAAAAGAAAAGAGCGCCTTCGCCAGTACGGTCAAATAAGTGGAAAGCAAATTAAAAGCTCTCAAGAAATTTTCATCCCAACCGATGGGAAACATCCAGAATCTGTTCTTGTCACTGGAAAGGCAGGCATCGGTAAAACACTGTTTTGTCAAAAGTTGATCAAAGATTGGGCTGACAACAAATTGTTTCGATCCAGAGCAAATGCAGAATTACCTGATTTTAAGTTTACATACTTGCTCACGTTCCGTCAGCTTAATCTACTTGGGGACGACCCTGTTACCTTGAAGGATATCTTAAACCGATCTTCAGTGCTAGATGACCACTCAAATATCGACGACTCTATATTTGAGTACATTCTTCATCATTCCGAAGAAGTTTTGATTATCATCGACGGGTACGACGAGTGTTCACAACGACAGTACATCGCTAGTGATTCGGATGAAAAGTACCCAAATAACGCCAAAGAGAAAATGCCAGTAGCGGCACTGTGTGCTAAGCTTATCAAAGGAAAAATACTGAGAGGTTCGGTCGTCATGATCACTTCAAGACCCGACGAATCTGACGAAATGAAAGCCAAAGATATCTATTTTGACAGATACGTTGAAATTACAGGATTTTCCGAGCCACAGGTAAAAGAATACATTGGAAAGTATTTCAAAAACAACGACCGAATGAAAAACATTGTAATGGACCACATTACAAAGAATGTCAATCTTGTCAGCTTTGCCCACATTCCTGTGCTTTGTTTTCTTATGTGCTCCTACTTTGAATATACTCTACAGCAACCAAAGAAGAATAATCCTCTCCCGGTGAAAACAAGTGACCTTTATGATGAAGTGGTCAACATGTTTGTGAAAAAGCACGATAGAAAGAAAAGCGCCTCTGTCGAAGAGACTCTGGATGAATTATCAAAGCTGGCAGCTCAACTCCTTGAGGAGAGAAAGTTTCTTTTCCTTAAGGGGGATTTGAAAACTTTGAACTTACACGAGGTTGAAAGTCTGTGTGGAAGCGGTCTTCTTCATTGCGGTCCTCCTTTCAGAACATCTTTTTCTGCGACGACTAAACATTTTTGTTTTACGCATTTGACTCTCCAAGAGTACTTAGCAGCTCGTTGTTTCGTAAAGACAAGAAAAATCCCACCCGGAGATGTGTCTACAGAAGTAGTTCTATTTATGTCCGGTATTTTGTCCAAGGAAAAAGACAACGAATTTGTGGAAAAGTTGATTATCAAAAAGATTCTCAGCGTCTCATCGACAATTAGAACTACAAAGGGGCTTTTAATTTCCAAATGTCTCCTACAATACGAAGACATCGAGTTTGCCAAGGAAATAGTAAAGGAATTTCGCAACGTATTCTGCCCACGTGATGGATATTTTGATCTTTCTGGCTCCAGGAGGGCCGATGTGGACTGCATTACTGTGTCTTTCGCATTGATGGTTTTTGGCGAACTTAATGCAGAGGAAAAATCTGAATGGAGTAGAATCACCACACTTAACCTGAGTCTTCAGAATGTCACCAATTTTGCCAGTCTATGTCAAGCATTACAGACACCAACATGTAAAGTCACCAAACTCCTTCTATCTGGTAATCAGATCACCGATGCCGGTGTTGCCAGTCTATGTCAAGCATTACAGACACCAACATGTAAACTCACCGAACTTAATCTGTGTGATAATAAGATCACCGATGCCGGTGCAGCCAGTCTATGTCAAGCATTACAGACACCAACATGTAAAGTCACCGACCTTCCTCTGAGTCGTAATCAGATCACCGATGCCGGTGTTGCCAGTCTATGTCAAGCATTACAGACACCAACATGTAAAGTCACCGAACTTTATCTGGGTAATAATAAGATCACCGATGCCGGTGTTGCCAGTCTATGTCAAGCATTACAGACACCAACATGTAAAGTCACCGAACTTCATCTGGGTGGTAATCAGATCACCGATGCCGGTGTTGCCAGTCTATGTCAAGCATTACAGACACCAACATGTAAACTCACCGAACTTTATCTGGGTGGTAATCAGATCACCGATGCCGGTGTTGCCAGTCTATGTCAAGCATTACAGACACCAACATGTAAACTCACCGAACTTAATCTGGGTTATAATCAGATCACCGATGCCGGTGTTGCCAGTCTATGTCAAGCATTACAGACACCAACATGTAAAGTCACCGAACTTAATCTGTCTGGTAATGAGATCACCGATGCCGGTGTTGCCAGTCTATGTCAAGCATTACAGACACCAACATGTAAACTCACCGAACTTAATCTGCATGCTAATCAGATCACCGATGCCGGTGTTGCCAGTCTATGTCAAGCATTACAGACACCAACATGTAAAGTCACCAAACTTAATCTGGATGATAATCAGATCACCGATGCCGGTGTTGCCAGTCTATGTCAAGCATTACAGACACCAACATGTAAAGTCACCGAACTTAATCTGGATGGTGATCAGATCACCGATGCCGCTGAGAACCGTCTAAAGAATATTTTGCGAGAAATTTGCCTTTCTTATGATGAAGAAGACATTGACTAATAATTCTGTTTTTGGAAAAGGTATACGAAAGTTCAAAGACATAGGGTTGACTTGACAGTTCCAATAGTGAAGGCTTCAACGCTGTAAACGCGTTATCCTTTTGTTGTTCTTAAAATGCATTTATTACTTAATATTTGAATAAATAAGAGATTTTCATTAAAAAAATCACAAGATTCCGAGTACAATTTGGGATAAATTAGCATGAGTGAACTATTTAAAGGCCAACCAAATTGCATGCGCCCGTAAGGCGTGTGAAATTTTTTAGTTCTTGAAAAATATACGAGTGCATGTTTAACTAAGGTAACCCTAACCCTAACCCTAAGCAAATTGTACGAGAAAAAACGTGATTATCTGTTAATAATGTACATGCAAAACTCTGTTTTCCTCTTAGTCGTGTTTATTTCGCGTCATGTCTTAGTGGCTTGGCCGCTTGCCTTTGTGCTGTTGCCGGAGTATTAAGGGTTTCACATCTCTCAGTCATAAGACAGCGCAAGTAAGCATTTTGTGCGATCGCGAATATTGCCTATCATAACCGGTTAAGGGCCAGACAAATGGGAGGGGGGGGGAAGGGATGGAGTGAGGGAAATAGGCTTGATGATATCCGTCTTTTTGTCTCCCCTTCGAAAATTATTTGATGTCGACAGTAATTTAACCCTTTATTTACAATTTTAAAAGAGTTCAAGTCTATTTGCATCACAGAGAGAGCGTAATGCGCCGAGTTAGGATTCGGTCTTCTTGAAGTTTTTGTTTTCGTGTTATTTTCACGACCGTTCTAAATATTTCCCACCTTATTTTACGCTATGTGACTTTAGAGTAAACTTTGGCTTGGACTGCTTAGATTCGTTAAATTCTTTCGTTAATTGGAACACATTCCAAAATCCTCCCTTAACCTTTTGTGCATCCCTGCGACTAAACAGTTCCCCACCCTACCCGGGTCTAGTCATCGTTTAACTGGGATTCATCGAGTCTTTTATTCCAATCGAGTAGAAGTTTTTGAACTTGACATCCAAATGCTTAGATTATAGCCATTCTTACTGAAGATTCAAACGGATACTTCGGGTACTAATCACAAAAAAGAAGTTCTTGATTTTGTTCACTGTTCAGGAGAACTGTGATGACCGGTCTATTGACAAAAACCATCAACAGTCCTCTCCCTCTCCTAGCTTTGACATAACGGAAAAAAGGAACAAAACAATCCAACTATAACAAAGTGAAAACCTTTATTCCACCACATGCCTAACTGACATCACCAAAAATGTTTCGTTTCGTAAGTGGGAATTTGATCTGAATCACAAACAAAGGAAAGTGTCTTTCCTGTGGCGCGACGTCCAATGCCCGAATATACGCTAGCTGCGTTCAAATTACTCTGAATGTGTTCTTGTTATTTTAATAATATGCAAACGCGAGCTAACTTTATGAAATCCAGCCTATTACTTACAAAATGTTTACATCATCGTCAATTTTCTGAGGCATTTTTAATTTGAAAATGTCAAATCAAAATTTGTTTTGGTTGTCTGTTTCCTTATTTGTTTTCTTTGTCACTTCATAAACTGTTGAAGAAACTTCCTGAGCAATGTTTGAATTTCCAACTTCCTTTCGCAAAATGTGGGGCAACGACCCAAGAAGGTGTTTAACCTTACGATTAACCTCGGTTCTCCTTTTTGAATCTTTATGGCTGCTCCAAGGTAAACTTCAATGACCAGAACAACTTCGCCTCTACCAACACAGACATAGGGCCAGGTTTTCAACCTGACGATCATCTATCCCAAAATGACGCATACTATTTTTCACTTCAGCGAACCAATGAAGTTGTCTAAATTGTATTCTGTTTCATATTGTTCCTCGTCCCATAGCTCTCCCAAATTTTCAATCATAGTTTTGAGCGAAGTCTTCCCAGTTGCATTCGACTGTTGTGCGCTTGGTTTTTCTCTCTTCTTTTCTTGGTCGACTGAAAAGAGATCCAGGAGTTGTCCAGTATCCATGGTCAATAGGCTTGAGTTGTCTTGCGAGATCACTGTGTTGGCGATGTTCAGTTTAAACTTCTGGAGTCTAACAGAAAAAAAAAAGTCCGACTTGAAGACTCAATTTATAAAATATCTAATTGTATAGTATGTTTTCACTTGACAATTGGGTTTAGAAACGAGCGGACAATGAGAATGTCTTTCATAAGTTTGAGAACAAAGGAAGACGCGAAAGAGGTGTTGACTGTTCTATCCACCTTGGGGAAATTGGAAAGCTGACTACAAGTTGTTATTAAAAACTGGATCATTGGATGATGCATTTCAAGAGTTTTCATTGGCTTAGCCATCATGAGTTATGAGTCATCACGCGCGCGCATGAAGACGAGTGAAATCGGAAGTGTTTTTATGCATTGTAACATTCCGTTTTTCTTACAAAATAAAGTTAGGAAGATTTATTTATAGTTTGGGGCATATTTGATAAAAGGGTCAATCTACTCGCCCTTGTTGGATATGAGATGATTATCGCCAACGAGGCCCGTCATTTCATATCCAACGCGCGCTCGTGGAATAATTCAAAATAAGTCGAAATAAACAATAAAAAATGATAAAAAATACCACTAAATACAAAAATCCTTGAAATTTTCGCACAACTGCTTGAATATTCATCTCCTGTCCAGAACTATCAAATATTGTCGAAAACTATTATACATCGACCCAGTGGCGCACTTTGATTGTTGGCCATAGCAACAGACTGACCTGTAGCGGACTTAGTTCACAGTAGTAATCTTGAATGATCTTAGGTGGAAGATCTTGCAGCGCATCTTCTTTCAGGCGCCTCAATAGGAATGGTAAAACCTGACGATGAAGGGCCTTCATGGCCAAGGCCCCTAAGAATGGGACACATATGTAAATACAGACCACGGTATCACCTCATGTATGACCCACAATGCTATGAAATCTTACTGACAGGCAAACAGTCTTCTGCTAGAGGACCTTCATTTTCTACTTTTTCAACAAAATCATCACCGAGGAGGGACAACTCACTTTCTTTAGGGCGTGGTCTTTGGAATGAAAAGGGTGAGACTGGCGGGAAATTCAGGGTAAAACCATCTAACATTTCAGTCAAATACACGAAGTATTAACCCTATGATAGCTGAAAAGTGTGAGCGTCTTGCAGAGGCCGGTTTCTTTCTTTTTTACTGGTGAAGCACAACATCTATTGTCCTATTTGTTCAACAAACGCTAAGCCAGATGTCAGAGTGCTGAGGTGACTAACACGTGTATCTAGCGGCTTTGTGGAACTCTTGAGTGACGGAAAGAGGATTGGAGCTCTGACGTTCATTTTACTGTTTAGACTGCCTTATTTTTCATCAAGGACCAAAAGCTACGCAGGTTGTGTGTTAGCTACTTAGTACTCAATCCATGGACACTCACCAGCTTCTTGTTCCTTAGAGGATGATTTTGCGTCTCTACTCTGTAGAATGGGTTTACCAAACCGAGACTGAAACTGCTTTTCACTTCCGAGAAAACCAGGCATTAAGAAATCAAACAATGACCACAGCTCAAGGACATTACTCTGAAAATAAAACACGAGCATGTCATGAACGTAAAGCGCTGTATCAAATCTTTGCAAGACTAAAAAAGGTAAAGCAATACAAAAAAACTACAAAATTACGCTACCGTACGGAAAGATAACTCATAACAAAGGAGTATGGTGAGAATGAAACAAAAGTGAACGACACATTGGAACGAGCAAGTCTCAATTGTCTGAATATTTAATCTTGTGACGTAGAATACTTCAGAAACATGAACAACATTTTGCTGTTCGACAGAAGCTGCTGTTGACATTTCCTCACATTATACAAGGCAGAGGAAAATATTTATCCTCCTCTTCGTAGGTAGATGAAGAAGATTTTAAGATCTACATGTGGAATAGCTGTGGGAACAGTGACTCGTCATCTTCCCATATTTAAATCGCATAGCTTCATTTGCTTAATAAAAGCCCCTCAATTCGTACCTGGATTGGTGTTCCCGAGAGTATAAGTCGATGACTGGCTCGTAGCTGCTTAATGACTTTCGCAAGCTAGAAGGAAAGAAAAAAAAATCAAATTGAAAAAAGTGGAGCTTAAGCCGCCCACTATGTAGTGTCGACATCAATGACGATGCATTACAAAGAGCTTGTTTACGATTCCGTCCTAACTACTTAAAGGGGCCGATACTCGTAGGAGCTTCTTACCGTCCGCCTTTAATTTGAATACTGGACTACATAGCTACTGTTCCATTTCGGACGATTCGAAATTTATTCTCAAGCAACAAGCATCAATGAAACTTCAATGATAAAAAGGAGAACCTGTTTAAATCCTGTGAGAGAGATAACACATGGAAAATACCAAATACACAATATCTTCGTCTCGACCGGTTTTTTTTTTCTGTCAGGGAATTATCATCGGTCTCCTCAACGTTTGCTTTCTAAAGGAAACACCAAAACGTAACCTACCTTTGTTTTTCCATTCTTTATAATATGGCCCTCGTCAAGGACACAGTACTTCCAGTGCACTGATCTGTTCGGACGAAACAAACGAGACATTTCTTTGAAATAACTGCTGTGCCTTAACAATGTGTATTTTCAATTACCGGTACCCTTCAGTAACTCTCCTGTGGAACCTGTTTCACTTTCCGTGGCCGATAAAAAGGGGAACAACTTCAAATAAGAATTGGACAATAATCATAGCCGCGGGTTCCTACGGGCATCACTTTTCCTAATAGTTTAAATTGTTAAATCAAGACAGGCATAAGAAAGGCAAAAAAAGAGAGTACACCTGCAAGTGAAAACAACTTATTTCCACAGTGGTTTGAGTGATTACATTGAATATCATATTGCACAATGCATTGAGTTTGCTTTATCATGTACATATTTAGGTTTCAGAGTGTACAATCGTCAGGGAGATCCATGACTTATAGCATTAACTTTTACTCGACATATGAAGTAAACATATAAAGGGAAAGTACACACAGACCTGCATAATGGTTTGCTCTTCTTTCTTGATAGAGTCCATGATGAGCCTTATTATAGGGTTCAGTTTACGGGGAAGTTTATTCAAGAAGATCAGTGTGCTTGCAACACTTGCCTGAACTCTGTAAAAAACTATTAAAAAAACACCATTTCTTTATTTTGTGAGACACCTAATCCGGGAATAAACTCTTTATGCATGAAAGGGGAAAACTTACAAACAATTTTCCTAAATTTTGGTGCATTAAAAATTCACTTTATTTTAAATACTAAGTTCAATGCACAAGTTGATCATGGAAACAATTTTTATCAATTTCAAAGCCTGCCAAACTTGCACTTTCACAAAACAATCTACTTGGAAGTAAAAATGACTCTGTTTTCATAAACAAGTTTTCCCAATGCCAACAAAGGAGAGGAGCAGAATTACACAATTAAACTTGTGTAGATGATCCTACCATTATCCTCATATCAAAAGTGAAGCTGAACAAATCTGCTACCATTGATAGCAGGTGCAAACAAAACATACCTAATATGTAGCTTTTGGTATGCTGATTGTAATTGTCCTATGGTTGCCATTAAATGCCTTTTCTTCATCTCTGCACCCTAAATATAAATTGTGTAATGCTATGTGAAAAGAAAAGCCATTGCTTTAAAAAAACAAGGCATGGAAAATTCTGAAACCTGGCTAATCCTTGAGAACAGGATTAAAATGTCAGTGGCTTCTAAGCATTAAAAAATGAGTAGAAAAAATTTGACAAGTCCATGGAGAAATCAGTTTACCCCAACAACCACAACAGGTCTCTCTCAAGCCCCATAAAATTGTAGAGCCTGTGATGAAATTTTTTCAGAAACTTCCATGAAGATATCTGAGGCAAAAGCTTAACAGCATTGTCAACAGTATGAAAACTACGAAGTAACTTTCAACAGCTGCTGACAAATGATATGTAGTACCTTACCATGGGCAAATTGTACCATGATAGCTCCTTATACATTGTCCCAGTCAAGGCTACAGTGCATATGTGCTCATAAGATGTATAAATCTAAGTCAACCATTCCTTACTATGGCTGGATACCAGCTGAGGCATTAATTCCTTTCTCTTGTTATGCATTTAACAAGCCCTGAGAAAAGTAAACATTAAAGAAATACATACATATACAAGTTTCTGATCATGTCCCCATCCAAACGAGTCAGTTGTGCTCCACACTCTGAAATTACACTGAAATTTGTGCATTTTGTACAGAACTATTTACCCTCTTTAGAATAATTATTACCTACATTAAATTGCATTGAAAAGAACAACACCAGTCCCTTGACTTCTTTTGTCGGTGTACAGTATATCTTGCAGGAAGATCTTTGTTTCTTACCTGTCAATCTGTCTGCAGTCTTGTGTTGAGCATAGCTATCTTATCATACACAATTTGTTCAGATAGAACTTTGTTTAACTGTACAATATTTTCCTTCGGACACTTGCATTCCTTATAATGCAGAACCACAAATTAATGGAAGGCAGAAAATAAGAAATAAATCACACACTTTTTACTGTGAAGATCATCTAGAATTGGATACTTGACATTTTCCTATAATTGCTTCCTTTCATAGATCATTTAGAACATGCACAATAATTCAGTCTACATGTATCTATTGATAACAGAAGAAGGGTCAAAATTCAAAGTGAAATTTAATAGAGTCAACTATTACAAGTCGAATCCCCTTTTTTGGCCTGGTTTTTCCATTAACAGTAAATCCTCCAATTGGTGTCCAAGGAACATCATTTTCAATTCAGGATATAGCAGAGGATATTTATTACAGGGAGACCCTTAATCAAGGTGGGCGAGGGAGGGGGGAAACAGCTGCAGTGTAAATTTGCAAGGTTAGATGTGAGCAATTTAAGTTCACCAACGGTAATATGTGCCGATTGTTGTGACTTTGTACTTGTCCATGAATAAGGGAGGAGAGGTGGATTTGATAGGATATTGCATTTGGAACCTTCATTTTGTCAAAAAGAATACTATAAGAATCACTTTTTCCTAACTTCAAGGAATAACATGTTGTACCGAGATGTAACAACTTAATTTGTGTCACACTTAAAGAAATTCTACACAGCTATCCCAAAGTTCATTTAGTTTTGGCACTCCTATATCCATGCACTCGTGAGTTTGCAGTAATTTACAGCTCATTTTACCTTGGAGAAAGTAAAACTGAAACATATATGCAGATTATAGAAGTAAAATGAGAGGTTTAAGTTTCTTTTTGGTCATCTTGTCAGTGTACATTATATACATTGACCTCTGGTCACGTTCCATCAAGGATAATTCGAGCAAGAAACTAGTGGCACACAGGAGCATGTTATAAAGTAGACTTTTATTGCTATTAATTTTGATTTATACTCCAAAATCAGATGAAGTTCAGCTTCTTTACATTACACATTACACCATGGCCAGTGCAGTAAGTACAAGAATGATTCCTTGGGAAACAAAAAATGATTTCATAACCACGACAACTAACATGAACACTTTGTATGAAAGGGACTAACCATTAATCATGTAAATGTTGGTTGGGAGCTAAGAGCCTTTGAGTAATTAGAAGACAGGATTTCCATTCTTCATTTAATACATAAGGAGGTTATCATCTTTTCATGTTAAGCTCAGTGGACAATGGGGGTAAATGTGACAATGATAATGACTAGGTTATCCACAATACTGTGAAACAGTTGACTTGCAAACTTCAGAAAATTTATTCAACTGGTAAATGTCCTCTAAATTAGCCATAAGAAAAATACCGAAGGGTGCAAAATTAGACCATTACACCTGTATCCCTTTCTGTACTTGTAATGGTAACTAAAATCAGTTTTATCTCAATGATCTCAAATTATTTTAAATCATATTGAACTCACCCAATGAGATAACCATCTTTGATTCCAGAAAAATTTCTGAAATGTAGGTAATGCATACGATGATAGAATTCCAATAGATACAAAATTCCTATGCAGTTTTTTGGCAGTTTACCAAACCTTAGAACCATCTTAGCACAGTCAGATGTGGTAATGATAATTTAACATATGCTACTTATTGGGGATTTTGCATAGCCATGCCAATTTCATAGGCTTAAAATTAAAAGAACTTTGAAAATTTACCATTATGAAGGAAACAAAAAGTTAAGAGCATGATATTTAAATCTTATCCACCCTTCTGCATGGTGTTCACAGGGTTCATACCCTTTTTAAGAAAGAAATTTTACACACTTTTTCAGGACTTTTTTAAGACTCAGATGGATTTTCCAGGACTCCAAATTTCACCTTACACCCTCTCACTCCCACAATTTCAAAATCAATTCTCCCTAGAGTCTTACAATCACTTCTTTTAATGTACATTCTGAAAACTTTATTGCTTGAGTTAAGCAGATTTCCAGGATTTTCTGGGACCTGTAGTCTTTTTCCAGGACTTTCCAGACTTGGAAAATGTCAAAGCAGAATTCCAGGACTTTCCAGGTTTTCCAGGACCCATATGAACCCTGTGTTCAATCCCCCATATGATAATAAGCAAATAGAAGAGACAAATTTACCCAAGGCGAAACGATTCTTGGGGATTTCTGCAAGGCAATTGATGCACTGAAGTTAAGTTTCGCACGCACAGTGCAAGAATTTTAAGAACTTACAATAGTGAACCAGTCTGAAGCTGGAGAATGAGACAAGTGCACATGCTCTTTCCACGAAAAATTGAAATGGCTTTATACACGCTAGATTTCCTCTAGGCCTGCTGTTATGCGCCTGCAACATGGCCATTCTATACTGTGCACCTCACCTTTTTCTCTCCCTTCAGTCCGGGAAGGCGGTAAATATGGATAACGAAATAATAGACTCCGTCCTCTACTACTGGCTCTCGCTAATATAATGCCAACGGAATCTTACAGATCCATTCGACGATGATTTCTAGTGTGCAGAAAACCTCAAATTTGCCTGAATCCTTAAAAAATCCTTGACCTGTGCGTCTAGTCTGCCGCCATGTTTGATTCTATCGACCCAGTCTCCCACACGTTTAGGTGCCCACAGCTAAGGAACCTCTCAACTCGTTCTCAGATCACGATCGAACCTTAGCTCCATCTATCTAAATTATCCACATCGGTCGCTTTTAAACTTTTGATCCCATGAGAAACGAACTTAAATTATATTTGTGGAAAATTAAACCATAAAGAGTTCAGAGGCATAAGGAAGCTGCTAGGGTACCTCATTTTTGGGCAAAGCGCCATCATATGAGTACGTGCGAGGTTACTCACGCTCATTTACTATCATTTTAGCTCCTTGTCAGCGGTATAGCTTCAAGAGTGCTTCCTCATGGCTATTGTAGTAGCAGAATAAAACAAATTGATCATTAACAGCACGGATGAAAAAACACACAATGGCGCACTCTGAAGTTGGGACTGCGACAAGTAGCGAAGAGGAGCAGAAAGAACAAAAGCTTATTGATGTTATGTTTCTCTGTGACGAATGGAAATCTTCGAAAGGTGGATTATCAACTTTCAATCGAGAATTTGCTATTAATTTGGCACAAGCGACGACTGGTAGTATGAAAATTCACTGCTATGTTTCTAATAGCGATGATCGGGACAGAGAAGAAGCTAAACAACATGGTGTTAATTTAATCACAGCTCGGAATGTTCCTGGTTCAGCCGATCCCCTCGAGTGCTTGAAGTTTTCACCCTCAGAGCTCCCAAACCCACATCTGGTGATAGGCCATGGAAGAAAGCTGGGTATTCCAGCGTATTCTCTTGTTCAGAATACAAAGTGTAAATGGATCCAATTTGTACACGTCTACTGTGAGAACCTTGGGAAATATAAAGAATCTTCCACGGCTGCAGAAGATACAATCGAAGAGAACGAGAGGAAGCACAAGATGGAAATTGAGTTGTGTAAAGCAGCGGATGCAGTTGTAGCTGTTGGCTCACGTCTGCAACAGTTGTACAGTAGAAGTCTTGTTAGTGTTAAAGTGGAGCTTATTACTCCTGGGATCTTTGAAAAGTTTTCAAATAAATCACAGTTGGCTGTAGACAGATCAGTAGTCAAGAACTTCAATGTGTTTATGTTTGGCCGAGCAACCTTTGAGGATCTTTCCCTGAAAGGCTACGATATAATTGCAAATGCCATTGGTTCTCTTGGTAGGAAGTTCAAACTGACTTTTGTAGGTTCATCTCCTGGTGAGCACCAAAAAGTGGAACAGTGGTTTCTTGAAAAAACCAGCATAAAGCGCTACCAACTAACCATTCGTAGTTACTGCAGCCAACAAGAGGAACTTAAGATGATGTTCTATCAGTCAGATTTGGTTTCCCTGCCTTCCCGTACTGAGGGCTTTGGGTTGGTGGCCCTGGAGGCCATATCTGCCGGTGTTCCTGTTCTTATGTCTGGCGAATCGGGAATAGCTGAGGCTTTGCATAAAGTAGAAGATGGACAGTCTGTAGTTATTGAATCAGATGATGATGCAGCTCAATGGGCGCAAAGGATTCAAGAGTTGTCCAATCAAAGTCCAGAGGAGCGACTAACCAATGCAATGAAGCTTCGAGAGAACTACAGCAAGGTTTACTCTTGGAGTGGAGAATGTGAGAGATTTAAAGAAATGATCAAGAACATAGTCAAAACTTCAAATGGTACTGTATGTTATTTGGTTTTACTTTAATTTGCTCATGTGATGTAAATGCCATGCTTTTCATTTTATGTAGTGCACAAGAAGGTGTTAAGATCTAGCATCTGCAATCTGTTCTTTGAGCCAAAGTTGAGGACAAGTGTATGCATGTAGATGATAGTACAAGGAAGTCTGGTTGTTACTGGAATCAAATGTTGCTAATGATTGTAATCAAAATGTTAACTGCATTGAGAATGTTTTTCTTTTCTCACGTTTAAAATTCTTTTGAACTTCATTTGATGGGAAACAAAATTGTTGACCCAGAAAAATTACATCTATGATTGTCCATTCGCAGCCAGCTGATATGTTTGAAGTTAAACCTTATCTTATTGTAAAGCTGGCAGTACCTGTTGGCAAGATATTAGGTGAATCTTGTATTCTGATTGACTACCCAAGCAAGCAAGAAGGGATTGTCAGCTTTGATCCCATGCAAATAAAAAATTTGGGGTAGCAAACTTCCACCATTTGTTATTTTTATGAAAATTAGAATGTTTAATCTTGGTAATTGTAAACCTATCAAATTACCTTATTTTTAATTTGTCAGATGAAAAACTATCAGGTACCTTCACAATTGGCTTTCTTTCCTAGCACTCAAAAATAAATCAGTCCTTCTTGATTCCGATATTCTTCTCAAAGTGCAATATTTTTGCTGTATGATAAGTCTTTTATTGACCAAGCTTGTTTGGTCAAGATGGCTGGTTATTAACCTCATCTTCTTTTTGCATTTTTATGGACCAAGAGGGTCCAGATATCTTGACCTCACACTTGGTCAATATTGAATATCAACTATCTTTTGCGCTGAATGTGTGTTACAAGTGAATTTTAAGTACAACTTTAACTTAAACTTTTTGTTCCAAATCAACAGATGCAAAATTAAATATCAATGTTGATGTGAAAAACCTGAAAACTTCAGATCCAGACATGCACAGCACAGTTTCAGAGCCTGCTTTACATCAGAGGGCAACCACAGAGTCAGGCACATGTAGGAAAAGAAGATCTGATACAGAAATAGATGATCTCCCAGCGCTTAAAGAGAAAGCCTTGTGTTTAATTGCTATAAACTACCTTCAGACTACACCACCACAGTCAAGAGATGAACGTAATGAATTTAAAGAATACTTGAAAGAAATGGGGTTTGTCATCACAGGTGCTTCTATGGGAAGCTTGGTGATAAGAGTGGAGTGTGATTCTTCTCAGAGCTTGGAGAAATTGTGGGAAGATTACCTATGCAACCGTTTGGACAAGATGGTTCAGGATTGTTTTGTCACTGAGAAGATCTTGAAGGAACTGAACCTAACTGAGCTGAAGCTGAAAACAACAATGGATGAGGAAGAGTACAATGCATGCAGAGCACATTTTAAAAAGGATGCACCCAGAGGTTAGTAATAAGAGAGTAACCTGGTCCTTTCATTTATTTTTTGCAAAAAGTGTTTCCTCTCCAACATACAACACCACCAGGTTTGCAGAGAGAGATCATGTACTGAAGGCTCCAGTTTAGATAAAACTACATGTTGCAGTAATAACTACTTATGCAATGAACATTTGAAGAATCATCCTAGTGCTATGATATTTATTTGATTCAAAGTATGAAAAAAAATATTCATATTTGATGGAGCTAATGATTGCTGTCCCTGTGTGGGAGATGAGCTGTCTAGACACAATAAATACATAGATGTCAAAGGTGTCATGGTAGCATCCCTGTTGTTAATGTCAAATTTATAACAAGGCATGATGCTTAATATATCTGTTTGTAGCTGTTCCTTCCTCTTTATTTTCCACCACTAATCCTGGAGAGGAAGCTGCAGTCTCTCAGCCCCACTTGATAAGGTCCACCACAGGAGGTTGGCAAAAACAAGAAGAGCTTAAGAGATGGGAGCAGAATATAGAGACTGTGCAGCCAGAGAATTTTAAAGGTGAACACCAAATCTTTAAAGAACTTGATCATTGAGAAAGCAAACCAAAAAAAAAATTTTTTTTGGTTTACTTGGAAACTGTTTACTTTTAGTGAAAAGTTGCTTTGAAAAGTTATTGTATTTCTACCAGGTATCAAGAATAAACTGTGGCAGTTCACTAATATTTTAATGATCTTGATGATACAACTTGTTGATACTACTTTTAAAAAGCCTTATTGAATAAGGGCACTAAATGCTAAATTTTCTATGTGCATTTTTGCCCTAAGATACTCTGTACCCTGCTGCATTGTCCACCTCTGGTTCTAAAAGAAAACAAGAACTTTTTAAATCAATGAAACAGCAAGAAGAAAGAGTATATGGAGAATATCAGATTTTACTTCTTTGGGAAGAAGGTAAACTTAAAACTGAAAGTGCTTTCAGATCTTATGTCAGGTGTTATTTTGCTGAGGAATTCCAGTGTAGTTTTTTTTTGTCCCACTATCCCTCATAAAGGAGTGTTGATTCAGCTTTTCAGTGCAGCTGTATTCAACGATTTTTCCAGTAATTTGTTGGAGAAAACAACATCACAGAGTGTTCTACACAGTTTTTTTCCTCATTTTATTCTTCTTGAAGGGAGTCTTGATTTGCCAATATCATTAACGGATTAAACAGCAGTAATTTCATTACATGCACCTGTTTTCATGGATGATGTACTGGACAAACGAGACTCTCTGCATTCACAAGACGGTGATTTATTTTGTTAGGCTTTATTGCCAGTCATTTTTTGTGAGATGATCCGTGAGGCGTATGAAAGTGGAAGGTTGTTAAGCGTACATGTCAGTAACGTTTTGGAAAGGTGTTTTTTTTTTCACAATAAGGTGATTACAACTAATGTGTCTGTGTGCTTTTCCTCTTAGGTACCTAACCTCTATGGTATTTTCCACCACTGATCTCAACGATGAGAAAGAAGGTGGTAAGTTTCTAAAGAGTAATGTTTGAATGTTAAAAAAAGAAAATTTTTCTTAGTTCAATTTATTGAATTTGATTTGGGAAAATCATCAAAGTTTTGGGATTTTTCTCAAATCAAATTTAGTTTCACGTAAACGTTGAAGCCCAAGTTCGTCATGAATTTTATCTAATGGATCTTTTTTCGTCTCAAACTCAAAGCTCTAGTCTTAAAAGTAAAAGTTTAATATTTCTTATATTTGTACTATTCGACAGTCCCTTGTATCAAGGTGTTTATATGCCAAGCTTCCAAACCAAGGCGCTGATGGTAACGCCGATTAGTGGTGATAATTTTAGACTTCTCCCACCCAATTGTATGGTTAGTTAGGTATATGTGCTCCAATAAAGCTGAATTTTCTTTTTTGCCAAAGAAAACCGCTTTTTGATGCTCTTTCAAACGTGTACCAAATTGACGTTTGGTCTGTCCGTTTGGAAGCTTAGCATATTTACTCCGCTCACGCTTCTTTAAATCGTGATAATGGTGGCTTACTTCCTGACGCCCATTTACACCACGTCAGAAAAAAGGCAGCTAATTAGTGATCGTATGAAAGGACCTCTAGATCACCCCTGATGAAGGCACTAGACATTAGTGTCGAAACGTTTGGTCTATGAATTGTAACTTCTTCGGTTACATTCATTAAATCTATAAACCAAAGCTCTCCATAGCTCTCAGTCGCAGTGATCTAAACAGCTTGACCCTCTCTTTCAGTAGTTTATCGAAACAAGGAATCAAGCTCTTGTCCAAGACAATAACGTATAGAAATTGCAAGAAATTAACCAGACCTAATGTCAGTGGCAATCACGCACGTTTGTGAAGCCCTAACTAGCGGTAACTGCGAGTTAACCAGGCTGGATTTGTGTCAGTTCTCTTGGAAATGAAGGGATGAAACTCTTGTCTGAAGCAATAACCTCGGTTAATTGCAATTAACGTTGTTAGACGTCAGTCGGAATAACAGAGGAAACGATGGAATAAAGCTGAGCACTTGTGTACAGCATTCACCAGCAGTGCATTCAAGTTGTCTGGCCTAAACGCCAGACATAATCGTGCTGACGATAAAGGAATAAATTACTTATGTCATGCTCTGACTGATACCAACTGCAAACTAGGCATTTTAGACCTTAGAAGCAATTCAAGTGTAACTGTTCAAGGAAGGAAGTATTTGTGTCATGCCTAGACCGACAGTGATTGGAAAATGGAAGGCCTTAAGCTTTTCCGTTGAACTACAAAGAACTCAGCCCAGTCGCATTTCGCTTGTATTATAAGATGTTTTACTTGCAGGAGACTGAGATGTTCTTAGTTCTCTTTAGAGTGGTATAGGTACGGGATCGTCCAATTGTTTGTCTTACTATTTTGACTTTGGTTATCGAAAGGAATGGTTTTATTGACTGGCTTCGTGGCAGTCAAAACGTCGCGAACAGCAATTGTTACAGTCTCCTTCGTAGCCATTCTTCAGGACGTCTTGCAAGGCTCTCCTCATCCCAAAGAACGGCTGCGCCGGAGATTACGATCATTAGTGAATTTAGACCATCAGAAAAACCATTAATTGTTCATTCAATCAGATACAATCAATTTTTTGCAATATGGAAATAGAGCGCATTGCGATGAAGTGTCGTAATAACAACACCAAAGTAATTACAACAACCAAACTGAACAAAGGAAAATATCGTATAGAGTCAACAAGGAACCACACTAAACTACTATTTATTTTATCACCAAAAGAAAACTGTGTAAAGATAAAAAATCAGTATCAATAAGCTATCAGTAAAGTAGCAAAAGAATTTATTTTATGATTCTGGTCCCAGCTTCTGATGAATATGCCAAGAGAAAAAAGTTTTGTAAAGCAGTAGAAAGAATTGTCACGAAGGGATAAGCCCCGTTGAAATTGGTTTTTTAGCTTTAGATGAGTTCGCTTACAACTAATGCTAGATCGCCAACGACCTTGATAAGTTCCCTGGCAACTTGGGCAAGGTCAGCTACAATCTCAGTCAGTAGGCTGTCAACCAAGGCCAGTTCACCAACAATCCAAGCGTGTTGGCCTTCAACGTATCAAGGAAACTCGCTCAACATTGATAACAATAGGCTTTGTTATAATGACCCTAGAAGGCCATTTTTGAACAATGGCGCAACAGCTTCAGAACACATGAGGGATTTCGAAGTTTCCTATTAGCATACGAGCGGGAAATTTAAACGCTCAGAAGGGCTGAAGGAAAGACAGCGAAAAGAACATTTGAGGGGGGAAAATTGGAGGGAGAAACTTTCACTTTCTCGCTCGACGGACTATCGAATCACGACTTCGCCGCGCCCAGATTTATCTTTCACAGTATGAGAGCAGTTCAAATCTCGCGCGCTACGCAAGTTAGACTTGATTCTTTGTGTACATAATAGTTAATAGTAACAGGACTAAGTGGAGTCCAATTCGGTCTGTAATTATACGAGTGATAACAAAATCGGATGACCGCGCAGCGGAAATCCGATCTGTGTATCACGAGCATGATAACAAACTGTCTGATAAAGAAAAAAGTACGCAGAGAGAGGTTTAAATACACCGATAATTTTTCCGATTAGTCATGAACTCTTTCGCGTCGCTTCGGCCAAAGTCCTTCAGCGCTACAAATAACAAAAGGACTAATGTTTAATACTTAATGTAAGAATTGAGCCGGAACAATAGACCATTTCTTGACCATTTCTTCCCAATTATAAGCCAGTTTGCTGACAACTTAGGCAAGTTTGCCGACAACCTAAGCCAGTTTGCCCACAACCCAGGCAAGTTTGCTTACACTTAAGCCTGTTTGCAGACAACCTTGGCCAGTTGCCCACAACCTAAGCCAGTTCACTAACAATCCAAGCCAGTTCACTAACAACTCAAGCCAGTTCACTAACAATCCAAGCCAGTTCACCAATAATCCAAGCCAGTTCACTAACAATCCAAGCCAGTTCACTAACAATCCAAGCCAGATCACCAACAATCCAAGCCAGTTCACTAACAATCCAAGCCAGATCACCAACAATCCAAGCCAGTTCACTAACAATCCAAGCCAGTTCACCAACAACCCAAGCCAGTTCACTAACAATCCAGGTCAGTTGACGTTTAACTTAGGCCCGCTCGCCGACAACTTAGGCCAGCTTGCCGACAACTTAGGCCTGTTCGTCGTCAAATTAGGCCAGTTCGCCGACAACTTAGGGATGTTTGCCGAAAACTTAGGACTGTTTGTCGACAACCTTGGCCAGATTGTCGACAAGCTAGGCCAGTTTGCCGACAACCTTGGTCAGTTTGCCGACAAACTAGGCCAGTTTGTCAACAACCTTGGCCAGTTTGCCGACAACCATTTCATTTCATTTTATTTTTATTTAAACACGGTCAATTCATCAGCCTAAAAAATACATATCACATACGCTAGAATATTTAAAACTCAAACTATATGCTATAACACTAAAAGCTGTTTTCCGTGAGTGCCGTGCGTTAGACTTAAAGAATGTCATTGATCTTACGTTTAAATACCCCCAGAGACTCTGTGTTCCTTATATCGCATGGTAGACTGTTCCATAATGTGGCGCCATTGTAGCTAAAGCTTTTTCGGTAATAATTAGTGCGCGTTAATGGAACATTGAGCTTATTTTCAGAGTCCCTGAGGTCATAAGCAGAGTCACGCCACGTAAACTTTGAACACAGATACTCTGGAGCTAGCCCGTGCAGACATCTAAACATCATGGTGGCTTTGTGAATTTCCTGCTGGCGTGTAAGATTTTCCACCTTAAAAACTCGAGTAGCTCAATTGCATCAGCATCATAGTTAGAGAATGTCAACACACGGGCTGCTCTATTCTGTAATTTCTGCAGTTTGTCTCGTGGCGTTTTCCTACAGTTACCCCAAACAATGTCACAGTAATCAAAGTGAGGTTTTACTAAGGCTTGGTAAACGAGATGTAAGGTTGATGCTGGGATCAGGTGCCTAATTCGCTTTAGGGCCCCGATACCAGAGACGATCTTTTTGGTTAATTTTTCGATGTGACTATGCCAATCGAGTTTATCGTCTATTATTACACCAAGCGATTTCGTAGCTGTAACCTGGCTCACTTGAGTATTGTTCATTGTAATTGTTGGTGAAGCTGTGAGAGTATTCGGTCTCTGCCTTGACCCTATTAGCATGAATTCGGTTTTGGTCATGTTCAATGTAAGTTTGTTTGCTTGTAGCCAGTTGAAAACGTTTGCTAGGTCCTCATTTAGACAAAACTGAACATTCTCAAGATTGCTGCCCGCATATGTAAGGTGCGTGTCGTCAGCGTACATTCTTGGTTTACAATTTGATAAGCAATTTGGAAGATCGTTAATGTATAATAAGAACAATAATGGACCGAGGATGGTCCCTTGAGGAACGCCGCATGACAGTGAGTAGCTATTGGAAAGCAACCCGTTCACAGAGCATTTTTGTGTGCGGTTTTCTAGATATGACTGAAACCATTTGAAAGATTTGCCATGTATACCATAAGAGTTTAGTTTCGATAGAAGAATCTGATGATCAACAGTGTCAAAAGCTTTCTTCAAATCCAGAAAAATGACTCCATTGATTTTCCCGTTATCAATATCATATGCCCAAGAATCTGTCGCTTCCAACAAAGCTGTTACAGTTGAATGATTAGCACGAAAACCTGACTGATTTTGACATAGAATATCGTGCTCTTTCAAATAGGCATATAACTGTTCATAAACTATCCTTTCAAACGCCTGCGCCACTATTGGAATCACCGATATTGGGCGGTAACTGTTTACAGCGGTCACCCTGTTTATAAAGAGGGGAAACCCTTGCATATTTCCAGCATCTGGGAACGTCCCTTGGTTAATAGATTGATTGCAAATATCACATATCGGTACTCAAATAAGATCAGCACATTCCCTGACCAACTTAGCAGATATTTTGTCAAGGCCCGTTGCCTTTGACTTGTCTAGTTTATTTAAAAGTGAAAATACTTTATTTGGATTGGTGGGTTGGAGCTTAAACCGTTTATCTGTAGCGGTAAGATATCTTTGATAGCCACCACTATCGCAATTTATCTCACTAGCAAATTTTGGACCAATATTAGCAAAGTGGTTATTGAATTTGTTTGATAGCTCCAACGGATTAGTTATCGTTAATCCGTTCACTTTTAGTGACGCCACTGACGTTTTCCCAGATTTTCGAGAGATTAGCTCGTTTATAGTCTGCTAGGTCTTTCGGGAGTCGCTGGTATGCTTATTAAAACTATTTTGGTAATAAACTAGCTTAGCTGAGCGTATTTGCTTATTTGTTATATTTCTTTGTTTCTTAAATAATGCCCAATCGTTAGGATCATTTGTCTTGCTAGCTTTGATTTTTAATATGTCTCTATTATGCATAGAGTCTTTCAATTCAGAGGTAATCCATGGAGAACTCCGAGAACGAACACGCATCGTTTTCAGTGGGGCATGTTTGTCAGCAGTAGCTAGAAATGTACATTTCCATTGCTGCCACATCACGTTTTGGTTGGAAGACTCACATACATTATCCCAACAACCTAGGCCAGTTTGCCGACAATTTGGGCCAGTGTGCCGACAATCTAGGCCAGTTTGCCGATTACTTAGGCCCGCTCGCTGACAACTTGGGCCAGCTTGCCGACATCGCATGCTAGGGCCAGTTCGCCAACAACCCAAAGAAATTCACCGACAACCTCGGGCGGATACCAGTCGTTTCGTACTCAGCTAAGACCATTCGTACACAGTTAAGTCGTTCCATACCCATACTAACGAAGTTTGTTTTCCATGTTTAGCATGTTTAAAGTATCACACTTACCTTGAGCGAGGTATTAATTGGAAAGTCATAAGTTTAAATAATATACTGTTTTATTAAAGATATGACATACAACCAATCGTTTGGCTGCACCCTCGTCAAACACGGTCTCTGTACACCTTGTGCTGCAGTGGTCGTATATTCCCCACCCACGGCGCAGCAGACAGCCAGCAGTTTTAGTGCGCGTCTTACTTCCCGTCACAATCGTCCTCGGCTTTGTCACTCGTTTTTACTGCTCGGTCACCAGACGCTTCGGGGCGCACACAAAGCGCATCCCCGCAGGCGACTCACTGGGATAAAGAAGGCAACAAAAATTGAAGGCAATGTGGTTGATCAAGTGAAACCTAAGGTGTTCAATTTTATTGTGAGCTTTAACATGTTTAAATGGAATATTTTCGCTGATTAAGTCTCGGACACAAAACTGAAACTTACTTTTACCAATCAAAGTCAGCGCTGACTTAAATCCTTCCTTCTTAGTCACCTCGAGTCAGCTGTATGTGGTTAATCAAATCAGATAGACTTTCGATCTATAATACTGATAATAGTAATAATAATAATAATAATAATAATAACTTTATTGGTTTCGTACACTGATGGTTTTTTCAGAAACCATTACAATGAGATTATGTAAATACCAAAATGCAATATAAGCACTGAAAAGAATATCATGAGTACAGTATTATGTAGTATGCTTATGTAATATGCTTAAACTCTATCGACTTATTGAAATATACGTCGATGTTGTGTTTTGTGTCTGTGTCCTAGGCCAGTTTGCCGACGATTTAGGCTAGTGCCGACAACCTAGGCCAGTTTGCCGATTACTTAGGCCCGCTCGCTGACAACTTGGTCCAGCTTGCCGACATCCCGTGCTAGGCCAGTTCACCGACAACCTCGGGCGGATACCAGTCGTTTCGTACCCAGCAAGGACCATTCGTACTCAGTTAGTTAATTCGTTCCGTATCCATACTAATGAAGTTTGGGTACGGAACGGGAATGAAAAGGCTGTGTGCATAATCATTTACATGTCAAGTATTTACAAATAAATTGATTTAAAATCACTTTAGAAATAGTTTTACCTTGAGCTTTTTAAATATCAAAATGTACTGAAATTCATTGTTTTTAAATTTCTTGTGTGAAATGGCCACGTCAACCCTGCTGTAATGTGTTTTTTTAACATTGCTACCACATCTTCTAACAAATTTGTCTCAGCATTTCCATTCCAAGTTTTCCCAATGAAATTTGCATTTCTAAGTGAACTATTGTTATGAAATTACCTTAAACAACTTTTTTCTAAAAGCAACGGTTGTAAAAACAAACTCAAACTAGCAAACCAACCGCAAACTAAAACCGAGAAATAAATTGAAATAGTCTGTAAGTCCTCCCTGAATGATTGTAGTAGGAGATTTTAAGGAGGCTTAACTCAACGTCAAAGCAAAGGTACTTCCAAGTGTTGTAAAGACTCGCTTGTCCATACTAAGGGACCAGTCATTTCTTATCTCCAGAAGGGGGAGGGGGGGTGGGGTAGAGGTCGGTCGGAGGATTTTACAACACAAACCACCTAATCCCTCAAGGCTCCGTAGTATTTGAATGATTTCTCCCCCCCCCCCCCCCCCATCATTGGCAGTCGATTGTCTACAGTCTGGCCCAGAACCACGCGATCCCCCCAAAATCCTCTGAACAGCCCCGCCCGCCCGCCCTCTCCTTCCCCCTTCCTCCTTCGCGGCAATAAAATAATGACTTCCCGAAAAAAAGTAAAGGAAAAAAAAACAGATAGATGAACAAATCTTTTGGGTCGGGTTTACTTTGAAAGATGAAAAGGTTTTAACTCTTAACACCCTATCATCAGTATGGATGTTCACCATTCTGTTCTCTATACATTTCCTATGGTGCTGCCGAGGAGAATTTGTTTGACAGTTATGGACTTCCTAGGCTGGTGATCATTTCCTTTATTCCTATGACCTCAATATTTAATTCAAGGGTGATACTGTATGGAGAAATTATAAGTTAGTCACTACTATGGTATTTAAGAAGTGAAATACCGACTCCACCATGACATTCAGGCCACAAACTAACATACGAAATATGAGAACGAAAACCTCGCAAATTGTTCGAATGATAAAAAACAAATAAAAAAAGTTTGAAGGCTTGTTACAGTTATCCGATGATCATGACGTCTTACTTTGCAGAGAAAAGTTTTACAGGAAAAGTGGAAGCGGATGTAGGTGTTTCCAGGCCTTAACGAACAAAGACTTTCCAGAAATCGCCAGAGGACAACGCAAAAAATCTGTTAGAAATATAGTCGTCACACTCCCATCTTTGATTTCCAGGAACCAACAACCAGTGATATTTGTAAGGGACATAAAAGGCGTGGTAGGTCAATGTCCCTTTTGCCGACGGTGGGTGACCCCACTGCTGGCCTTGCCATTGGTGACAGACTCCAGTTATATTGGAGTTATCATCTTTCATTCTATTAAACGAGCCACACGCCAAAGGTCGCCTATCCGTCTGACCGCTGAAGTACTGGACTACAGCTTCACCAGAGCTGTTTGCAGCTGTGGTCACGTGGATCATTCGTCCTTTTTGTTTGTTGCAGTGGAATCTCAGCTGAGTGAAAGACAAGTGTGTTCTCAGTTCTTTCATGGCATTTTCTGTGATGAACAACGTTTTGTTCCAGTGGCAGTTGCTGATTTCACGGTATGATGACGCAATCCAAAGCTGTCGCGAGGACGGGTCGTCTACCACAACGTTGGAAACAAGAAGCCAGCCTCCTGTGCAAAACGAAGCCAACATCAACCAACATGAACTAAATGTTTCAAACATCATGAAGTAGAATTTCAGAAACTCAAATCCAATTCAGTTCCTTTACTTTTTTTAACATGATCGAGCATTTGCATCTCACCTCCGTCAGTTGTCATGTCACAGTAGACCTTTAAAGGGTTTCCGTTCTTCTCAGGGTCGATCCAGTACTCCCCATCTCCAACGGAATATCCGGAGTCCCGGATGTCCTTGCAGGAATGGCCAGGCTGATTGTAATATATGCCTTTGATAGCTACAGGAGAAAATGTGGTGTTGTCTTGTTAATCAACACACACCGATATGAGTGCACGAGAGCCTGAAAATGCTTAGTCAATGCGTGGCTGGCTCGTTATGATGGACCCGTTCACTTATTTAAAAGCTGAAATTCCTCTATAGGGTATCAATAGAACGAAGATATACCTTCTGATGATGGGATTGTCAGAGATATCTCACTGGGTCCCCTTTCTCGCTTGGCATTTTGTTGTGCAATCCAAGATGGTCTATTCACACCGGCGAATCCCACCAAAGCAAAAGATCCTCTGAACTCTGTCAGATTGAGTAGGTCATCGGTGGCGCCAACTCTTTTTAGAGCGTCAATCGCTGGTGATATGTATGTTGAGCCTTGATCTTGAATGGCGACCAGAACGATTTTTCTGCAATTGGAACAAACATTAATTTTCCGTGAGAATGGCAAACAAATGCATTTTATTACAAATTACGAAAAAAGGGCAATAACGAAAACCTCTACGAGGCATTAATGTGCTAATATTTTGAAATAAGTTTCCCACGGAATTAACCGAATCTCGTTTTGTGAGTATATTTCTGATTCAGTTTCGGATAGGAGTTATTGCGACAAATTTTCATGCGTTTGACATTGGAAACAATCCCGAACGGTCGTTAGAAAGAGAAAAATATGTATCTTTTAAGAGATTATGAATTCTTTATATATATATATATATATAAAAAGCTGGGGCAGATGTACTTAAAATGATGTGGGATCCATGATGTTTGTGCTCTGAACTATCATATGCTACATTTTATGGTAGTGAGATTACAGCGTAAAAGACCAGTTCCTCCTTAGAGGGTTGGATGATCATTCCCTTCCTTTACATTTGTTTTATATCAGCTTTCGTTTTGTTTTGTTCTATGAACATATATAAAAGCACGTCAATATGGCACATACTCTCCTTTGATTCCGTTAAGGTAATCTCTCAGGTGAATACCAGCGGAACTATTCTCATGAGTGTCAAATCCTTTGGCTCCTAGTACAGTACCTGCAAATGAAGAATGGTAACAAACGTTTCCCTTCCACTACAATCATATACAATCATAGCTTATAATGAAGACGTACATCTTCCAGATGACTGGTAGCTTAAAGAGATTATGATTATTCGAGCTGGAGCTAACCCCGCAGATTTTAAACTGAGCACATCGTTCTATTAAATTAAGACCATGGAGTCGATAGGGAGACAGCGGTGTTACCTTCTGGCGTATGCGCGGAAAACAAAAGCCCACACCGGTTTGCCTTTTTCGGGAAAGTCGTCAGAAGTAAGGTTTTACTACCTGCTTTTATTTCGCCCCAGATAAGTAACCCTTCATGATGATTTTGGAGTGCTCCAGCTGCTTCCTAAGTGCTTTACAACAGAATAGAGCACAGTCAAGGCTTCGCTATTTGTTTTATAAAAAAGAATCCTTTAAATTTCCCACGCATTACTTTCAATTTTCAAAACAAACCTTGATTTCAAAGCAAACATCAATGTCGTCAGCATGCTCTATACTCTCATAAGCATGCTACAATAAGCCAATCAGAATCCTTGTTAGAATGGTTCAAATAATTTGATTGGTTGAACAAGACTAAAGCCGTCAAAAGTGTCAAACCCTCTCAGTTCACAATCTGCAATAGTTCATAACCTGAAATATTTCGGCAGGTCGAATTTAACACTTTCGCCAAAGGTTTCCAGTTTTAATACGGAATCTGAAAGTGAAATATTCAGTGAAATCCGGCCGAATTGTGGCTCATAAAAACCCGCAAGTTTTTTGTCATGACAATTAGAAAACAAACTGCTCAAGGCGTGTGTTTTATGTATGAATGACAGCCGACTGATTCGCAGGAACATGAAGATTGCTCGAGATGACAGCGCCGTTAAACTCGGCTGCTGTGACTGATGTGGCCATCCACTCAATGCATCGGAAAGGATATCAGAGCAAGCTCTTAGTTGTTCACTCGAAGAGGGGCTGATGTAATTTCTGAGGCTTGCTTTACTGCGATGATCGGAGATCGCCATGATAAGCTAGCTGCGATGGACCTCAGCATGATCGGAATCGCTCTGAGACCGTCATGATTTGTATGAATTGTAACAGTTATGCCGATTTGGCTAATTTTTCATCATTCATGTTTTTTTTATGTATCGTTTTTAAACACGGAACTATATATCATATACGAGTGTTAGCTGTGTTTGGTTTTTATCACCGCACGTAACTAAGCTTACGTATAATCTAACTGAGCGTGAAAACCTTCAAAACTCAGGCTGTCCCGATTTCGTTTTCTCTTTGACGATTTGTCTCTGCTCACGTTAAAATATCGTCAATTGCAGCGCCTGGCATGTTTACAAACCTTTGCTTGGCTCTTCTGTTGCTACTTGCCGGCTCGTTTGTTCCGAAATTTCACTTCAATTACCGAAAAAAAGCAAGAGAAAAGTACGGGAAATGGTGGAACATAGTACAAATTAGTGGATGGCGTGACTCAACTCTGTCTTTTGTACCCTGATAGAGCGCTCTTTCAACAAATGACAGCGCGCTTTATCTCCGATCTTGATTATAATACCTGTCATAGCGTTGATAACAACCACGTTATGGCCTCTGATGTGTGGAGAATAATCTTTTCCATTCACTTTGATGTAAGCAATGCCACAAGTGTTTGCTGTAATTCCCAGATCCTCGCAACCTTCACTGCGGATGAATACTCTCACCACGGGAGCTTATTATTAAAATCATGAAACAAAAATGAAAGCTAATTTTCCTTTTTTTCAACCATAAATATAAATGAACTTATTATAAAGAACAGGAGTCTTGGTTTCACTCTGCCACAACATACAGTGAGTAGAAGTAATGTTTGTAATGTTACTTTATCGCCCAGTATTATTCATAATATTTATTTCTATATCTAGGTGGATATAAGGGCATGTCTGAGAAAAAAAATGTTTTGCTTAAAGGTGAAATATTTTGGTGACAGAGTTAATTTTGGATACTTTTGGAGTCGCAAATGTGTTATACTTTAATTAAACATCCAGCCGGCCGGACCGCAACACAACAGTTTTATGCTTCACATACGCCTCCGTTTGTGAGATTCTGCATGTGTTCTCTCGCCACTTTATGTTTTGTTTAAGTTTGTTCTCGACAAGTTCCGCTAACTTCATGACTCATTTATAACAAAGTCAGTAACATTATCCTAAGCCTCGAGCTGTCAAAAGGAGGCAACCAGTAATGATTATGCAGTTTAATTTGTCTAAAAAGCTGTGAATACGTAACAGGCAAAGTCTTCTGACCACTTACGCATTTGGCACCGTGTTCCTTGGTATCCCGGATGACACTGAGCGCTCTTAGTGGGTCGCCTTTGCTCACGAGAAATATCCATGCAGGAAGCCTGACACAATTAATACAAAAATAAGGAAAGTTGATTTGTTTCCCGTTGCTTTATTCACATGGCATCGAGACGAAAAGAAAATTTACTTATCCATCTCATTCTTGGAGAATTTTTTCAATTGTGTTCTCTTTATACAGTACAAGGTGGATTACATCCATTTAGCTCTGGTCACGTTAGAAACGTGAAAGTATTTTTGATGAAGAATAGCCGTTCAAAATAAAATATTTTTTCAAACTAAAGAACTAGTAAGGACGTTAATACAAATGCCGGGAACATACCAAAAACATTGTCAACCTAAGACTAAGAGATGAAGGATACCTAATAATTTGAATCAGGCTCCAAAGTTATTATTGACAGGTGACATCATCAACTCGTACTTCAACAAGTTATCTTCGCAGAAACACAGCGGTTATAGGTATATAACACATATGTTTAACTTATGTTCTACGAAGAAATGAAACTACCCATTTTTGTTTCGCCCTCAACAGCCAAATTCAATGGCTGTGTGAAATAAAGAGCTATGTTTTTTTGCACTCAGGAGGCTAGAATTGTCATTCCAATCACGCTAAAAACTATTAATTTACCGAATATCTTCGGCATTTTGGCAATTATATACGGTAACCATAAAACTTAGTACCAACCTGAGCAGAGCTATAGTATGTAGATCCTTTCCTTTTTCTAAAATCCTCTGGCTTCATCTGCCGCGTTTTATCATTCAACTCACAGATACGTTGTCCAATACTGTCACCGGGGTGAACATTGATCGACTTGCAACGGTTGTTTCCCATACATTTTAACTGACATTCAAACTCGTCCACAACAACAGTCGTATACACAACATGACCTGCTAATGCATGATCTGAAAGGCGAAACAAATGGACTGATGCTTTTTCACCTGAATATATGTAAAACAAAGCCTAAGAATCAAGAAGATCCTAATCGTTCAGTTTGAGTTTTAACTCACCCAGTTGAGTTTCGAAAACGCTTCCACAAAAGTCTCCTTTTGCCAGGGCAAACAGGATTCCGAGGACGATTTGAAGAGTCACAATGGAAAACTGGAGCAGCCATAAAACAGTCATTCTACTTTATTTCTGTATTATCGCTCTTCTTATCCAAGCGGAACTTCTTCACTTGATAAACATATTCTGCATTTAAATCAGCCTCCCTTCATTCGTCTTAATTTGTTTCCCTGTAGAAATAGGGCCCCTCCTTATTGGACGACAATTTCAATTAAAAATAAACATTATTTATAATTCAAAGCTGTTTTTCATCTTAGTTTTGGTCCTTTAATTGCTTTTGGGGGCTTATTTTCTCTCTTTTTAAACAAAGGTGGCTTTTTTTTCCATAAAATAAAATTGTGAGCTTTGAAGGAGTTAGCACACATCGAAATTTTCACATTTTGAAACAACCTTAATGGTTGGAAAGGTCCAAAGTATTTGATTGGCTATCGAGAAAACAGCTGTCAATCACAAAGTGAACTTCACCCATAATATCAATTTTAATTGGCTTTTGGAGTGGAGATCCATCAATTTATCGTTAGTTTTTACTTAAAAGTGAAAAATTAAGAAACTTAATGTCTCTTGTCCGGTGGGATGGAATCCAGCCAAGTTTTGGCTCACGAAAACGTACACTTTTTTTGGTAAACAATTACGAAACAAAGAGCTAAAGACTTGCGGATGAAAAATGCAGCAAGATTGACCGAACCTGCGACAAGTGGGAAGATTTGAAAGCTGCCTCCCTGATTTTAACTCGAGTATAATAGGAAATGTTAGAGCGACCCTTCAGTTGATAACTCGTTAGAAATTCAACTTGACAACGCATGTAGATAATCCATAATTTATGACCATGATATAAAATTCATTAGGTATGACATATTGGCTATTTTGTAATAAGTTCAAACACAAATGATAAATGTGGTATCCCGTGAAAACAATTATTTCGGAGTAGAAAATGTTATGAGAATCTTGTGCAGGACCAGTGAGGCTTCGACGTGAATGTGTTTAAAATTATGCCTGATGACAAATTCAGTGTATCAAGATCTATGTTCCCGCAAGGTCACTTTTTTCTTTTTCTCTCTGTTTTTCTGATCTGTATTGCTTTTTCAAAAAGAGTGGTAATGTCTGTACTTGAGTCATATAGCTAATCAGACTGGAGCTTATCCCAGTTTCTGTTCTGTCCTCTCCTTTGCCGTTCATTCATCAACAACAGACGTGAAAGGCGATTGACGTGTCAGCAGCTGATTGGCTATATCAAACACACCTGAAAAAATATCGTATTTTTCTGCGTGTGTTGTTAGAGCTTTTCAAGGCTATGAAAGTAGGTGTATTTGAGTGTCGCTTTTAGGTCTTAGCGAACAAAGACTTTCCAAAAATCATCAAATGACAGCGAAAAAAATTCTGTATGAGAGTTCCTCTTGAAGTCGTCGCACTCCCATCTTTGATCCCCATTTGGAAAATACCAGTGATTAGCACCTGGTAAATATAAAGTAGAATCGTTTAACCTTTCCTGTACAACTTTTACTGATCCCCACTTCATGTCTTTCCATTAATGACAACTTGCGGTTGTTTTGGAGGAAAACGCAGCTGTGAGTTGAATAATAAAACACGGCAGATGAAGCCAGGTCGTCTTCAAAAGAAGAAAGGATCTAAATATTATAGCTCTGTTCAGGTGGGTTGTGGGTTAAGCAGGTTTGTTGATAACTTTCCTATCTTATTTACTGCCAAGAACAATTTTTCGGAACTACTGCTATATACTAATGAAAACTGAGAGAATCATTTGTTATTGGCTTACATCAGGCAGTTTAAAATCTCGGGCAAACGTTTTTCCAGCGAGTCTTAACTATCTCCATCACTTTGCAATTCCTGTTTTGCAACAACCTTCGAACCAAAAGGTTTCATTTCCGCTTGTATAGCATGTTCTGAGTGTTGACAAGAGTGTAAAGGTAACGTCAAATTTGCTTTTAAAAATCGCACATTAAGCGTCTGAATACTGATAACGAGAAAACAAGCTTTGTTTACTCTGAACAACAATCGATGGCAGAACGGGAAGAAAAAAGTTCACCTTTCTGTTTTACTAATCAGGCCTCCTGCATGGATGTTTCTCGCGGGCGAAAACAAACAACTAAAAACGGCCAGTGTCATCCAGGATACAAAGGAAAACATTGTGAAACACGTAAGCGATGAGACTGTTATAGAAAAGTTATATTGTAGACGTTGTCAAACAAAATACATGACTATTAAGTGCAATGAGGATGGTGGAAATTTTCAATTGGGGACTCCTTTTTAAAACGCATTTCTGAAGATAAATGTGGACCGTCGTGTTCAAGTTTGCGTATAGCTTTCTCCCCTTTTTTCAGCGTCTTACCTGGTGTGTTAAGATTAATAAACCCATCATGATCAAACCTCATTTCTTTTTCAGCTACCAGAGGCTTATATTACAATCAGCCTGGTCATTCCTGTAAGGACATCCGAGACTCACGTTTCTTTCAAAAAACGGGAAGTACTGGATCGACCCTGAGAAGAACGGAAAGCCAATAAAGGTCTACTGTGACATGACAACTGACGGAGTTAAAAATACTTTGGAAAATAAAAGACATTCAATGAAGTTGTTGTTGAGTTAGGTACATACCGCAATAAAAATTGGAACAGGCATCGCGTCTAATATCCAGATTTCATTCGTTTTTTCCAGGAGGTTGGCTTCTTGTTTCCAACGTTTTGGTGGACGACCCGTCCTCGCGACAGCTTTGGATTAAATCTTCATACCGTGAAATCAGCAACGGTCACGAAAATAAAACGCTGTTTATCACGAAGGATGCCATGAAATAACTGAGAACACACTTGTCCTTCACTCAGCTGAGATTTCATTGCAGTAAACAAAAAAGAACGTACAATCCACGTGACTACCGTTGCTAACAGCTCTGGTGAAGCTGTTGTACAGTATTTCAGCGGTAAGACGGATTCCCGCCCCTTAGGCTATTGCTGTCACCGGGATGAACATTGATCGACTTACAGCTGCTATTTGCCATACATTTCAACTGGCATTCAAACTCGTCCACAACAACAGTCGTCTGAATAACATGACCCACCAAGGCATGGTCTGTAACGAAAAAAAACGTTCTTTCTAGTAACTACTAGCTATACAAAGAGAGTATAAGAATCGGTGTTTTCCTCTTTTCTTTTTTTATTTAGAAGTATTTACTCACCGACTCGAGTTTCAAAAACGCTTCCACAAAAGTCTTTGTCTGCTAGGACAAACAGAATTCCCAAAAGGATGTTTAGGCTAACAATGGCAAACTGGGTCAGCCATAAAACAGCCATACTGAAATTGGCCGGTTTATCTTTCCCAGGTGGAGCTCCTTAGTTTTTCTTGTTGCATATCAGCTTTCTTATATTTGCCTTCCTCTGAGGGTCATTGACTCACAATTGAAATACTTCTTATCTATAATTCATGATTCCTTTTTATTCATCGCTTTAATTGCTCTTCAGTTTGCACGAAAATTTCTTTTGTTCGTCGCAGTAATAGAAGAGTTTGTTTCTACTTTTATCATTATCATTGATAATCTGATTTGCCAAATCAACAGAGTGACTTTTGTTTTGAGGAATTTGCAATTAAAGAGTCGACTTTCCTCACAAGAAACATCCACACAGGATGCATGACATAATTTATACAAAGTAAAAGAAAATTGATTTTTTCACTTTGTTTCCATTGACATGAAATCGAGAGGACAAAAACTCATCCATTTCATCCTTTGAATAACTTTTTTTCGCTTAGTTAAGTAACAAGTGGATTACATCCGTTTAGCTCTGATCACCTTATATCGCGTGAAAGTTTTCATAATCACTAATAGCCGTTCAAAATAATATACTCTGTTTAAAGTAAAGAACTACTGAGAACGTTGATACAGATGCCGAGAACATAAAACGTAATAAACCTGGGAGTTAAAGATAAAGCGAACCTACTAATTTGCATCAGGCTGCAAACTTTTTGTAAACAGGTTACACTACCAACTTGTGCTTCAACATGTTATCTTTGCAGAAACGAAACGAATATATATATATAGTTTATATATACATAAGTTAAATAATTAAAGAGGACGCATCGATTCTCTGTGACTCTGAGTCTCGCGCCTAAGGGCTCGTCAGACAGAACTGAAAAGTTGAAAAGTTCTGTCTGTCTGCTCTGCTACCACAGCATTAAGCACTTTATGCCAAGGTAGACTCTACCCCCACATTCGTTTATATATATATATATATATATATACATACGACACCTTAAAACGTTACGTCCGTCCAAATAAACATTATTTTGTCATTCTCAGCTCTCCGATCGATAAATCGAAAAAACCGGTAAAGTTCCGAATTTCTCTGCCTTGTAACCCATAAAATTAACAAGATCGTTTTATGCTCAATAAGAAAGGCGAAATGAAGACCCCCTATTTTTGCTTCGCCAAATTAGTTAGAGTTATATTTTTTTAGTACTCGAGAACTAAAATTCCTCTCGGCTTCGCCTTGAGCAGCTCTTACGCTTTTTTTCGAGAACGTATCTGTTGAATTATAATTAACAAATAGAGAAGCCTTGACTGTGCCCTGTTTTGTCGTAAAGCACGCATGAAGCGGCCACAGCACCAGAGAAGTGGGGAGAAACACGAGACGTAGACAATCTGAAAGTGAAATGTTCAGTGAAATCCGGCTAAATTGTGGCTCATAATATCACGCAAGTTTTTTCACATAACAATCAGAAAACAAACTGCTCAAGACGTGTGTTTTATGAAGGAACGACAGCCGAATTTACAGGAACACGAAGATTGTTTGAGATGACAGCGCCGTTAAACTCGGCTGCTGTGACTGATGTGGCCATCCACCCAGTGCATCAGAAAGGATATCAGAGCAAGCTCTTTGTTGTTCACTCGAAGGGCGGCCAATGTAATTTCTTAGGCTTTCTTCACTGTGATTATCGGAGATCACCATGATGGTTTAGCCGCGATGGACCTCAGCGTAATCGCAGTCGCTCTGGCACCTTCATGATTAGTATGAAATTTAACAGTTGTGCCAGTTTGGCTATATTTTTCATCGTTCCTGTTTTTTCTGTTTTGTTTTGAACACAAAACTTTGTATAGTATAGGAGTGTTAGCTGTGTTTGTTTTTATTACCGTACGTAAGCTTGCAATCTAACTGAGTGTGAAAACCTTCTGAACTCGGACTGTCCACTTCGGTTCTCTTTGAGGACTTTCGTCTCTACTCGCGTTATAACAACGTAAATTACGGCGCTTGGCATGTTTACAAACCTTTGTTTGTAAGGTCGATTTCTTGTAATCCTTAATAACAAAGGGAAAAAAATCACACTCACCTTGAGCGTGGTACTAATTGGAAAGTCATAAGTTTAAACAATATACTGTTTTATGACAGATATGACATACAACCAATCGTTTGGCTGCACCCTCGTCAAACACGGTCTCTGTACACCTTGTGTTGCAGTGGTCGTATATTCCCCACCCACGGCAAAGCCGACAGCCAGCAGTTATGATTTGCTTCTTATTTCCCGTCATAATCGTCCTCGGCTTTGTCACTCGTTTTTACTGCTCGGTCGCCTGACGCTTCGGGGCGCACACAAAGCGTATCCCCGCAGGCGACTCACTGGGCTAATATAGGCAACAAAAACTGAAGACAATGTGGTTGATCAAGTCAAACCTAAGGTGTTCAATTTGATTGTAAGCTTTAACATGTTTAATTGGAATAATTTTGCTGATTATGTCTCGGACACAAAACTGAATTTTATAATGCCTTCATACTTTTCTAATCAAAGTCAGCGCTGACTTAAATCATTCCTTCTTTAGTCACCTCGAGTCAGTTGTATGTGGTTGATCAAATCCGATAGACTTTCGATCTATAATAATAGTATAATAGTAATAACTTTATTGGCTTCGTACAATGATGGTTTTTTCAGAAACCATTACAATGAGATTATGTAAAAACCAAAATGCAATATAAGCACTGCAAAGAATATCATGAGTACAGTATTATGTATTATGCTTATGTAATATGCTTAAACTCTATCGACTTATTGAAATATACGTTGATGTTGTGTTTGTGTCTGTGTCCTAGGCCAGTTTGCCGACGATTTAGGCCAGTGTGTCGACAACCAAGGCCAGTTTGCCGATTACTTAGGCCCCCTCGCTGACAACTTGGGCCAGCTTGCCGACATCCAATGCTAGGCCAGCTCGCTAACAACCCAAAGAAATTCACCGACAACCTCGGGCGGATGCCAGTGGTTTCGTACCCAGCTAAGACCATTCGCACACAGTTAGTTAAGTCGTTCCGTACCCACACTAATGAAGTTTGGGTACGGAACGGGAATGAAAAGGTTGTGTGTGTCTGTGCGCATAATCACCTACATGTCAAATATTTACAAATAAATTGATTTAAAATCACTTTAGAAATAGTTTTACCTTGAGCTTTTTAAATATCAAAATGTACTGAAATTTATTATTTTGAAAATTTCATGTGTGAAATGGCTACGTCAACCCTGCTGTAATGTGTTTTTTTAACAATGTTACTACATCTTCTAACAAATTTGTCTCAGCATTTCTATTCCAAGTTTTCCTAATGAAATTTTGCATTTCTAAGTGAACTATTGTTATGAAATTACCTTGAACAACCAATTTTTTCTAAAAGCAACGGTTGTAAAAAGAAACTCAAACTAGCAAACCAACTGCAAATCAAAACAGAGCGATAAATTGAAATAGTCTTTAAGTTCTCCCTGAATGATTGTAGTAGGAGATTTTAAGAAGGCTTAACTCAACGTCAAAGCAAAGGTACCTCCAAGTGTTGTAAAGACTCGCTTGTCCGTACTAAGGGACCAATCATTTCTTATCTCCAGAAGGGGGAGGAGGGTTGGGGTAGAGATCGGTCGGAGGATTTTACAACACAATCTACCTAGTCCCCTAAGGCTCCGTAGTATATGAATACTTCCCCCCCCTCCATCATTTGCAAACGATTATCTACAGTCCTTCCTTTATATATTATGTTACCAAAGACTAATATCATCTCAGCTTCGCCTGAAAACCATGCGATTCCCCAAAAATCCTCCGAACAGCCCCGCCTGACACCCTCCCTCCCCCCTCCTCCTTCGCGGCAATAAAACAATGACGTCCCGCGAAAAAAAGTGAAAAAACAGATAGATGAACAAATCTTTTGGGTCGGGTTTACTTGAAAGATAAAAAGATTTTAACTCTTAACACCCTATCATCAGTATGGATGTTCACCATTCTGTTCTCTATACATTTCCTATGGTGCTGCCGAGGAGAATTTGTTTGACAGTTATGGACTTCCTAGGCTGGTGATCATTTCCTTTATTCCTATGACCTCAATATTTAATTCAAGGGTGATACTGTATGGAGAAGTTATAAGTTAGTCACTACTATGGTATTTAAGGGGTGAAATACCAACTCCTCCGTGACATTCAGGCCACAAACTAACACACGAAATATAAAAACGAAAACCTCGCAAATTGTTCGAATGATAAAAAACAAATAAAAAAAGTTTGAAAGCTCGTTACAGTTATCCGATGATCATGACGTCTTACTTTGCAGAGAAAAGTTTCACAGGAAAAGTGGAAGCGGATGTAGGTGTTTCCAGGCCTTAACGAACAAAGACTTTCCAGAAATCGCCAGAGGACAATGCAAAAAATCCGTCATAAATATAGTCGTCACACTCCCATCTTTGATCTCCAGGAGTCAACGACCAGTGATATTTGTAACTGACATAAAAGGCATGGTCGTTCAATGTCCCATTTGCCGCCAATAGACGACCCCACTTCTGGCCTTGCCATTGGTGACAGACTCCAGTTATATTGGAGTTATCATCTTTCATTCTATTAAACGAGCCACACGCCAAAGGTCGCGTATCCGTCTGACCGCTGAAGTACTGGACTACAGCTTCACCAGAGCTGTTTGCAGTTGTGGTCACGTGGATCATTCGTCCTTTTTGTTTGTTGCAGTGGAATCTCAGCTGAGTGAAAGACAAGTTTGTTCTCAGTTCTTTCATGGCATATTCTGTGATGAACAACGTTTTGTTCCAGTGGCAGTTGCTGATCTCGCGGTATGATGACGCAATCCAAAGCTGTCGCGAGGATGGGTCGTCTACCACAACGTTGGAAACAAGAAGCCAGCCTCCTGTGCAAAACGAAGCCAACATCAACCAAGATGAAGTAAATACTCTGTGCATCAAACATCAAGGCTGTTTCATGAAGTAGAATTTCAGAAACTCAAACCCAATTCAGTTCCTTTACGTTTTAACATGATCGAGCATTTTCGTCTTACCTCCATCAGTTGTCATGTCACAGTAGACCTTTAAAGGGTTTCCGTTCTTCTCAGGGTCGATCCAGTACTCCCCATCTCCAACGGAATATCCGGAGTCCCGGATGTCCTTGCAGGAATGGCCAGGCTGATTGTAATATAAGCCTTTAATAGCTGCAGGAGGAAATGCGGTGTTCTCTCGTTAATCAACACACACCAATATGAGTACACGAGAGCCTGAAAATGCTTAGTCAATGCGTGGCTGCCTCGCTATGATGGACCCTTTCACTTATTTAAAAGCTGAAATTCCGCTATAGGGTATCAATAGAACGAAGATATACCTTCTGATGATGGGATTGTCAGAGATATCTCACTGGGTCCCCTTTCTCGCTTGGCATTTTGTTGTGCAATCCAAGATGGTCTATTCACACCGGCGAATCCCACCAAAGCAAAAGATCCTCTGAACTCTGTCAGATTGAGTAGGTCATCGGTGGCGCCAACTCTTTTTAGAGCGTCAATCGCTGGTGATATGTATGTCGAGCCTTCATCTTGAATGGCGACCAAAACGATTTTTCTGCAATTGGAACAAACATGATTTTTCCGTGAGAATGGCAAACAAATGCATTTTATTACAAATTACGAAAAAAGTGCAATAACGAAAACCTCTATGAGGCATTAATGTGCTAATATTTTGAAATAAGTTCCCCACGGAATTAACCGAATCTCGTTTTGTGAGTATATTTCTGATTCAGTTTCGGATAGGAGTTATTGCGACAAATTTTCATGCGTTTGACATTGGAAACAGTCCCGAACGGTCGTTAGAAAGAGAAAAATATGTATCTTTTAAGAGATTAAGAATTCTTTATATATATATATATATATATATATATATATATATATATATATATATAAATATTATGAGAGGAAAAAAGGACGCAACTACATTTCCCATTTATTTTTATTTTTCCCATTTATATATATGTATATGTATATATATATATATGTATATGTATAAAAAGCTGGGGCAGATGTACTTAAAATGATGTGGGATCCATGATGTTTGTGCTCTGAACTATCATATGCTACATTTTATGGTAGTGAGATTACAGCGTAAAAGACTAGTTTCTCCTTAGAGGGTTGGATGATCATTCCCTTCCTTTACATTTGTTTTATATCAGCTTTCGCTTTGTTTTGTTCTATGAACATATATAAAAGCACGTCAATATGGCACATACTTTCCTTTGATTCCGTTAAGGTAATCTCTCAGGTGAATACCAGCGGAACTATTCGCATGAGTGTCAAATCCTTTGGCTCCTAGTACAGTACCTGCAAATGAAGAATGGTAACAAACGTTTCCCTTCCACTACAATCAAGCTTATAATGAAGACGTACATCTTCCAGATGACTGGTAGCTTAAAGGGATTATGATTATTCGAGCTGGAGCTAACCCCGCAGATTTTAAACTGTTTTTAAAATTTTAAAAGTTTCCCACGCATTACTTTCAATTTTCAAAACAGACTTTATTTTCAAATTAAACATCAATGTCGTCAGCATGCTCTATATTCTCATAAGCATGCTACAATAAGCCAATCAGAATCCTTGTTAGAATGGTTCAAATAATTTGACTGGTTGAACAAGACTTAAATCGTCAAAAGTGTCAAACCATCTCAGTTCACAATCTGCAATAGTTTATAATCTGAAATATTTCGGCAGGTCGAATTTAACACTTTTGCCAAAGCTTTCCAGTTTTAATACGGAATCTGAAAGTGAAATATTCAGTGAAATCCGGCCGAATTGTGGCTCATAAAAAACCTGCAAGTTTTTTCTCATGACAATTAGAAAACAAACTGCTCAAGATGTGTGTTTTATGAATGAACGACAGCCGAATTCACAGGAACATGAAGATTGCTCGAGATGACAGCGCCGTTAAACTCGGTTGCTGTGACTGATTTGGAAATCCACTTAATGCATCGGAAAGGATATCAGAGCAAGCTCTTAGTTGTTCACTCGAAGGGGGGCTGATGTAACTGCTGAGGCTTGCTTTACTGCGATGATCAGAGATCGCCATGATGAGCTAGCTGCGATGGACCTCAGCATGATCGCAATCGCTCTGAGACCGTCGTGATTTGTATGAATTGTAACAGTTATGCCGGTTTGGTTAATTTTTGATCATTCTTGTTTTTTTATGTTTCGTTTTTAAACACGGAACTATATATCATATACGAGTGTTAGCTGTGTTTGGTTTTTATCACCGCACGTAACTAAGCTTACGTATAATCTAACTGAGCGTGAAAACCTTCAAAACTCAGGCTGTCCCGATTTCGTTTTCTCTTTGAGGATTTCTGTCTCTGCTCACGTTAAAATAACGTCAATTGCAGCGCCTGGCATGTTTACAAACCTTTGTTTTGTTCTTCTGTTGCTACTTGCCGGCTCGTTTGTTCCGAAATTTCATTTCAATTACCGAAAAAAAGCAAGAGAAAAGTACGGGAAATGGTGGAACATAGAACAAATTAGTGGATGGCGTGACTCAACTCTGTCTTTTGTACCCTGATAGAGCGCTCTTTCTACAAATGACAGCGCGCTTTATCTCCGATTTTGATTATAATACCTGTCGTAGCGTTGATAACAACCACGTTATGGCCTCTGATGTGTGGAGAATAATCTTTTCCATTCACTTTGATGTAAGCAATGCCACAAGTGTTTGCTGTAATTCCCAGATCGTCGCAACCTTCGCTGCGGATGAATACTCTCATCACGGGAGCTTATTATTAAAATCATGAAACAAAAATGAAAGCTAATTTTCCTTTTTTCAACCATAAATATAAATGAACTTATTATAAAGAACAGGAGTCTTGGTTTCACTCTGCTACAACATACAGTGAGTAGAAGTAATGTTTGTAATGTTACTTTATCGCCCAGTATTATTCATAATATTTATTTCTATATCTAGGTGGATATAAGGGCATGTCCGAGAAAAAAAATGTTTTGCCTAAAGGTGAAATATTTTGGTCACAGAGTTAATTTTGGATACTTTTGGAGTCGCAATGTGTTATACTTTAATTAAACATCCAGCTGGCCGGACAGCAACAGAACAGTTTTATGCTTCACATACACTTCCGTTTGTGAGATTCTGCATGTGTTCTCTCGCCACTTTATGTTTTGTTTAAGTTTGTTCTCGACAAGTTCCGCTAACGTCATGACTCATTTATAACAAAGTCAGTAACATTATCCTAAGCCTTGAGCTGTCAAAAGGAGGTAACCGGTAATGATTATGCAGTTTAATTTGTCTAAAAAGGTGTGAATACGTAACAGGCAAAATCTTCTGACCACTTACGCATTTGGCACCGTGTTCCTTGGTATCCCGGATGACACTGAGCGCTCTTAGTGGGTCGCCTTTGCTCACGAGAAATATCCATGCAGGAAGTCTGACATAATTAATACAAAAATAAGGAAAGTTGATTTGTTTCCCGTTGCTTTATTGACATTGCATGAAGACAAAAAGAAAATTTACTTATCCATCTCATTCTTGGAGAATTTTTTCAATTGTGTTCTCTTTATACAGTACAAAGTGGATAACAAACATTTAGCTCTGGTCACGTTACATAACGTGAAAGTATTTATGATGAAGAATAGCCGTTCAAAATAAAATATTTTTTCAAACTAAAGAACTAGTAAGGACGTGAATACAAATGCCGGGAACATACCAAAAACATTGTCAACCCAAGACTAAGAGATGAAGGATACCTAATAATTTGAATCAGGCTCCAAAGTTATTATTAACAGCTGACATCATCAACTCGTGCTTCAACAAGTTATCTTCGGAGAAACACAGCGGTTATAGGTATATAACACATATGTTCAACTTATGTTCAACGTTACGTCTGTACAAATTAAGCAAATACCCTCTTGTAATTCTCAGCTCTCAGATGGATAAGGAGAATGAAAAAACCAATAAAGTTCTGAATTTAGCTGGTTTGTAACTTAAAAAAATAATCGAGAACGTTTTATGCCCAAAACGCGAGAAGAAATGAAACTAACCATTTTTGCTTCGCCCTCAACAGCCAAATTCAATGGTCGTGTGAAATAAAGAGCTATGTTTTTTTGCACTCAGGAGGCTAGAATTGTCACGCTAATCACGCTCAAAACTATTAATTTACCGAATACCTTCGGCATCTTGGCAATTAACTACGGGAACTATAAAACTTAGTACCAACCTGAGCAGAGCTATAGTATGTAGATCCTATCCTTTGTCTAAAATCCTCTGGCTTCATCTGCCGCGTTTTATCATTCAACTCACAGATACGTTGTCCAATACTGTCACTGGGGTGAACATTGATCGACTTGCAACGGTTGTTTCCCATACATTTTAACTGACATTCAAACTCGTCCACAACAACAGTCGTATACACAACATGACCTGCTAATGCATGATCTGAAAGGTGAAGCAAATGGACTAATGCTTTTTCACCTGAATATATGTAAAACAAAGCCTGAGAATCAAGAAGATCCTAATCGTTCAGTTTGAGTTTTAACTCACCCAGTTGAGTTTCGAAAACGCTTCCACAAAAGTCTCCTTTTGCCAGGGAAAACAGGATTCCGAGGACGATTTGAAGAGTCACAATGGAAAACTGGAGCAGCCATAGAACAGTCATTCTACTTTATTTCTGTATTATCACTCTTCTTATCCAAGCGGAACTTCTTCACTTGATAAACATATTCTGCATTTAAATCAGCCTCCCTTAATTCGTCTTAATTTGTTTCCTTGTACAAATAGGGCCCCTCCTTATCGGACGACAATTTCAATTAGAAATAAACATTATTTATTATTAAAAGCTGTTTTTCATCTAAGTTTAAGTCCTTTAATTGCTTTTGGGGGCTTATTTTCTCTCTTTTTAAAAAAAGGTGGCTTTTTTTTTTTCATAAAATAAAATTGTGAGCTTTGAAGGAGTTGGCACACTTATCGAAATTTTCACATTTTGAAACAACCTTAATGGTTGGAAAGGTCCAAAGTATTTGATTGGCTATCGAGAAAACAGCTGTCAATCACAAAATGAACTTCACCCATAATATCAATTTTAATTGGCTTTTGGAGTGGAGATCCATCAATTTATAGTTAGTTTTTACTTAAAAGTGAAAAATTAAGAAACTTAATGCCTCTTGACCGGTGTCATGGAATCCAGCCAAGTTTTGGCTCACGAAAACGTGCACTTTTTTGGTAAACAATCACGAAACAAAGAGCTAAAGACTTGCGGATGAAAAATGCAGCAAGATTGACCGAACTTGCGACAAGTGGGAAGATTTGAAAGCTGCCTCCCTGATTTTAACTCGAGTATAATAGGAAATGTTAGAGCGACCCTTCAGTTGATAACTCGTTAGAAATTCAACTTGACAACACATGTAGATAATCCATAATTTATGACCATGATATAAAATTCATTAGGTATGACATATTGGCTATTTTGTAATAAGTTCAAACACAAATGATAAATGTGGCTTCCCGTGAAAACAACTATTTCGGAGTAGAAAATGTTATGAGAATCTTGTGCAGGACCAGTGAGGCTTCGACGTGAATGTGTTTAAAATTATGCCTGATGACAAATTCAGTGTATCAAGATATATGTTCCCGCAAGGTTACTTTTTTCTTTTTCTCTCTGTTTTTCTGATCTGTAATGCTTTTTCAAAAAGAGTGGTAATGTCTGTACTTGAGTCATGTAGCCAATCAGACTGGAGCTTATCCCAGTTTCTGTTCTGTCCTTCTCCCCCCTCACTTTGTGAGGCATCCCTGACAGTTCGTTGTTACCTGTTTTACTCCTGGATGGAGATAGGCACAAAGAAAAGAACACAATAACCCGGCTAGTTCTTAAGCCCAGAGCCCTCGGCCCGGAATCCAATGCGTCAACTATTTTACCACCGCCTGTGCAGGTTCAAAGCCACTTAGACTATCTGAGCTGGTGGTACTGTTTCAGGTACAACGTGCATATTTTCCCTGGCACAAATTCATAGTATGCCGGAATTATAGCTATAGAGTTAGTCTGTGCCTAAAACACAATCATACTGACTGAAAGTAAAAGAGGACCAAAATTCAAATGAATGTTATATAGCGAATAGTACATAAGTGCGTAGATGTAGAGTTTCTCTTCGAGTGTTCAACTCGATAGCTCACAAGTAAGCGCGGCGAACGAGTGAGATGTCGAGTTCAACACGAGAAGAGAAATTCAATATCTACAAGCAACAATGTATTATTTTGTTTATCATATAAACACAATAGCTCTTTACTGACAAGAAAAGTTGACTTTATTAACGAATGGAAATAAAAGAATTGACAATCTCCGAATAAAAATCGTAAAGTGCGTTGGCGCTAACTCTTAAGATGGAAAAATGCGTTAAAACATGATTACAAAAACAACAATAGTCGTAATTTCAATTTAAAAAAATTCTCATTTATTGGCTTTGTCCTTACCGACAGATGAAGTCTTTCAGGTAAACGGCCAAAATCTGCCTGTGGTAAATCTTCCAGTTGTCAATTTTCATTGTCAGCCGCGAAAAATGCCAACACCAAAGCCACTGAATGCGTAGCTTTCGGTTTTTATTTTTGTATATTGGTTTTTTTTCCTCTTCTAGGGAAGTTTGAACCTCACTGTCTGTCAGCGGTACGGATTTTTTAGAGTTTTAGCTGCCTAATTCGAGAAAGTTCGAAAAAATCGAAAATTGCGTTGGCGCTAAAGCTCAAGATGAAAGAATGCGTTGAATCTTTCTAAAAGCAAAATTGGGCGTAATTTTCAATTTACAAAATTCTCAGTTATTGACCTTGTCCTTACCGACTGAAGAAATCTTTCAGGTACACAGCAAAAGTTGACAAGTCTTCCAACAATCGATTTTCGTTCTCAGCGGTGAGAAATGCCATTACCAAGGGCACTGAATACGTAACTTTCGGTTTTTTCTTTTGGTATTTTGGTTTACTTCCTCTTTTAGGAAAATTTGAATGTCACTGATACGATACGGATTTTTCAGTGTTTTAGCAGCCATAATCCGAGAACATTCCGACAAACGACCTTGAATTGAGAATGGTGAAGACTCGCCGTTCATTCATCAACAACAGACGTGAAAGGCGATTGACGTGTCAGCAGCTGATTGGCTATATCAAACACACCTGAAAAAATATCGTATTTTTCTGCGTGTGTTGTTAGAGCTTTTCAAGGCTGTGAAAGTAGGTGTATTTGACTGTCGCTTTTAGGTCTTAGCGAACAAAGACTTCCCAAAAATCATCAGAGGACAGCGAAAAAAATTCTGTATGAGAGTTCTTCTTGAAGTCGTCGCACTCCCATCTTTGATCCCCATTTGGCAAATACCAGTGATTAGCGCCTGGTAAATATAAAGTAGAATCGTTTAACCTTTCCTGTACAACTTTTACTGATCCCCACTTCATGTCTTTCCATTGATGACAACTTGCGGTTGTTTTGGAGGAAAACGCAGCTGTGAGATGAATAATAAAACACGGCAGATGAAGCCAGGTCATCTTCAAAAGAAGAAAGGATCTAAATATTATAGCTCTGTTCAGGTGGGTTGTGGGTTAAGCAGGTTTGTTGATAACTTTCCTATCTTATTTACTGCCAAGAACAATTTTTCGGAACTACTGCTATATACTAAGGAAAACTGAGAGAATCATTTGTTATTGGCTTACATCAGGCAGTTTAAAATCTCGGGCAAACGTTTTTCCAGCGAGTCTTAACTATCTCCATCACTTTGCAATTCCTGTTTTGCAACAACCTTCGAACCAAAAGGTTTCATTTCCGCTTGTATAGCATGTTCTGAGTGTTGACAAGAGTGTAAAGGTAACGTCAAATTTGCTTTTAAAAATCGCACATTAAGCGTCTGAATACTGATAACGAGAAAACAAGCTTTGTTTACTCTGAACAACAATCGATGGCAGAACGGGAAGAAAAAAGTTCACCTTTCTGTTTTACTAATCAGGCCTCCTGCATGAGTGTTTCTCGCGGGCGAAAACAAACAACTAAAAGCTGCCAGTGTCATCCAGGATACAAAGGAAAACATTGTGAAACACGTAAGTGATGGGACTGTTATAGAAAAGTTATATTGTAGACGTTGTCAAACAAAATACATGACTATTAAGTGCAATGAGGATGGTGGAAATTTTCAATTGGGGACTCCTTTTTAAAACGCATTTCTGAAGATAAATGTGGACCGTCGTGTTCAAGTTTGCGTATAGCTTTCTCCCCTTTTTTCAGCGTCTTACCTGGTGTGTGAAGATTAATAAACCCATCATGATCAAACCTCGTTTCCTTTTCAGCTACCAGAGGCTTATATTACAATCAGCCTGGTCATTCCTGTAAGGACATCCGAGACTCACGTTTCTTTCAAAAACGGGAAGTACTGGATCGACCCTGAGAAGAACGGAAAGCCACTAAAGGTCTATGACATGACAACTGACGGAGTTAAAAATACTTTGGAAAATAAAAGACAATCAATGAAGTTGTTGTTGAGTTAGGTACATACCGCAATAAAAATTGGAACAGGCATCGCGTCTAATGTCCAGATTTCATTCGTTTTTTTCCAGGAGGTTGGCTTCTTGGACCTCAGCATGATTGAAGTCGCTCTGGCACCTTCATGATTAGTATGAATTATAACAGTTGTGCCAGTTTGGCTATATTTTTCATCGTTCCTGTTTGTTCTGTTTTGTTTTGAACACAAAACTTTGTACAGTATAGGAGTGTTAGCTGTGTTTGTTTTTTATCACCGTACGTAAGCTTGCAATCTAACTGAGTGTGAAAACCTTCTAAACTCAGACTGTCCATTTCGTTTCTCTTTGAGGACTTTTGTCTCTACTCGCGTTATAACAACGTAAATTACGGCGCTTGGCATGTTTACAAAATTTTTTTTGTAAGGTCGATTTCTTATAATCCTTAATAACAAAGGGGAAAAAAATCACACTTACCTTGAGCGAGGTACTAATTGGAAAGTCATAAGTTTAAACAATGTACTGTTTTATTAAAGATATGACATACAACCAATTGTTTGGCTGCACCCTCGTCAAACACGGTCTCTGTACACCTTGTGCTGCAGTGGTCGTATATTCCCCACCCACGACAGAGCCGACAACCAGCAGTTTTGGTGTGCTTCTTATTTCCCGTCACAATCGTCCTCGGCTTTGTTACTCGTTTTTACTGCTCGGTCGCCTGACGCTTCGGGGCGCACACAAAGCGCATCCCCGCAGGCGACTCACTGGGATAAAGTAGGCAAGAAAAATTGAAGACAGTGTGGTTGATCAAATCAAACCTAAGGTGTTCAGTTTGATTGTAAGCTCTAACATGTTTAACTGGAATAATTTTGCTGATTATGTCTCGGACACAAAACTGAATTTTACAAAGTCTTCATACTTTTACCAATCAAAGTCAGCGCTGACTTAAATAATTCCTTCTTTAGTCACCTCGAGTCAGTTGTATGTGGTTAATCAAATCAGATAGACTTTCGATCTATAATAATGACAATAATAGTAATAACTTTATTGGCTTCGTACAATGATGGTTTATTCAGAAACCATTACAATGAGATTATGTAAAAACCAAAATGCAATATAAGCACTGTAAAGAATATCAGGAACACAGTATTATGTATTATGCTTATGTAATATGCTTAAACTCTATCGATTTATTGAAATATTCGTCGGTGTTGTGTTTGTATCTTTGTCCAAGGCCGGTTTGCCGACGATTTAGGCCAGTGTGCCGACAACCAAGGCCAGTTTGCCGATTACTTAGGCCCTCGCTGACAACTTGGGCCAGCTTGCCGACATCCCATGCTAAGCCAGTTCGCCAACAACCCAAAGAAATTCACCGACAACCACGGGCGGATGCCAGTCGTTTCGTACCCAGCTAAGACCATTCGTACTCAGTTAGTTAAGTCGTTCCGTACCCATACTAATGAAGTTTGGGAACGGAACGGGAATGAAAAGGTTGTGTGTGTCTGCGCGCATAATCATCTACATGTCAAATATTTACAAAATCACTTTAGAAATAGTTTTACCTTGAGCTTTTTAAACATCAAAATCTACTGAAATTTATTATTTTAAAATTTCGTGTGTGAAATGGCTACGTCAACCCTGCTGTAATGTGTTTTTTTTAATAATGTCACTACATCTTCTAACAAATTTGTCTCAGCATTTCTATTCCAAGTTTTCCTAATGAAATTTGCATTTCTAAGTGAACTATTGTTATGAAATTACCTTGAACAACCAATTTTTTCTAAAAGCAACGGTTGTAAAAACAAACTCAAACTAGCAAACCAACTGCAAATCAAAACAGAGCGATAAATTGAAATAGTCTCCCTGAATGATTGTACCAGGAGATTTTAAGGAGGCTTAACTCAACGTCAAAGCAAAGGTACTTCCAAGTGTTGTAAAGACTCGCTTGTCCGTAGTACCAGTCATTTCGTATCTCCAGAAGGGGGAGGGGGGGTGGGGTAGAGGTCGGTCGGAGGATTTTACAACACAATCTACCTAATCCCCTAAGGCTCCGTAGTATTTGAATAAGAGGTGAAATACCAACTCCTCCAAGACGTTCAGGCCACAAACTAACATACGAAATATAAAAACGAAAACCTCGCAAATTGTTCGAATGATAAAAAACAAATTAAAAAAGTTTGAAAGCTCGTTACAGTTATCCGATGATCATGACGTCTTACTTTGCAGAGAAAAGTTTCACAGGAAAAGTGGAAGCGGATGTAGGTGTTTCCAGGCCTTAACGAACAAAGACTTTCCAGAAATCGCCAGAGGACAACGCAAAAAATATTTTAGAAATATAGTCGTCACACTCCCATCTTTGATTTCCAGGAATCAACAACCAGTGATATTTGTTAGGGACACAAAAGGCGCGGTCGGACAATGTCTCTTTTGCCGACGGTGGGTAACCCCACTGCTGGTCTTTCCATTGGTGACAGACTCCAGTTATATTGGAGTTATCATCTTTCATTCTATTAAACGAGCCACACGCCAAAGGTCGCCTATCCGTCTGACCGCTGAAGTACTGAACTACAGCTTCACCAGAGCTGTTTGCAGCTGTGGTCACGTGGATCATTCGTCCTTTTTGTTTGTTGCAGTGGAATCTCAGCTGAGTGAAAGACAAGTGTGTTCTCAGTTCTTTCATGGCATTTTCTGTGATGAACAACGTTTTGTTCCAGTGGCAGTTGCTGATTTCACGGTATGATGACGCAATCCAAAGCTGTCGCGAGGACGGGTCGTCTACCACAACGTTAGAAACAAGAAGCCAACCTCCTGTGCAAAACGAAGCCAACATCAACCAACATAACTAAATGTTTCAAACATCATGAAGTAGAATTTCAGAAACTCAAATCCAATTCAGTTCCTTTACTTTTTTTTTAACATGATCGAGCATTTGCATCTCACCTCCGTCAGTTGTCATGTCACAGTAGACCTTTAAAGGGTTTCCGTTCTTCTCAGGGTCGATCCAGTACTCCCCATCTCCAACGGAATATCCGGAGTCCCGGATGTCCTTGCAGGAATGGCCAGGCTGATTGTAATATATGCCTTTGATAGCTACAGGAGAAAATGTGGTGTTGTCTTGTTAATCAACACACACCGATATGAGTGCACGAGAGCCTGAAAATGTTTAGTCAATGCGTGGCTGGCTCGTTATGATGGACCCGTTCACTTATTTAAAAGCTGAAATTCCTCTATAGGGTATCAATAGAACGAAGATATACCTTCTGATGATGGGATTGTCAGAGATATCTCACTGGGTCCCCTTTCTCGCTTGGCATTTTGTTGTGCAATCCAAGATGGTCTATTCACACCGGCGAATCCCACCAAAGCAAAAGATGCTCTGAACTCTGTCAGATTGAGTAGGTCATCGGTGGCGCCAACTCTTTTTAGAGCGTCAATCGCTGGTGATATGTATGTTGAGCCTTGATCTTGAATGGCGACCAGAACGATTTTTCTGCAATTGGAACAAACATGATTTTTCCGTGAGAATGGCAAACAAATGCATTTTATTGCAAATTACGAAAAAAGTGCAATAACGAAAACCTCTATGAGGCATTAATGTGCTAATATTTTGAAATAAGTTCCCCACGGAATTAACCGATGATGATCATTCCCTTCCTTTACATTTGTTTTATATCAGCTTTCGCTTTGTTTTGTTCTATGAACATATATAAAAGCACGTCAATATGGCACATACTCTCCTTTGATTCCGTTAAGGTAATCTCTCAGGTGAATACCAGCGGAACTATTCGCATGAGTGTCAAATCCTTTGGCTCCTAGTACAGTACCTGCAAATGAAGAATGGTAACAAACGTTTCCCTTCCACTACAATCAAGCTTATAATGAAGACGTACATCTTCCAGTTGACTGGTAGCTTAAAGAGATTATGATCATTCGAGCTGGAGCTAACCCCGCAGACTTTAAACTGAGCACATCGTTCTATCAAATAAAGACCATGAAGTCGATAGGGAGACAGCGGTGCTACCTTCTGGCGTATGCGCGGAAAACAAAAGCCCAGACCGGTTTGCCTTTTTCGGGAAAGTCGTCAGAAGTAAGGTTTTACTACCTGCTTTTATTTCGCCCCAGATAAGTAACCCTTCATGATGATTTTGGAGTGCTCCAGCTGCTTCCTAAGTACTTAACAACAGAATAGAGCACAGTCAAGGCTTCGCTATTTGTTTTATAAAAAAGAATTCTTTAAATTTCCCACGCATTACTTTCAATTTCAAAACAAACCTTGATTTCAAAGCAAACATCAATGTCGTCAGTATGCTCTATACTCTCATAAGCATGCTACAATAAGCCAATCAGAATCCTTGTTAGAATGGTTCAAATAATTTGATTGGTTGAACAAGACTAAAGCCGTCAAAAGTGTCAAACCCTCTCAGTTCACAATCTGCAGTAGTTCATAACCTGAAATATTTCGGCAGGTCGATTTAACACTTTCGCCAAAGGTTTTCAGTTTTAATACGGAATCTGAAAGTGAAATATTATGTAATTTGTGATAATCGGTATTGACACAAATTAATATTTTGCCGACACGGAACAGAGAACTGGGTGCGAGCGTAGTACGCGAAGGCTCATGGGTAGTATGTTTGTAAGAAGAGACCGTTGAGAAACTTGTGGCATTCTACGGTCAGCCTTGCCACTAGCACTTTCCCATAAGGTTTATTTTTATTGTGTAATTAGCCTGATATGATTTGTTTTCTTCATTCTCTTCATTGTTTATAGATCAACCTTAAAACCCCAAAGGTGGCGCCACTGCAGTTGGTCGGGGGTACACGGTCCCTATTTTCCTAACAAGAGGTTTTTGGGGTTTACGTGTCCGGCTTTGGCGCATGTAGGACGTTACTTGATGTATCTCTTATCCACTTTGTTGTAAACTCATTGTCACAATTAAAATATATCTTGGGCCTAGCTGACCAACGCGCCCATGCCTCAACCTTTGAGTGTGTTCGGTTGTGTAGTGAAGGCAAAATCAGTGAAATCCGGCCGAATTGTGACTCATAAAAACCCGCAATTTTTTTGTTATGACAATTAGAAAACAAACTTCTCAAGGCGTGTGTTTTACGTATGAACGACAGCCGACTGATTCGCAGGAACATGAAGATTGCTCGAGATGACAGCGCCGTTAAACTCGGCTGCTGTGACTGATGTGGCCATCCACTCAATGCATCGGAAAGGATATCAGAGCAAGCTCTTAGTTGTTCACTCGAAGAGGGGCTGATGTAATTTCTGAGGCTTGCTTTACTGCGATGATCGGAGATCGCCATGATGAGCTAGCTGCGATGGACCACAGCATGATCGCAATCGCTCTGAGACCGTCATGATTTGTATGAATTGTAACAGTTATGCCGATTTGGTTAATTTTTCATGGCATGGCATGGCATGTTTACAAACCTTTGCTTGGCTCTTCTGTTGCTACTTGCCGGCTCGTTTGTTCCGAAATTTCACTTCAATTACCGAAAAAAAGCAAGAGAAAAGTACGGAAAACGGTGGAACATAGTACAAATTAGTGGATGGCGTGACTCAACTCTGTCTTTTGTACCCTGATAGAGCGCTCTTTCAACAAATGACAGCGCGCTTTATCTCCGATCTTGATTATAATACCTGTCATAGCGTTGATAACAACCACGTTATGGCCTCTGATGTGCGGAGAATAATCTTTTCCATTCACTTTGATGTAAGCAATGCCACAAGTGTTTGCTGTGATTCCCGGATCCTCGCAACCTTCACTGCGGATGAATACTCTCACCACGGGAGCTTATTATTAAAATCATGAAACAAAAATGAAAGCTAATTTTCCTTTTTTCAACCATAAATATAAATGAACTTATTATAAAGAACAGGAGTCTTAGTTTCACTCTGCTACAACATACAGTGAGTAGAAGTAATGTTTGTAATGTTACTTTATCGCCCAGTATTATTCATAATATTTATTTCTATATCTAGGTGGATATAAGGGCATGTCGGAGAAAAAAAAATGTTTTGCCTAAAGGTTAAATATTTTGGTGACAGAGTTAATTTTGGATACTTTTGGAGTCGCAAATGTGTTATACTTTAATTAAACATCCAGCCGGCCGGACCGCAACAGAACAGTTTTATGCTTCACATACGCCTCCGTTTGTGAGATTCTGCATGTGTTCTCTCGCCACTTTATGTTTTGTTTAAGTTTGTTCTCGACAAGTTCCGCTAACGTCATGACTCATTTATAACAAAGTCAGTAACATTATCCTAAGCCTCGAGCTGTCAAAAGGAGGCAACCAGTAATGATTATGCAGTTTAATTTGTCTAAAAAGCTGTGAATACGTAACAGGCAAAATCTTCTGACCACTTACGCATTTGGCACCGTGTTCCTTGGTATCCCGGATGACACTGAGCGCTCTTAGTGGGTCGCCTTTGCTCACGAGAAATATCCATGCAGGAAGCCTGACACAATTAATACAAAAATAAGGAAAGTTGATTTGTTTCCCGTTGCTTTATTGACATTGCATCGAGACAAAAAGAAAATTTGCTTATCCATCTCATTCTTGGAGAATTTTTTCAATTGTGTTCTCTTTATACAGTACAAAGTGGATTACATCCATTTAGCTCTGGTCACGTTATAAACGTGAAAGTATTTTTGATGAAGAATAGCCGTTCAAAATAAAATATTTTTTCAAACTAAAGAACTAGTAAGGACGTTAATACAAATGCCGGGAACATACCAAAAACATTGTCAACCTAAGACTAGGAGATGAAGGATACCTAATAATTTGAATCAGGCTCCAAAGTTATTATTAACAGGTGACATCATCAACTCGTGCTTCAACAAGTTATCTTCGCAGAAACACAGCGGTTATAGGTATATAACACATATGTTCAACTTATGTTCTACGTTACGTCTGTACAAATTAAGCAAATACTCTCTTGTTATTCTCAGCTCTCGGATAGATAAGGAGAATGAAAAAAACAATAAAGTTCTGAATTTCTCTGGTTTGTAACCTAAAAAAATAATCGAGAAGGTTTTATGCTCAAAACGCAAGAAGAAATGAAGCTACCCATTTTTGTTTCGCCCTCAACAGCCAAATTCAATGGCTGTGTGAAATAAAGAGCTATGTTTTTTTGCACTCAGGAGGCTAGAATTGTCATTCCAATCACGCTAAAAACTATTAATTTACCGAATATCTTCGGCATTTTGGCAATTAAATACGGTAAGCATAAAACTTAGTACCAACCTGAGCAGAGCTATAGTATGTAGATCCTTTCCTTTTTCTAAAATCCTCTGGCTTCATCTGCCGCGTTTTATTATTCAACTCACAGATACGTTGTCCAATGCTGTCACCGGGGTGAACATTGATCGACTTGCAACGGTTGTTTCCCATACATTTTAACTGACATTCAAACTCGTCCACAACAACAGTCGTATACACAACATGACCTGCTAATGCATGATCTGAAAGGCGAAGCAAAAGGACTAATGCTTTTTCGCCTGAATATATGTAAAACAACGCCTGATAATCAAGAAGGTCCTAATCGTTCAGTTTGAGTTTTAACTCACCCAGTTGAGTTTCGAAAACGCTTCCACAAAAGTCTCCTTTTGCCAGGGCAAACAGGATTCCGAGGACGATTTGAAGAGTCACAATGGAAAACTGGAGCAGCCATAAAACAGTCATTCTACTTTATTTCTGTATTATCGCTCTTCTTATCCAAGCGGAACTTCTTCACTTGAGAAACATGTTCTGCATTTAAATCAGCCTCCCTTGATTCGTCTTAATTTGTTTCTCTGTACAAATAGGGCCCCTCCTTATCGGACGACAATTTAAATTAAAAATAAACATTATTTATTATTAAAAGCTGTTTTTCATCTTAGTTTAAGTCCTTTAATTGCTTTTGAGGGCTTATTTTCTCTCTTTTTAAAAAAAGGTGGCTTTTTTTTTCCATAAAATAAAATTGTGAGCTTTGAAGGAGTTAGCACACTTATCGAAATTTTCACATTTTGAAACAACCTTAATGGTTGGAAAAGTCCAAAGTATTTGATTGGCTATCGAGAAAACAGCTGTCAATCACAAAGTGAACTTCACCCATAATATCAATTTTAATTGGCTTTTGGAGTGGAGATCCTCTAATTTATAGTTCGTTTTTAATTAAAAGTTAAAAATTACGAAACTTAATGTCTCTTGTCCGGTGGCATGGAATCCAGCCAAGTTTTGGCTCACGAAAACGTACACTTTTTTTGGTAAACAATTACGAAACAAAGAGCTAAAGACTTGCGGATGAAAAATGCAGCAAGATTGACCGAACTTGCGACAAGTGGGAAGATTTGAAAGCTGCCTCCCTGATTTTAACTCGAGTACAATTGGAAATGTTAGAGCGACCCTTCAGTTGATAACTCGTTAGAAATTCAACTTGACAACATATGTAGATAATCCATAATTTATGACCATGATATAAAATTCATTAGGTGTGACATATTGGCTATTTTGTGGTAAGTTCAAACACAAATGATAAATGTGGCTTCCCGTGAAAACAATTTTTTCGGAGTAGAAAATGTTAGGAGAATCTTGTGCAGGACCAGTGGGGCTTCGACGTGAATGTGTTTAAAATTATGCTTGATGACAAATTCAGTGTATCAAGATATATGTTCCCGCAAGGTTACTTTTTCTTTTTCTTTCTGTTTTCTGAAAAATAATACATTGTTGCTTGTAGATATTGAATTTCTCTTCTCGTGTTGAACTCGACATCTCACTCGTTCGCCGCGCTCGCTTGTGACCTATCGAGTTGAACACTCGAAGAGAAACTCCACATCTACGCGCTTATGTACTATTCGCTATATAACATTCATTTGAATTTTGGTCCTCTTTTACTTTCAGTCAGTAAGATTGTGTTTTAGGCACAGACTAACTCTATAGCTATAATTCCGGCATACTATGAATTTGTGCCAGGGAAAATATGCACGTTGTACCTAAAACAGTACCACCAGCTCAGATGGTCTAAGTGGCTAAGTGTAGAGTAAATGAGATGTTGGACAACAGCTTTTAATTGATTTACCAACCGCAAAATAACCACAGTAAGTAACCTGGTGAACTCTACATGTTAAAGTTCAGGTTAATTTTTCAGTTATTGTAGCGTAAAAAAAAGACGCTATCCAAAGTCGAACTTAAAATGATAACAAACAATAATTCTTAACAGTAAACAGTTTGAGCCCCAAGGTGACATGTGATCGTGGTCGAACTGACTGTTGTTAATAGTAGTGACCGTCCTTCTCACTTATCTCCCCACTGGTAAGGTAATGAGCTAGACTGTAAATCTTCCAAAGAAAAGTGCAAGACATTTTCTAATGAAAAATGCCTTATTTGGGAAACACTGTTGATATTACAGATCTATAAATTTTAGTGTAATGCATGTAGATTTTCGAGAATATTTAACATTGCATAACTTCTCATGGTTAGCTAGTAGCTTAAAGGTTTGCAAGGCAGTGAAAGTAGGTGTAATTGACTGTCACCTTTAGGCCTTAGCGAACAAAGACTTTCCAAAAATCATCAGAGGACAGCGAAAAAAATTCTGTACGAGAGTTCTTCTTGAAGTCGTCGCACTCCCATCTTTGATCCCCATTTGGCAAATACCAGTGAGTAGCGCCCGGTAAATATAAAGGATGATCGTTTAACCTTTCCTGTACGACTTTTACTGATCCCCACTTCATGTCTTTCCATTGATGACAACTTGCAGTTGCTCTGGAGTTATCATCTTCCATTCTATTAAACGAGCCACAGCACAAGGGGCGGGAATCCGTCTGACCGCTGAAGAACTGGACGACAGCTTCACCAGAGCTGTTAGCAGCGGTAGTCACGTGGATTGTACGTCCATTTTGTTTATTGCGATGAAATCTCAGCTGAGTGAAAGACAAGTGTGTTCTCAGTTCTTTCATGGCATCCTTCGTGATGAACAGCGCCTTGTTGTCGTGATAGTTGCTGATTTCACGGTAAGAAGACTCAATCGAAAGCTGTCGCGAGGACGGGTCGTCCAGCACAACGTTGGAAACAAGAAGCCAACCTCCTGGAAAAAACGAATGAAATCTGGACATAAGACGCGATGCCTGTTCCAATTATTATTGCGGTATATACGTAACGTAACAACACCTTCATTGATTTTCTTTTATTTTCCAAAGTATTTTTTACCTCCGTCAGTTGTCATGTCACCGTAGACCTTTAGTGGCTTTCCGTTCTTCTCAGGGTCGATCCAGTACTCCCCGTCTTTTTGAAAGAAACCTGAGTCCCGGATGTCCCTTCAGGAATGACCAGGCTGATTGTAATATAGGCCTCTGGTAGCTGAAAGGAAATGAGGTTTGATCTTGATGGGTTTATTAATCTTCACACACCGGTTAAGACGCTGAAAAAAGAGGGAAAAAGCTACAGGGAAACTTGAACATGACTGTCTGCATTTATCTTCAGAAATTCGTTTTAAAAGAAGTCCCCAATTGAAAATTTAAACCATCTTCATAGCACTAGTCATGTATTTTGTTTGGCAACGTCTAAAATAGAACTTCTCTAGCACAGTCTCACCACTTACGTGTTTCACAATGTTTTCCGTTGTATCCTGGAAGACACTGGCCGGTTTTGGTTGATTGTTTTCGCCCGCGGGAAACATCCATGAAGGAGGCCTGATTAGTGAAACAGAAAGGTGAACTTTTTTCTTCCTGTTCTGCCATCGATCGTTGTTAGACGCTTAATGTGCGATTTTTAAAAGGAAATTTGACGTTACCCTTACACTCTTGTCAACACTCAGAACATGCTATACAAGCAGAAATGAAACCATTTGGTTCGAGGGTTGTTGCAAAACAGGAATTGCAAAGTGATGGAGATAGTTAAGACTCGCTTGAAGAAACGTTTGCCCGAGATTTTTAACTGTCTGGTGTTCCGTTTACAAGGATGACGCCCACTTAAAAGCCAATAACAATTGATTCTCTCAGTTTTCCATTAGTATATAGCAGTAGTTCCGAAACATTGTTCTTGGCAGTGAATAAGATAGGAAAGTTATCAACAAATCTGTTTAACCCAAAACCCACCTGAACAGAGCTATAACATTTAGATCCTTTCTTCTTTTTAAAATGACCTGGCTTCATCTGCCGTGTTTTATTATTCAACTCACAGCTACGTTTTCCTTTGCTGTCACCGGGATGAACATTGATCGACTTACAGCTGTTATTTCCTATACATTTTAACTGGCATTCATTCATTCGTCTGGATAACATGACCTACTAAGGCATAGTCTTAAAGGCAAAAAAACGTTCTTTCTAGTGAGTATTAGCCGTAGAAAGAGAGTATAAGAATCGGTGTTTTCTTTTTTCTTTTTGTTTTTTTGAAGTATTTACTCACCAACTCGAGTTTCAAAAACACTTCCACAAAAGTCCTTGGTCGCCAGGACAAACAGGATTCCCAAAAGGATGTTTAGGCTAGCAATGAAAAACTGGGTCAGCCCTAAAACGGCCACTCTAAAATTGGCCGTGTCATCTTTTCCAGGTGGAGCTCCTTAGTTTTCTTGTTGCATATCAGCTTTCTTATACTTGCCTTCCTCTGTAAGCAGAGCGCCATTGATTCACAATTGAAATACTTATTGTCTATAATTCATGATTCCTTTTTTTCATCGCTGTAATTGTTCTTCAGTTTGCATGAAAATTTCTTTTGCTCGTCGCAGTAATAGAAGAGTTTGTTTTTACTTTTATCATTGTCATTGATAATCTGATTCGCCAAATCAACTGGGTGGCTTTTGTTTTGAGGAATTTGCAATTAACGGGTCAACTTTGCTCACGAGAAACGTCCACACAGGAAGCCTGACGATACAATTTAAAAGAAAAGTGATTTTTTCGTTTTGTTTTTCTTGACATGACATCGAAAGGACAAAAACTCATCCATTTCATACTTTGAGTAACTTTTTTTCGCTTAATTAAGTACCAAGTGGATTACATCCGTTCAGCTCTGATCACCTTATATCGCGTGAAAGTTTTTATAATCACAAATAGCTGTTCAAAATAATAAACTCTTTTTTAACTAATAAGAACGTTAATATAGATGCCGAGAACATAAAACGTAATTATCCTGAGAGTTAGAGATAAAGCGAACCTACTAATTTGCATCAGGCTGCAAACTTTTTGTAAACAGGTGACATTACCAACTCTTTCAACACATTACTTTTGCAGAAACGAAGCGAATATATATAAATATATATGTATATGTATACATATACATATACATATATATACACATATGACACGTTAAAACGTTACGTCCGACCAAATGAACATTTTCTTTTTGTCATTCTTAGCTCTCAGATCGATAAATAGAAAACCGGTAAAGTTCCGGTTCCGAGAAATGGTCGGACATAGTACAATTTGGCACATGGCTTTAGCTCAGCTTTGCACGGGGGAAGAGCATGCTCTTTCCACCGATGACAGCAAGCGTTTTACCCCAACTTCATTATAAGAATTATTCACCTTCAAAACTGAAAATTATCCGAATATCTTCGGTATATTGGCAAGTACTTACGGTAACCATAAAACTTAGTATCAACCCGAGCAGACCTATAGCATGTAGATACTTTTCTCTGTTTAAAATCTTCTGGGTTCATCTACCGCGTTTTATTTTTCAACTCACTGTTACGTTGTCCGATACAGTCACCGGGAAGAACGTTGATCGCGGACTTGCAACGGTTAGTTCCCATACATTTTAACTGACATTCAAACTCGTCCATAGCAACAGTCGTATGCACAACATGACCTGCTAATGCATGGTCAGAAAGGTGAAAAAAAAAAAAAAAAAGGATTAATGTTTTTTCACCTGAATATATATGAAACAAAGCATGAGATTTTGGTCCCATTTTTTCAGTTTGAGTTTTAACTCACCCTCTTGAGTTTCGAAAACGCATCCACAAAAGTCTCCCTTTGCCAGGGCAAACAGGATTCCGAGGACGATTTGAAGAGCCCCTCCTCCATATTTTATGACCGTGATGAAAAATCCATCAGGTGTAATATATTGCCTGATTTTTTGTAGGTTCAAACACAAATGATAAATGTGGCCTCCCGTAAAATACGCATTACGGGGTAGAAAATGTAAGAAAAATCTTGTGCAGAATCAGGCTTCCTAGGAGCAACTTGACGTGAATGTGTTTAAAAATATACCCGATGGCTACTATATTTTTTTGGTAAAGCAAATTTAGTGTATCAAAATATATCTTCCCGCAAGGTTACTTTTTCCTTTCTTTTTTTTTTTCTGATCTGTAATGCTTGTTCAAAATAGTGGTAATGTCTGTACTAGAGCCATTTGAGCTAATGACAGTTTCTGCCCCCCCCCCCCCCCCTCCCACCAGGCACAAAGAAAAGAACACAATGGCCCGGCTAGTTCTTGAGCCCAGACCTCTCGGGCCGGAATCCAGTGCGCCAACTATTTTACCACCGCCTCTGTGGGTTCAAAGCCACTCAGATCATCTGAGCGGGTGGTACTGTTTTGGGTACAGCTGGAATTTCTATTCAAGTATTCAACTCGATTGCTGATGAACGAGCGCAGCGAACGAGTGAGATGTCGAGTTGAACACTAGAAGAGAAATTCCATATCTACAAGCAACAATTTATTATTCTCTATTTAACATTCATTTGAATTTTGGTCCTCTTTTAGTTTCAGTCAGTATGATCGTGTATCCATATTTTGGGACTAACTACTATAACTCTATAGCTATAATTCCGGCATACTCTGACCTTGCAATAAGGAAAGGGTAAAAATTGGCAAATCTTCCAGCAGTCGATTTTCGTTTTCAGCGGCGAGTAATGCCGTTACCAAAGTTACTGAATGCGTAACTTTCGGTTTTTTCTTTGCGCATTTTGGTTTTCTTTTCCTTCTAGAAAAGTTTTAACGTCACTGTCCGTAGGTGATACGGATTTTTCAGTGTTTTAGAGGTCAGATAGAGAATAATATATGGGCACGCGTGATATGGAATTTTTCTTCCAGTGTTTAACTCGATAACTCACGAGTGAGTGCAGCGAACGTGTGAGATGTCGAGTTGATCACGAGAAGAGAAATTCCATATCTACAAGCAACCATGTATTATTATGTTTATCATATAAACACAATAGCCTTTTACTGACAAGAAAAGCCGACTTTATCAATGAATGAAAATAGAAGGATCAGCAGTTTCCGAGTGAAAATCGTACAGTGTGTTGGCGCTAAAGCTAAAGATAAAAAAAGTGCTTTGAATCACGATTACAAAAACAACGATGGGCGTTATTTTCAATTTACAAAATTATCATTTATTGACTTTGTTCCTACCGACAGAAGAAATCCTTCAGGCAATCGGCAAAAATTGGCCTGCGGCAAATCTTTCATTTGTCGATTTTCGTTCTCAGCCGCGGAGAAACGCCATTACCAAAGCCACTGAATACGTAGCCTTCGGTTTTTCTTTTCGTATGTTGGTTTTCTTCAAGGAAGGTTTGAACGCCACCGTCTGTGAGCGATATGGATTTTTCAGTGTTTTAGCGGCCGTAATCCAAGAGAATGGTGAAGTTGGTGTTTTGTCAACATGACCGAGTAGCGCGAAATGCCAATGACGTGTCAGCTGCTGATTGGCGATATCAAACACACGTGAAAAAATATTGTATTTGATCACGTGTGTTCTTACGGCTGTTCTCGGGGCTGGAAATCCTTGTCTAACACTGTAGTTTATATGATAAAATCCGAGAACATTCCGACAAACGACTTTGGATTGAGAATGGTAAAGACTTTGCTGTTCATTCATCAACAAGTGACGTGAAAGGCGAGTGACGTGTCAGCAGCTGATTGGCTATATCAAACACACCTGAAAAAATATCGTATTTTTCTACGTGTGTCGTTAGAGCTTTTCTCAGGGCGGGATATCTTTTTATAACACCACAGTTTATATATGATAAAAGTATGCATCCACCAAAACTTTTGTCGCATTATTTTTTTGAGTGTTTTTTTCTTTTGCACAGAATGGTAGGTACAAGTTTCCACACGTTTTCACGACTTGTCGTTTAATAAATTGTTGATGAAGTAAACGGTGCAAACTTTAGGTGTAGAGTAAATATGATGTTGGACAACAGCTTTAAATAAATTTGCCAATCGCAAACTATCCACAGCAAGTAACTTGGTGAACTCTACATAATCATGTTCATGTTAATTTTTCAATTATTGCAGCGTAAAAAAAAGACGCCATCCAAGGTCGAATTTTCAATGAGAACAAACAATAGTTCTTAACAGTAAACGGTTTGAGCCCGGGATGACAGGTGATCGTGGTCGTACTGACAGTTGTCAGTTGTAGTGACTGTCCTTCTCAGCTATCTCAACACTGGTAAGGTAATGAACTAGACTGTATTTCTCCCAAAGAAAACTGCAAGAGATTTTTTTCTACTAATGAAAACTGCCTATTATACGACCTACTGCAAATATTACAGATTTATAAATTTTAGTCTGGTGCAAGTAGATTTTTTGATAATATTAAGCATTTGATAACTTCTTATAGTAAGCTAGTAGCTAAAAGTTTTTCAAGGCTGTGAAAGTACACGTATTTGACTGTCGCAGTTTAGGCTTCAGCGAACAAAGACTTTCCAAAAATCATCAGATGACAGCGCAAAAAATTCTGAACCAGACTCCAGGTAGTCGTCGCACTCCCATCTTTGATTCCCATTTGTCAAAACCCAGTGATAATGTCCTGGTACAAATAAAAGAGGATCGTTTAACCTTTCCCGTGTGTTATAGAGGAATCCCCACTTCATATCGTGCCATTGATGACAACTTGCAGTTGCTCTGGAGTTATCATTTTCCATTCTATTAAACGAGCCACAGCTTAAGGGGCGGGAATCCGTCTGACCGCTGAAATACTGGACTACAGCTTCACCAGAGCTGTTAGCAGCGGTAGTCACGTGGATTGTACGTCCTTTTTGTTTACTGCAATGAAATCTCAGCTGAGTGAAGGACAAGTGTGTTCTCAGTTCTTTCATGGCATCCTTCGTGATGAACAGCGTCTTGTTGTCGTGACAGTTGCTGATTTCACGGTAAGAAGACTCAATCGAAAGCTGTCGCGAGGACGGGTCGTCTACCACAACGTTGGAAACAAGAAGCCAACCTCCTGGAAAAAATTATTATTGCAGTATATACGTAACGTAACAACAACTTCATTGATTTTCTTTTATTTTCCAAAGTATTTTTACCTCCGTCAGTTGTCATGTCACAGTAGACCTTTAGTGGCTTTCCGTTCTTCTCAGGGTCGATCCAGTACTCCCCGTCTTTTTTAAAGAAACCTGAGTCTCGGATGTCCTTACAGGAATGACCAGGCTGATTGTAATATAAGCCTCTGGTAGCTGAAAAGGAAATGAGGTCTGATCTTGATGGGTTTATTAATCTTCACACACCGGTTAAGACGCTGAAAAAAAGGCTAAAGCTATATGCAAACTTAAACACGACTGTCCGCATTCATCTTCAGAAATAGGTTATAAAAGGGTTTCTCAATTGAAAATTCCCAGCATCCTCATAGCACTTAATAGTCATGTATTTTGTTTGGCAACGTCTAAGACAGAACTTTTCTAGAATAGTCACACCGCTTACGTGTTTCACAATGTTTTCCTTTGTATCTTGGATGACACTGGCCGCTTTGGGTTGTTTGTTTTCGCCCGCGAGAAACATCTATGCAGGAGGCCTGAATAGTAAAATAGAAAGATGAACTTTTTCCTCCTGTTCTGCCATCAATCGTTGTTCAGAGTGAACAAAGCTTGTTTTCTTGTTTTCAGTATTCAGATGCTTAATGTACGATTTTTAAAAGGAAATTTGACGTTACCCTTACACTCTTGTCAACACTCAGAATACTCTATACAAGCAGAAATGAAACCTTTTGGTTCGAAGGTTGTTGCAAAACGGGAATTGCACAGTGATGGAGATAGTTAATACACGCTTGGAGAAACGTTTGCCCGAGACTTTTAACAGCCCGATGTAAGCCAATAGCGAATGATTCTCTCAGTTTCCATTATTATACAGCAGTAGTTCCGAAACATTGTTCTTGGCGGTGAATAAGATAGAAAAGTTATCAACAAACCTGCTTAACCCAAAACCCACCTGAACAGAGCTATAGTATGTAGATCCTTTCTTCTTTTTAAAATGACCTGGCTTCATCTGCCGTGTTGTATTATTCAACTCACAGCAACGTTTTCCATTGCTGTCACCGGGATGAACATTGATCGACATACAGCTGTTATTTCCCATACATTTTAACTGGCATTCAAACTCGTCCACAACAACAGTGGTCCGGATAACATGACCCACCAAGGCATGTTCTTAAAGGCAAAAAAACGTTCTTTCTAGTGAGTATTAGCCGTAGAAAGAGAGTGTGAGAATGGGTGCTTTCTTTTTTCTTTTTTTCTTTTTTTTAACTATTTACTCACCGACTCGAGTTTCAAAAACGCTCCCACAAAAGTCTTTGTTTGCCAGGACAAACAGGATTCCCAAAAGGATGTTTAGGATAACAATGGCAAACTGGGTCAGCCATAAAACAGCCATACTAAAATTGGCCGTTTTATCTTTCTCAAATGGAGCTCCTTAGTTTTCTTGTTGTATGTCAGCTTTCTGATATTTGCCTTCCTCTGTAAGCAGAGCGTCATTGACTCACAATTGAAATACTTATTATCTCTAATTCATGATTCCTTTTTATTCATCGCTATAATTGTTCTTCAGTTTGCATGAAAATTTCTTTTGTTCGTCGCAGTAAGAGAAGAGTTTGTTTGCCTACTTTATCATTACCATTGATAATCTAATTCGCCAAATCAACAGGGTGGCTTTTGTTTTGAGGAATTTCCAATTAACGTCCGTCCAAATTAACATTTGTTTTGTCATTCTCAGCTCTCGGATCGATAAATGGAAAAAAACCGGTAAAGTTCCGAATTTCTCTGCCTTGTAGCCTATAAAATTAACAAGATCGTTTTATGCTCAATAAGAAAGGCAAAATGAAGACCCCCTATTTTTGCTTCGCCAAATTAGTCAGAGCCATATTTTTTTTAGCGCTCAAGAACTAGAATTCCTTTCAGCCTCGCCATGAGCAACTCCTACGCTCTTCTCGGGAACGCATCTGTTGAATCATACTTAACAAATGGAGAAGCCTCGACTGTGCTCTGTTTTGTTGTAAAGCTCGCAGGAAGCAGCCAGAGCACGAGAGAAGTGGGGAGAAACACGAGACTTAGACAAGTGTTTCTCCCCACTTCTTGAGTGCTCTGGCCGCTTCCTAAGTTCTTTACAACAGCACACAGCACAATCGAGACTTCTCTATTTGTTTTATATATAAAGAATCCGTTAAATTCCCGATACATTACTTTCAATTTTCAAAACAAAATGTATTGCCAAAGCAAAGAACAGTGTCGTCGGCATGCTCCGTACTCTCATAATGCGCGCCACAATAAGTTGATAGGAATACTTGTTATAATGGTTCAAATAATCTGATTGGCTGAAAAAGACTAAAGCTGTCAAAAGTGTTAAGCCATCAAAGTTCACAATCTGCAGTAGGTCTGATCTGATCAAGGTTGAAGAACGGGGACTTCATTTTCCTGTTGTTGTTGTTGTTGTTGTTTCATTTTAGAATGCAAATTATAAGCAGGTGGTCATAACAGCCTACTCCCCGAAAACTTATTACATAATATCTTTTGTCAATTAGGTCCGCGCTTTTTAAACAATAGCTTTGGATGAATCAATTTTAATAAAGTTGTCCGAGTTCCTACTTGAAGGAAACTGGTGTCAATTTTCTACTTACGGGCACTATTGCCAATTTAATAAATCAACGGCGGTTCAGGGTGGCCTCAACTCTTACTCACGAAGCACAGCAAATAAAACGATTCTTTCAGTGCGTGACCGCCGAGATTGTGACACGCTGACTCGAGTAGTGTTAACTGTACTCTTATTAACAACGGCAATTTACCCAATCAGACTGCGACATTACTGCCAATTGTGGTAAAATTCCTTATTTACTTCCTAGTCAAACTTTTTTTTACTCATTTCCGTAGGCGGACGCTCGCGTGGGCGAACGTGGACACTTTTGGACTTTTGTTTTGTTTACGCTCTCTCGTTAGCGAACATCCTATGGATAATAATTGACTCTTAGCAGTAAAATCTGTCTTAAATTTGCAATCAACAAAGATATGGTATCTTACAGGGCAAAAGAAAAGGGGGGATAGATTTTGCCAAATCTTCATTTGTCCACGGGAAAGCAAGTTCTCCGTTCGTTTGACTTGAACAAGAGTTCAACATAACGCTCTCCCGTAAGGGACATCGCCCTTTTTTTCTTCTTTAGTATCCGCGTCGGGGAATGATTCTCTTTGGCGGACACTTCTACTGACGAACACCTTTTCCAATTCCCCGAGGGTATCCGTTTACGAGAGAGTTGACCGTATTCCTGCAAAGTTATGCTCTTGGCTTCCTTTTTTCTAATCTGTAATGCTGCTTCAAAGAACGTAGTTATGTCTGTACTCGAGTCATGTGACCATTCCAGCCGGAGCCTCTCCAGGTTTCTGTCCTCTACCCTTCCCTCCCTCTTTCCTTAGCGTTTCATCAAGCTTTACTGACAATTCACTTTTACCCATTTATACTCCTGGATGGAGAGAGGCATGGTGAGAGTAAAGTGTCTTGCCTGGGAACAAAAAATGCTAACCGGGCCAGTTCTTGAGCCCAGAGCTCCCGATCCACAATCGAGCGCGCTCATCGCTTATCAGGCCACAGCGCCTACAGTTTCAAAGCCACTATACATTAAATGGGTAATGCGAGGCCTTTTCCTTGTTGCAAGGTCAAACAGTGGCGGAATTATGTGTATTGAGTTAGTCTGTGCCCGAAAAATGGATACACGATGATCATTTGGCTGAAGCGTATGAATAAAAAAAAAATAAAATAAAAAAATAAAAAATTCTGTATGAATAAAAAAATAAAAAATTCTGTATGAGAGTTCTTCTTGAAGTCGTCGCACTCCCATCTTTGATTCCCATTTGGCAAATACCAGTGATTAGCGCGTGGTAAATAAAAAGGATGATCGTTTAACCTTTCCTGTGCGAATTTTGCTTGATCCCCTTTCATATCTTTCCATTCATGACAACTTGCAGTTGTTATGGAGTTATCATCTTTCATTCTTTTAAACGAGCCACAGCCCAAAGGGCGCGAATCCGTCTGACCGCTGAAGAACTGGACTACAGCTTCACCAGAGCTGTTAGCAGCGGTAGTCACGTGGATTGTACGTCCTTTTTGTTTACTGCAATGAAATCTCAGCTGAGTGAATGACAAGTGTGTTCTCAGTTCTTTCATGGCATCCTTCGTAATAAAGAGCGCCTTGTTGTCGGGAAAGTTGCTGATTTCACGGTAAGAAGACTCAATCGAAAGCTGTCGAGAGGACGGGTCGTCCACCACAACATTGGAAACAAGAAGCCAACCTCCTGAAACAAATTTATAATTTAAAATATCTTATAAAGAATATAAAGGTTAAGACTTTGCTGTTCATTCATCAACAAGTGACGTGAAAGGCGAGTGACGTGTCAGCAGCTGATTGGCTATATCAAACACACCTGAAAAAATATCGTATTTTTCTACGTGTGTCGTTAGAGCTTTTCTCAGGGCGGGATATCTTTTTATAACACCATAGTTTATATATGATAAAAGTATGCATCCACCAAAACTTTTGTCGCATTATTTTTTTGAGTGTTTTTTTCTTTTGCACAGAATGGTAGGTACAAGTTTCCACACGTTTTCGCGACTTGTCGTTTAATAAATTGTTGATGAAGTAAACGGTGCAAACTTTAGGTGTAGAGTAAATATGATGTTGGACAACAGCTTTAAATAAATTTGCCAATCGCAAACTATCCACAGCAAGTAACTTGGTGAACTCTACATAATCATGTTCATGTTAATTTTTCAATTATTGCAGCGTAAAAAAAAGACGCCATCCAAGGTCGAATTTTCAATGAGAACAAACAATAGTTCTTAACAGTAAACGGTTTGAGCCCGGGATGACAGGTGATCGTGGTCGTACTGACAGTTGTCAGTTGTAGTGACTGTCCTTCTCAGTTATCTCAACACTGGTAAGGTTGACTGTAGACTGTATTTCTCCCAAAGAAAACTGCAAGAGATTTTTTTCTACTAATGAAAACTGCCTATTATACGACCTACTGCAAATATTACAGATTTATAAATTTTAGTCTGGTGCAAGTAGATTTTTTGATAATATTAAGCATTTGATAACTTCTTATAGTAAGCTAGTAGCTAAAAGTTTTTCAAGGCTGTGAAAGTACACGTATTTGACTGTCGCAGTTTAGGCCTTAGCGAACAAAGACTTTCCAAAAATCATCAGATGACAGTGCAAAAAATTCTGAACCAGACGCCAGGTGGTCGTCGCACTCCCATCTTTGATTCCCATCTGTCAAAACCCAGTGATAATGTCCTGGTACATAAAAAAGATGATCGTTTAACCTTTCCCGTGTGTCATAGAGGAATCCCCACTTCATATCGTACCATTGATGACAACTTGCAGTTGCTCTGGAGTTATCATTTTCCATTCTATTAAACGAGCCACAGCTCAAGGGGCGGGAATCCGTCTGACCACTGAAATACTGGACTACAGCTTCACCAGAGCTGTTAGCAGCGGTAGTCACGTGGATTGTACGTCCTTTTTGTTTACTGCAATGAAATCTCAGCTGAGTGAAGGACAAGTGTGTTCTCAGTTCTTTCATGGCATCCTTCGTGATGAACAGCGTCTTGTTGTCGTGACAGTTGCTGATTTCACGGTAAGAAGACTCAATCGAAAGCTGTCGCGAGGACGGGTCGTCTACCACAACGTTAGAAACAAGAAGCCAACCTCCTGGAAAAAACGAATAAAATTTGGATATAAGACGCGATGCCTGTTCCAATTATTATTGCGGTATATACGTAACGTAACAACAACTTCATTGATTTTCTTTTATTTTCCAAAGTATTTTTTACCTCCGTCAGTTGTCATGTCACAGTAGACCTTTAGTGGCTTTCCGTTCTTCTCAGGGTCGATCCAGTACTCCCCGTCTTTTTGAAAGAAACCTGAGTCTCGGATTTCCTTACAGGAATGACCAGGCTGATTGTAATATAAGCCTCTGGTAGCTGAAAAGAAAATGAGGTCTGATCTTGATGGGTTTATTAATCCTCACACACCGGTTAAGACGCTGAAAAAAAGGTAAAAGCTATACGCAAACTTAAACACGACTGTCCGCATTTGTCTTCAGAAATGGGTTTTAAAAGGGTTTCCCAATTGAAAATTCCCAGCATCCTCATAGCACTTAATAGTCATGTATTTTGTTTGGCAACGTCTAAGACAGAACTTTTCTAGAACAGTCACACCGCTTACGTGTTTCACAATGTTTTCCTTTGTATCTTGGATGACACTGGCCGCTTTCGGTTGTTTGTTTTCGCCCGCGAGAAACATCCATGCAGGAGGCCTGAATAGTAAAACAGAAAGATGAACTTTTTTCCTCCTGTTCTGCCATCAATCGTTGTTCAGAGTGAACAAAGCTTGTTTTCTTGTTTTCAGTATTCAGATGCTTAATGTACGATTTTTAAAAGGAAATTTGACGTTACCCTTACACTCTTGTCAACACTCAGAATACTCTATACAAGCAGAAATGAAACCTTTTGGTTCGAAGGTTGTTGCAAAACGGGAATTGCACAGTGATGGAGATAGTTAATACACGCTTGGAGAAACGTTTGCCCGAGACTTTTAACAGCCCGATGTAAGCCAATAGCGAATGATTCTCTCAGTTTCCATTATTATACAGCAGTAGTTCCGAAACATTGTTCTTGGCGGTGAATAAGATAGAAAAGTTATCAACAAACCTGCTTAACCCAAAACCCACCTGAACAGAACTATAGTATGTAGATCCTTTCTTCTTTTTAAAATGACCTGGCTTCATCTGCCGTGTTGTATTATTCAACTCACAGCAACGTTTTCCATTGCTGTCACCGGGATGAACATTGATCGACATACAGCTGTTATTTCCCATACATTTTAACTGGCATTCAAACTCGTCCACAACAACAGTGGTCCGGATAACATGACCCACCAAGGCATGTTCTTAAAGGCAAAAAAACGTTCTTTCTAGTGAGTATTAGCCGTAGAAAGAGAGTGTCAGAATGGGTGTTTTCTATTTACTCACCGACTCGAGTTTCAAAAACGCTCCCACAAAAGTCTTTGTTTGCCAGGACAAACAGGATTCCCAAAAGGATGTTTAGGATAACAATGGCAAACTGGGTCAGCCATAAAACAGCCATACTAAAATTGGCCGTTTTATCTTTCTCAAATGGAGCTCCTTAGTTTTCTTGTTGTATGTCAGCTTTCTGATATTTGCCTTCCTCTGTAAGCAGAGCGTCATTGACTCACAATTGAAATACTTATTATCTCTAATTCATGATTCCTTTTTATTCATCGCTATAATTGTTCTTCAGTTTGCATGAAAATTTCTTTTGTTCGTCGCAGTAAGAGAAGAGTTTGTTTGCCTACTTTATCATTACCATTGATAATCTAATTCGCCAAATCAACAGGGTGGCTTTTGTTTTGAGGAATTTCCAATTAACGTCCGTCCAAATTAACATTTTGTTTAGTCATTCTCAGCTCTCGGATCGATAAATCGAAAAAACCGGTAAAGTTCCGAATTTCTCTACCTTGTAACCTATAAAATTAACAAGATCGTTTTAAGCTCAATAAGAAAGGCAAAATGAAGACCCCCTATTTTTGCTTCGCCAAATTAGTCAGAGCCATATTTTTTTTAGCGCTCAAGAACTAGAATTCCTTTCAGCCTCGCCATGAGCAACTCCTACGCTCTTCTCGGGAACGCATCTGTTGAATCATACTTAACAAATGGAGAAGCCTCGACTGTGCTCTGTTTTGTTGTAAAGCTCGCAGGAAGCGGCCAGAGCACGAGAGAAGTGGGGAGAAACACGAGACTTAGACAAGTGTTTCTCCCCACTTCTTGAGTGCTCTGGCCGCTTCCTAAGTTCTTTACAACAGCACACAGCACAATCGAGACTTCTCTATTTGTTTTATATATAAAGAATCCGTTAAATTCCCGATACATTACTTTCAATTTTCAAAACAAAATGTATTGCCAAAGCAAAGAACAGTGTCGTCGGCATGCTCCGTACTCTCATAATGCGCGCCACAATAAGTTGATAGGAATACTTGTTATAATGGTTCAAATAATCTGATTGGCTGAAAAAGACTAAAGCTGTCAAAAGTGTTAAGCCATCAAAGTTCACAATCTGCAGTAGGTCTGATCTGATCAAGGTTGAAGAACGGGGACTTCATTTTCCTGTTGTTGTTGTTGTTGTTGTTTCATTTTAGAATGCAAATTATAAGCAGGTGGTCATAACAGCCTACTCCCCGAAAACTTATTACATAATATCTTTTGTCAATTAGGTCCGCGCTTTTTAAACAATAGCTTTGGATGAATCAATTTTAATAAAGTTGTCCGAGTTCCTACTTGAAGGAAACTGGTGTCAATTTTCTACTTACGGGCACTATTGCCAATTTAATAAATCAACGGCGGTTCAGGGTGGCCTCAACTCTTACTCACGAAGCGCAGCAAATAAAACGATTCTTTCAGTGCGTGACCGCCGAGATTGTGACACGCTGACTCGAGCAGTGTTAACTGTACTCTTATTAACAACGGCAATTTACCCAATCAGATTGCGACATTACTGCCAATTGTGGTAAAATTCCTTATTTACTTCCTAGTCAAACTTTGTATTTACTCATTTCCGTAGGCGGACGCTCGCGCGTGGGCGAACGTGGACACTTTTGGACTTTTGTTTTGTTTACGCTCTCTCGTTAGCAGACATCCTATGGATAGTAATTGACTCTTAGCGATAAAATCTGTCTTAAATTTGCAATCAACAAAGATATGGTATCTTACAGGGCAAAAGAAAAGGGGGGATAGATTTTGCCAAATCTTCATTTGTCCACGGGAAAGCAAGTTCTCCGTTCGTTTGACTTGAACAAGAGTTCAACATAACGCTCTCCCGTAAGGGACATCGTCCTTTTTTTCTTCTTTAGTATCCGCGTCGGGGAATGATTCTCTTTGGCGGACACTTCTACTGACGAACACCTTTTCCAATTCCCCGAGGGTATCCGTTTACGAGAGAGTTGACCGTATTCCTGCAAAGTTATGCTCTTGGCTTCCTTTTTTCTAATCTGTAATGCTGCTTCAAAGAACGTAGTTATGTCTGTACTCGAGTCATGTGACCATTCCAGCCGGAGCCTCTCCCGGTTTCTGTCCTCTACCCTCCCCTCCCTCTTTCCTTAGCGTTTCATCAGGTTTTACTGACAATTCACTTTTACCCATTTATACTCCTGGATGGAGAGAGGCATGGTGAGAGTAAAATGTCTTGCTAAGGGACAAAAAATACTAATCGGGCCAGTTCTTGAGCCCAGAGCTCCCGACCCACAATCCAGCGCGCTCATCGCTTATCAGGCCACAGCGCCTACAGTTTCAAAGCCACTATACATTAAATGGGTAATGCGAGGCCTTTTCCTTGTTGCAAGGTCAAACAGTGGCGGAATTATGCGTATTGAGTTAGTCTGTGCCCGAAAAATGGATACACGATGATCATTTGGCTGAAGCGGACCAAAAGAGGACCAAAATCACATGAATTTTACAAGAATGTAGCCGGAACAATATTCGTTGAATGATTTTTCGGAGCGTTTTTATGATGGTGCAAAGAATGGCAGGTACACACTTCCACACGTTTTCACAACTTGCTGTTTTATAAATTGTGATTCAAACGTACATAGCTACAAGCTTAAGATGTAGGCTAATTGAGATGTTGGACAGCAGGTTTAAATAAAAACTCCTGCTAAAAGGTTACCAAGCCGCAAACTAACAAACATCGTGCGACCTGGTGAGCTCTACATGTTCATGTTCATGTTAATTTTTCAATTATAGCAGTCAAAAAAAAAAAAAAAAAGAAGACGCAGTCCTTGGTCAAAATTGTAATGTTCAAAAACAATAGTTTTTTTGGTTTTTTAATCTCAACACTGGCAAGCTTATGAGCTTAGACAAGAGAATAGAAAAGTTTGTATTCTCTTTCCTTAGCGGTGTTTTTTACAGGGAAGAGTGCCCGTCATTTTCTACTGATGAAGGACGCCTCATTCAACACTCGGCACTAATATTACTAATCTATAGATTTTAGTCTACTTAAAATAAACATTCAAGAACATTTAGCATCGCATAACGTTTGAGCCAGTAATTTCAAGTTTCTCAGGACCAAGTAAGCAGATGTAGGTGATTTGTCGCTCTTATTTCCTAACGAACAAAGACTTTCCAGAAATCATCAGAGGACAGCGCAAAAAATTCTGTATGAGAGTTCTTCTTGAAGTCGTCGCACTCCCATCTTTGATTCCCATCTGTCAAACGCCAGTGAGTATCCCCCGGTAAAAATAAAGGATGATCGTTTAACCTTTGCTGTGCGACGCTTGCTAATCCCCACCTCATATCTCTCCATTGATGACATCTTGCAGTTGTTCTGGAGTTATCATCTTCCATTCTTTTAAACGAGCCACAGCCTAAGGGGCGGGAATCCATCTGACCACTGAAATACTGGACTACAGCTTCACCAGAGCTGTTAGCAGCGGTAGTCACGTGGATTGTACGTCCATTTTGTTTACTGCAATGAAATCTCAGTTGAGTGAAGGACAAGTGTGTTCTCAGTTCTTTCATGGCATCCGTCGTGATAAACAACGCCTTGTTGTCGCGACAGTTGCTGATTTCACGGTATGAAGACTCAATCGAAAGCTGTCGCGAGGACGGGTCGTCTACCACAACGTTGGAAACAAGAAGCCAACCTCCTGAAACAAATTTATGATTTTAAATATCTTATGACAAATCAAAGAAAACATAGAATTGATTTGTTTTGTCATATAAACTACGGTGCTATACAAGGATTTCCAGCCCTGAGAAAAGCCATAATAACACACATGAAAAAAATATCGTATTTTTTCACGTGTGTTTGATATCGCCAATCAGCGTCATCCGCCTTTCGTGCCACTCGATCAGGTTGATGAATGAACAGCAGAGCCATCACCATTCTCAATCCAAGGTCGTTTGTCGCAATTTTTCGGATTATGGCTGCTAAAACACTGAAAAATCTGTATCGCTTACAGACAGTGACGTTCAAACTTGCCTAAAAGGGGAAGAAAACCAAAATACGGAAAGAAAAACAGAAAGTTACGTATTCAGTGGCTTTGGTAATGGCATTTCTCGCGGCTGATATGGACAACTGGAAGATTTGCCACTGGCCGATTTTGGCTGTGTACCTGAAAGATCTTTTCTGTCGGTAAGGAAAAAGTCAATAATTGAGAATTTTGAGAATTACGATTTTTATTCGGGGATTGTCGATCCTTTTATTTTCATTCATTAATCAGCTTGACTTTTCATGTCAGTAAAGGGCTATTATGTTCATATGATAAACAAAATGATACAAGGTTGCTTGTAGACATGAAATTTCTTTTCTCGTGTTCAACTCGACATTCGCTGCGCTCACTTGTGAGCTATCGAGTTAAACACTCGGAGAGAAATTTCTATATCTACGCGCGCCCTTGTATTATTCGCAATTTATCAACTAAATTGATAATGAAATTGGCTGCTGCAGAGAAATTCTAAAGCTGACGTTTCGAGCTACAGCCCTTCGTCAGAGCGAAGGGCTAACGCTTAGAAAGTCAGCTATAGAATTTCTCTGGAGTGACCAATTTACATTTTAAACTCAGCTGATAAACAAAATTATCCTACAAATACCCCCCGCCGACGCAGCACCACCTTTCAAACATTGATTTGATGCACTAAGCATTCATTCGATACTTTTTTCACTCTGAGTGTAGTATCTGAAGAACGTAGTAACAACTTTCTTCAAAGTGTTTATCTTTATATTGTCATTGTTGCTCCATGTCTTACCTCCGTCAGTTGTCATGTCACAGTAGACCTTTATAGGCTTTCCGTTCTTCTCGGGGTCGATCCAGTACTCCCCGTCCTTTTGAAAGAAACCTGAGTCCCGGATGTCCTTACATGAATGGCCAGGCGAATCCTTATATAAACCTCTGACAGCTACAGAAGGAAATGCTATGTACATTAGCGAGCTTCATAGTCTTCACACAACGGTATCACTGCTCAAGGGTCTCAAGAGACTATCATCTTATCCAAAGGAATTTTTATGATGCTTGAGTTACCGCTGCATCGCGAGTTCCTCACCGTTAGAAAAACATTATTTTTGTTAGGTTTTGTGGATCAAGTCATGGAAAAAATCGAAACAAGCCGTAGGCTCAAAGCAAAGTGGTTAACTGACAAAGAATTAAATCAGAACTGTTTTGGTTTTGCAAAATCACTAATTAGTTAAGTTACTTTTGATGGCATTATTTGAGCATTTTTTTAAATTCTATTTTGTATTTGCTATAATACCCCACAAGGTAGCAATTATAGCTGACAGGCCTCACAATATGACATATTTACATCACAAGGGGTGTCACTGGTATTGCACAAACAGCAGGCATCTTGAATAACGGCGCGGTTTCTTCGAATTCTTAGCTTGCGTCAAATTTGTCCTATTTCATCGAAAAGCTTAGACCTCGCCAAAGTGACCAAATCTCGACCATTTTAATCTGCAAAAATACTTTATCTTACGCTTCAAGCTGTAAAATTGCAGCAGATGAAATCTAGGTAATTTTTTTTTTGGAACGGTCTCTCAATAAACTTTGCTAGAATCCTCTCGCCATCCAGGTGTTTGATACTGTGTTTTATGTATCCCGGATGAAACTTACCGACATCCAGGCAGGCGACCTAACAAAATAAATACATCATATCAACAATAGTACATCAAATCATTTCCCGTTAATTCTTAGATCGACATTTTTTACATGTTTTCAAGCCTGATATAATAGGTCCTGTTCAAAATTTATAGCGGCTCTGCTATAAAAATTCAGCCCCGACAACCTAGACATAACATAACTTTTATAATGCGCGTTCTTGTTTATCAGGTTTGGTTTTTTTGTTTTGTTTGTATCATGAAAAGCTTTTTTTATGTGAGCTTCTCAGATAAAGTTGATCCTTAAATTACAAAAATGCTCTTGATGTTCTCACTTGAACTCCAGACTAGGAGATAAAAAGGTTGATGAAATTCTCATCAGGAGTTTTGAGTAGAGTTTATGTAGCATGCAGAAACATCAAAATATGGACAATGGGAACAGATGTTCCCATGAAGACATCATTATGTCGAAGAGCTCGATTGGAAAAACATTTTTCATTGTTCCTGACCACCCGATGTGCTCTTGTTCTGTATTCTAGAAACCTTGCACTGAAATGGAAATTAATATGTCAGTTTTGTTGTCATTTGCATCATACTAGTCGTTCGCGGATCGTTAATAAAAGAATCAGTTACAATAATTTGTACCGACCTGAACAGAGGCATAGTAGGTAGATCCTTTTTTCTGTTTAAAATCACTTGGTTTCATCTGCCTTGTTTCATTGTTCAGCTCACAAATTCGGTTTCCGTTGCTGTCACTGGGACGAACGTTAAACGACTTACAGCTCTTACTTATGCATTTGAAATGACAATCAAACTCGTCTACGACTAAAGTCGTGAGCATAGCGTGACCGATTAAAGCATGGTCTGAAAGGTAAGAGACATAAAACCCAAATATTTTATGAAAATATGAAAAAAGATGGGCAAGATAATCAAAATATGTATTTTCAGTCTTCAGGAATTACTTACCAAGTTGCACTTCAAGAAAAACACCTCCACAGAATTCTCTTTTGGCCAGAACAACCACGATTCCCGAAAGGATGTGTAGCGTCACAACGGCAAACTGGGTCAGCCTCGCAACAGCCATCGGTGATATACGGTGGCGTCCGAATGCCCTTCTGGTCCCAAATTAACGTCTTCACTGGGTATATAATCTATATTTATGTGAAATACGTTCGGAAGAGCAGAGTGCTCTTCTAGATTTGAATTAAATTCTATAAACACATCAATAATTTATAATTCAATTCAAAGCTTTCAATGTGCCTGCAAGATATGTTTTTATGTTTTTTTTTCTCAACATTAACAATAATGGGTTTGTTTTTCCTTTCATTCAAAAAGATGTTTGAGAGAACTTCAGCTTTAATTTGTACTCGTTGAAAAAAATGCAAAGAAGAATGTGTTCAGCTGAACATCAACTAATTTGTGATTATCTGATTATTAATTCAGTATTTTTGCTTTCATGAAATATATAGACGTAATCTTTGGGTGAAAAGGGGATATGCGCCCATAATCTCGTACCTAGAATCAAATAAATGCCATTCACAGAGGAAACAATGTTATACGAGGGAGCAGTCATTTTTTATCTCCTGGGGAGGGGGGGGGGACGTAAAATTTTTGTTGTGTCACAATAGATTCGCCTGATCATCCCCCGTATGCTATGTAATACAATAATGATTCCCCCTCATTTGCAGTCTATTTTGTATGGCCTCCCCCGCCTTTTATACTCTGTTGGGAACGACTGTCCCTCTTTTCCCACATGAAAACCATATGATCTCCTGAAAACCACCGAATCTCCTTTCCTCCTTTCCTAAATAAAAAGGCTCTTCCCCAACTTCCCAATCAAGAAAATTTTGGTAACTTGTCCGACCGTACATATGTACGTTGTTACCACTTCATTACAGTGTTACACCACCTGTCTACTCAGTTAAGCATTTTCGCGCTCAAGATAAAACAGGATGTAAAGAGTTAACTTCTCCCTTATTACATTTCTATTGTAATTTGCAGCCCGAAGGCACAATGAGTCATAACTCAGCCCTGATATAGATTCAGTTTGTTAGTTTCAAATGCTATTGAAAAATTTATCTTATAATGAATGTAAGTTTTTGTAAAAGAAACAACATTTTTAAGTTTGAAAAACGCGTTTTGACATTCTTATGCAAATAGTAGTTGTACAATTTGAATTTACTCTAAACAGATAAGTTATTTGTTAAATACTTGAATGAAATAGAAGTACAGAAAAGCAATAACGATATATAGAGAATAATACATAGGCACGCGTAGATATGAAATTTCTCTTCGAGTGTTTAACTCGAAAAGGGAAATTCCATATCTACAAGCAACCATGTAATATTTTTTTTTCATATAAACACAATAGACCTTTACTGAGAAGAAAAGCCGACTTCATTATGAATGAAAATAAATGAATCGACAATCCCGAGTAACAATCATGGAGTGCGTTGGCGCTGACTCTTAAGATGGAAAAATGCTTTGAATCATGATTACAAAAACCACAATGGTCGTAATTTTCAATTTACAAAATTCTTATTTATTGACTTTGTCCTTGCCGACAGAAGAAGTCTTTCAGGTAAACCGGCCAAAATCGGCAAGTGACAAATCTTCTCAGCCGAGAGAAATGCTAACAACAAAGCCACTGAATACGTAACTTTCGGTTTTTCTTTTAGTATATTGGTTTTTTCCCTCTTTTAGGAAGGTTTGAACCTCACCGTCTGTCAGCAATACGGATTTTTTAGTGTTTTAGCCGCCATAATTCGAGGAAGCTCCGACAAACTACTTGTATTGACGATCGTGAAGGCTTTGCCGTTCATTCACCGACCTTGGATGTACGACCGTACAACCGACCATACAAGGTGCTACTCCCTTTTAGCATGCGTGGCCAACTGTACCACGGGCACTATCTTATAATCAGTCCTCTACACGGACACGGAGAAGTTGCGAATGAAAATTCATTAATATTATCACGCACTTTATCCATAGTAGGGGCTTTAGTTTTGTTGAAGAGACGTGCGGGGAAAAAAAATGCGAGCTCCGCTTTTAGGTTTGCTTAAATCTATATATTACTGTCATTCCCAATGACGAAGGTCTCCGGGCCCTCAAAATTTTTTTCGATCATTGCCCTGTTAAGGGAACCTAGCTCTGAAACAGTACTTCGTTTGGCCGAACTAATACTTACACTCAATTGCTTTTCATTCGGTGGTAACTACTACAAACAAAATAATGGCGTGGCCATGGGTCCTAAAATTGGACCCAGCTACGCAAATCTTTTCGTAGGTTTTAGCGAACATTAATTTTTTAGACAATACCGCGGCCCAAAACCTCTACGGCCGTTACATTGACGACTGCATCGGCGCTAACTCCTCTACCAGAAAGGAGCTCACTCAATTTATAACCGCCGTCAATTCCTTTCATCCGGCTCTTAAATGTACCAGGGAAATTTCCGACACTTCTTTGGCTTTTTTAGACATCAAAATTTCAACTGGAAGCAACTGTTTATGCACTAGTGTTTACTACAAACCTTTAGATTCATATAGTTACTTACTGTATTCATCTTTACACCCATCACACGTCAAGAACTCCATACCTTTTTCAAAGTTTCTCAGACTCCGTCGTCTATTTAGTGACGACACTGATTTTTCCGAAAAATCAGAGGCAATGTGCCAGTTTTTCGATAAACGTGGCTATCCTGTTTCTGTCGTTCAAGCGGTGCCCAACAAATTGATCGACAGTCAGCACTACAAACGGCCGAGAATGAGAACGCTGACCACATTCTATTCACTCTTACATTTCACCCTCGCAACCATGCGGTTAAATCTATCATTCTTAACAACTTTGAATTACTCCAAATCGATTCAGAGACTGGCACTATCTTTTTCCCCACTTATTTTATTCAAACGTGACAAAAACATAGGCAACTTTTTGGTCAGAAGTTCATTTCAAACCAACGTAAAGAGAGGTCGGTAATGATCGTTATTTAGGCCTTAACGAACATAGACTTTCCAGAAATCGCCAGGGAATAATCCAAAGAATTCTCCACCATTACTTGTATTGTAGTCGTCGCATTCCCATCTAGAGCTTGTAGGTGTCTGCAGTAGCCAGTGAAAACCTGCATAGACAAATGCAACTACTTTGTATCTGCAACTCCCACTTGGATTATGATCACCCCACTTTTGGTCTTTCCATTGCTGGCAATTTTGTGCTAACATCGAGTTGTCATCCTTCATCCTCACAAACGAGCCACAGGAATTTGGTCGGGAGTTTGTCTGACCGCTGAAGAAGTTGATTACAGCTTCACCGTTGCTGTTAGGCGCCGTGGTCACGTGGAACGTACGTCCTTTTTGTTTACTGCAGTGGAATCTCAGCTGAGTGAAGGACAAGTGTGCTCTCAGTTCCCTTGTTGCTTCTAGGCTGAGAAACATCGTCTTTCTGTGGCAGTTGTTGATATCGCGGTATGATGACTTTATCGAAAACTGTTGTGAGGGTGAGTTTTCAAACACAACATTGGAAACAAGAAGCCAACCTCCTAGAAAAAATACATAATAAAATCACATAACCAACAACAACCTGAGCTGACACAAGGCTAACACTCCATGAGTTGTTCTTGATAACTATTTTATAGAATATCATTAGTTTTGTGATTAAAAAAAACCATATCTTAATTTCTTTCTCCTTTGTCTTTGTATACATATCCATGTCTTACCTTCGTCAGTTGTCATGTCACAGAAGACCTTTAGAGGCTTTCCGTTCTTCTCAGGGTCGATCCAGTACTCGCCATCTCCAGTGGAATCTCCTAAGTCCCGGATGTCTTTGCAGGAATGACCAGGCTGATTGTAACTGAAGCCTTTGATAGCTGCAGAGGGAAATGCAATGTTTCTTATTGGGTGGCAAAATTATTTCACAATACACAAATTACCAAACTTCCAAACATAAATTTTGGCAGGCGGAAACGGAGAGTTCTTTTCCCTGACCCTAACTTTTAATTTTTCTGCAGCATTCAGGGTAAAATACTTGAAGATAGGTCTTTTCATTTGATTGCCTGATGTCAGCGCGCGCTAAAAGCTGTTTTATTCCCCATCCGCGCAAAATCAGTGTCAAAAACGCCTTCGTTTATAAATATCTTCTCATTGTCACAGTGCCCTGTTTGATTCGGATTCCAACAATTTTAAAGTGAGAGAGGAAGATCTAACGACGAGTTTCCATAAACATCACATCTAGGCATTTAACAAGTCTCAAAGTGAGATGACGTCTGCTTTCCGTCAGGAGCTTCACAATTCTCCGTAATTATCAGTTGAAAGTCTCATTAACACATTCTAGGGAAGAACCAAATTCTTGAGTCAAGTCCCAACAGGATTTGTAAAATACAACTATAGGCATAGGACTTTGGAAAATGATATCAACTTCAAAGTCCACATTTTCGGTGATGTGTTGTATGCAAATTCTTGAAAAAAAAATTTTCGTTGACTTAATTTTGCTCGGCGCAAAAGCACTGAGTACATAATATATTTCATGATTTTTTGTTTATTATCTATAAAACAAAGCGTCTCGGGGGATCCATAGTGGTGTTTTTAATTAAGCAATCAAACTTTTTTCCAATTAACACCGCAATACCCCCTGCTGTGTGAATGAAAAAATTATTAAACGCTTTGAAAGCATGGTTTAAATAATAACTTCACATTGATTCAAGGAACTTAAAACTTTGAAACGAAACTGCAACCGGACTTGTGGCTGAACAAGGTAAATTTGTTGTGTGGTGATGGGGAAGCAAAATGCCGGTTTAAAAAACTGCATTTGCGAGTTTAAAAATGACTTAGAGTGTGCTGCTTGGAATCGGCTAGGATTTTTAAATTTAAACTTTTTTTCCAAGTTGGCCGAACCATTTCTCTTCCAGATCTCGTTAGTAATTCTCCTTACTGCCTGCCATAAAAATTCTTATTATATTAGTTCGGAGAATACGGAATTGGATCAAATAATATTCCCCCCGTAGAAATTTTTCTTTATTCCCATCACTTGTCTGCTTGATATTGTATTGATATTGTATGGAGAAGTTTTGTCTTGGTCGGGGATTTGAATTACCAGGGACCTTACCTTAAACTGGTTTTTGTAGAATGTTTTGACACTTACGTGTTTGACACTTTTTTCCCTTGTATCCCGGATGACACTGACAACTTTCATTTTGTCTATTCCGTTGATGGGAACCATTGACACAAGAGACCTACGATAAGAACATAAGACCTGGGTAAAACTTTCCATTTTTGTTGAATGAGAAGGCAAAGCTGGCTTTCTCTTTCTGAGAAAAGTCTAAATTGTGAGAGTAGATTTTATTTACAAAGCCGACTTCCAGCTAGATCTAAAACCTTGAGTAACGCAGGTTCTTACAAAAAATAAATGGCTTCAATATCTGTTTTATATGAATCCTTTTATTTTAACATCGAAGGTAAAATCAGTGACTCCCACTTGTCAAGAATACGCGATGATCGTATCTAGCCCGAAACTGATCAATTGCACCCAAAGGAAACATCTTGTATCGAGGTTCCTTGTCATTGTTTCAATAGAATATAGCAGATCAGGTAGGTATAGTCCACTTTTAAAGTTTAATTCGAGTGTTCATTAAGAATGTTATCCTTTTTTATGGTTAACTCTGAAGCTGAAACTGAATTTCAATTTAGCAAATGAATCTTTCAGTCGTTGTTCGCCGTGAACATCAATAAAAACAATTACCCGTGAACTTATCTACTGACCTGGACAGAGCCAAAATATGTAAATCCTTTCATCGGCTTCAAATCATTCGTCTTAATCTGCCGTGTTTGTTTGTTCAGCTCACAAAGTCGAGTTTTGTTTCTGTCAATAGGATGAAGATTAATCGACTTGCAACTGTCATTTCCCATGCATTTCAACTGACATTGAAATTCGTCTTCAACAGGAGTCGTTTCCATGACGTGACCGACCAAGGTATAGTCTGAAAATAAGTGTTTTTTACGTAAATGTCCTAACAAGGAGGCATGCGGATCAGTTGTTTTAATTCTAATTCGAGCTTTCACCTACCAACTTGAGTCTCGAAAACACTTCCACAAAAATCATTATTAGTCAAGACAAACAGGATTCTTAAGAGGATGTGAACAGCCACAACAAAAAACTTGGTCAGCCATAACACAGCCATCGAAAAACAGATTCTCTTAACGCCGTACTATTTTGAGCCGGGAGCTTCTCGCTTATCATGTACACATACAAATCAGTTCCTCGGAATTTGCCGTTCCGCGCCGTTTGGGCTTTTCCAACTGCTTTGAAACCAGATCGAGAAAAACACATCCATAATTTATAGCTTAATTCTAAAGCTTTGAACTAAAGGGCATTTAATGATAATTCTACGTGACATGAGAAGGCAAAGGTGTGTGCTTTGATAAAAATAATCTTTAATTGGGAGCTGTTGTTGACGGTAATTTTTGTCGGATTGTCCTCACACTAAAGCACTTTTGATGGATTTTCCTCACAATAATGAACTTCTGATTACTTCTTTTGGAACCGCAGTTCATTACTTGCTTGGAATTATTCTGATTGCCCCCAAGAAACTATCGTTGTTATAATAATAATTGCATTGTTCACGATAATATCTGACAGCATCCCCAGTTAGGAGACTAGTGATGCGCCAGATGCTAATCCAAACAAACATTCAATGCCACATACAGTTAGTAACAGTAAATTGATATGGAAAAGAATATTTGATGTTTGATAGTGAGTTTGTTGTGACAGTCGCTGATCTCTTGGTAAGACGACTCAATCAAAAATTGTTTCGTCAATGGGTCGTCCACGACAAAGTTTTAGACAAGAAGACAACCTCCAGTAAAAAGAGTTGATTTAAAAAATTACGCAACTAAACGAAGGAAACATAATACTTGTACCCTAAGCATTACACTTAATATATGATTGCTTGTGTAGTCTTAAATGCATTGAAAACAATTTTACTTAATTTTATTTACTTCTTACCTCCATCAGTTGTAATGTCACAGTAGACCTTTAGAGGTTTTCCGTTGTTCTCGAGGTCGATCCAGTACTCTCCGTCTTTTTTAAAGAAACCTGAGTTCCGAATATCCTTACGGGAATGGCCAGGCTGATTGTAGTATAAGGCTCTGATAGCTACACAAAGAAATGCAGTGTTATCTCTATGTGGGCTTCCTAGATTTGTTAGCATGTTCCGGACTTCAGACGGTTTTTATAATGAAATATCTAACTGAACAAAAAATAGTTTATAGAGTTTTATGATACCGTAAAATACTTTTGCCGACCTTTTGGAAAAAAAAAACAGCGTTTAGCACTTACAGAATTCGCGCAGTTATTATTCCTTATTTCATGTTGTCAGGTCGCACTTATTAGTAACAGAGAAACTGTATGAAAGACGCATTTTGCTGAAAATTATATTATGCGAAGGTATTTACGCGCATAGAAGCGTGCATATTCGCTACGCAATCGCTCCCTTTATTTTCCGTAGAAAAAGTTATGGTTAAAACAAATCTTCCAGTTTTGAAAAATCGTAGTTTACAGAATTTTAATTCTTAAAGAAAACCGACCCCGACAGAGCCATAGTATATAAATCCTTTGTTGTGTTTGAAATCGCCTTTTGTTGTCCAAATCACAAATTCTGTTTCCATTGCTGTCACTGGGATGAACATTGACCAACTTACAGCTGTTATTTCCCACATGCATTTCAACTGACATTGAGGTTCTTCAATGACAGCAGTCATTTCCATAACATGACCGACTAAAGCAAAGTCTCAAAGGCAAAAACTCAAAGTTTAGTCTTGTTCAATACAATGGGGCCAGTAAGCGAGGGCTAAATGCATTTGATTGGCTTACTGACCAACATGAGTCTTAAAAACCCTTCCACAAAAGTTTGTTATTTGCCAGGATAATGAGATTTCCTTTGAATAATATTAGCAATAACAGGCTGGCTAAGCCATTCAAAAGCCATCGTTTTGGTTAAAAAATCGTTTTTTACGATTCTTGTATTTCAGTCTTAAAGGAACCTCTTTAATCTAGATTTCAGAATAAATTTAGTCAATTATTGATGAGTTATCCTCAACTTGAAGTCAATGCTTTAACGGAATTTGCGGCAATTCTATGTCATTTTCTTTGAGGAAAAAAGTCTACTTAAAAGACAGAAAAATCAGCGAATAATGAATGGAAGTATTCTCTCACGATTGCGTGAAGCTTATGCCAAATCATTGCGTTTAAGGTTAAAAATTCAAACAGTAAAGCTGCCCGGCATCCAACTGAATGGATTCTTTTGAGTTAATACAATCGAGCTTTTCGTAATCGAATGAAATCTAAATTCAAGATAAATACAATTAATAATCGATGACCCATCCTTACATTACAATTGCTTACCAACCCCTTGTCGTTAACTTTAATATAATAAGTTAAAAACAAGTCAAAAGACTATTAAAAGTAGATGAAAGAGTTCTTTCAAGATGATGTGATGCTAAGGCAAAATACTACGTTTGAAGCTGAAATTGTCCATAGCAAAGCCGTCCGGTATCTATCTGGATGGATTCTTTTGGGCTAACACAATTGAGCTTCATCATCATCAACTTATTCTTTGTAGTTGCTTCAGTATTATCTGACACTAACTACTGTGGAGAGGTTTTTGAAAATCAAATCGGTAAGTAAACAATGTAGGGGCCAAAAGTTCAACGCTTTAAGGATCTCTTTGACACCAAACGTATCTTACTCCTTCAGACCATGCTTTACTGGGTCACGTCATAAGCAAAACTGTTGTTGTAGACGAGTTTGAATGTCAGCTGAAATGTATGGGGAGTGATAGTTGCAAGTCGTGCAATATTCATCCAAGAGACGGTTACGTAAGCCGAATTTGCGAGCTGAACAACAAAACCAGGCAGATGAAGCCACGTGATTTTCAACTGAAGAAAGGATCAAACTACTATGGCTACACACGGGTCAGTTTCAAAGATTTTGTATTTCAGTTTATTCATTGTATCGCCTCGTTTCGTATTATTAGGAAATATTTTTTTGTGAATGATTAGATTTGGATTTCTATCTATGCAAATTAAATTTGTAGATAGTCCTCTACATCTCCTCTCCCGTTGATCGAGTAGGAAGAGTGCTGCGTGACGAGATCCAGTGATGGTTGTGAAGTCGAATAATATATGAGTCCGCCGATCGCTGTAATCAACTGGCCTAACAATCAACTCTTTGCGTGAAATAGTGAAAACGCATGAAGCTTCATTGTCTTATTAAAGATCTGTGAAGCCTCTTTGCTTTATTATTTGCTCCTAGTCTTAAGCTCCCTCGATCGTCACTCTGCTTGTAAAACAGACAATCAGAAAGAAACAAGAAATTATGTTTCCATGGCAATGCCGTGAAAATTAAGGAAGAATTTTGTAACAGGTCTTTTAATTTTACCCAGGCCTCCTGCATGGATGTTCCCTCTAAAAGGAATGAACAAAGTGAGAAAGGTCATTGTCACCCGGGATACCGAGGAACGCGCTGTCAATTCCGTGAGTGATAACATCCCTTGATTTTCTTCTCATAGATATGGACTGGCCCCGATATTTAAACCCTTAAAATCTCTTTCTCTGGAAAACAAATGCATGAAAAAGCAATAGAAAAAGAGGAAAGAGAAGAAAGGAAGATTTGATGAAATTTTATGGTTCGTATACGTTGGTTTATGACACAGGAGAGGGCGTTATTTTCTGTCATTTCAAAATTTGTCCTATTGTCGCTAGTTGCTATGATGCAAAGTTTACATCCCCATTTTGCCGAGCAATCATATGGCGACTTAATTAATGACAGTGCGATTAGCTTTTATTTCAATGCACGTTCTATTTTCCTCAATAGGTAAAATAGGTTTGCGTTCGCAACCTGCAAACTCCTGTAAGGACATTCGGGACTCAGGAAACTCAAGAGGAGACGGGGAGTACTGGATCGACCCTGAGAAGACTGGAAACCCTTTGAGAGTCTTTTGTGACATGACAACTGACGAAGGTTAAAATTATTTAAACAGTGTACGAGCTTGTGTAGAGTAAGGTTGACCGCTTCTCTGGAAATGTTTTGTCATTGCTTATAAAAAATGTTAAAGGTACCACAATTTGCCATGGTGAATCTCTATTCCTCAGTTCTGAGTAGTTTACAGGTCATGGTGTGTTGGCTCATACACCATGAAAGTCGCAGATATATTTCTTCGCAGACTAAGCCAAGTATTTTTTCCATGTTTCTGGCAGATTTAGAGGTATTTCTTTGGGCGCTATAATTATAGAACAATTATTTTTTTCGAACTTGTTATTTAAAGAATTTTGGCTCACGCGTTGTCGATATTCAGCCGCTGGATACCTTAAATGCACACACCTTAAATACGTAGGTTACCTACAGACTTGGACAAAAAGGTTTTAGAAAATGCATACAGTATATGTTTTATCATATCCCGCCACATTCGGCTGCGACTGTTTTCTTTCCATATAAGAGATCAGTATTAACAAAAGGTGATACAAGCTAAATGTAATTTTTTACCAGGAGGCTGGCTTCTTGTGTCAAATTTTGTAATCGGCAACCCATCCTTCCCACAAGTGAAGCTTGAGACTTCGTACCATGGAATCAGCGATTGCCTAGAAAACAACACATTTCTGAAGAAAACAGCGGTAGAGGGACTGATGACACATATGCCTTTCACTCAGCTGAGATTCCATTGTAGCAAAGTGCGGGGACGTACGTTTCACGTGACCACGGCTGCTAACAGCTCAGGTGAAGCGGTAGTCCAGTACCTCAGTGGTCAGACGAATGACAAGCCCGACTCCTGTGGGTCGTTTGTGAGAATGGAAGATGACAACTCCAAATTGGCAGAAATGTGTGACCAATGGAAAGGTGGTAAAGGAGAAGGAGCTCCATTGGGTAAATGGGGAGAAGACTCATTATATGATCACACTGTCTTTGTGCATTTCTCAGGACACTGGTTGTTACAAACGGGAAGATTTGAATGTGATGACTTCAATCGTGTGGAAAAGTTTGTTCAATTGTCGTCAGGCGATTTTTGGAAGGTTTTTGTGCGTTAGTCTCTCACATATGTAAATACTATGACTACTTATCGCCAGGCAAATTGGTTCATAATCTATGTAATCACTCAGGGAGAACAAGTAGATGAGAAAGCCTATCAAACTACGGAAATGTTTCTTGATCAAAGAAAAGAATTTTTACGATTTTTTGTATCTCACTAAATACAAAAATAGTTTCATTTAATGCGATGTGTGATGCAGCAATTCGAATTGCTTTTTTTTTTTTCGAGTGCAGAAGAAAGGGACTTTGTGGAGGCTTACTAAGCATAACCTTAAATGTTTCAAAAGTACGAGAAACAGGAATGATCTCTGCTGAAAAATACCCGGCTGCACCTTACAATTTTTTTTTCTCGGTTTGGATAAATCTTACGTCTAATTTTGTCTTCAGATGGCCAGACATTCTTTCTTTTCGAGCGAAAAACTTTTAAACCCGTAGACTAGCCACAGGCACCGTCCTCTTCATCTTCAACTTTATCGTCAATAGGGAACTCAACCTTTAGCAAAGGTTCAACGAGAAGCAGTCCAGGGACAAGTCGTTCAAAGGCCGACCAGCGCTAACCCAGGGTTAGATTTTAATCCAGGTTTCTTTACATCTTTTTTCCAAATTCTTTTAGGGAAAAATTTCCCTAGTCGTTTTTTAGAACATCCGATGATCAAATTGCAAGCAAAAAGATTTGAACTGAATCTTCTTTTAAAGCTTACAGACCTGGCATCAAATTCCACACTAACCCTTGGTTATCTTAACCCAGCTTTGAACAACCCGGGCCTGGTGGCTATGCCCTCTTAACTAAGTCTTGTAGAAAGAAGATTTTGTTTTGACTTCTTCTACGTTGTCATTAATCAGCAATTGAAATGTTGTTCTGGATAATTTTTTTTTGTTATGGATATTGACTGTAAAAAGTAAGTACCTAGAAATTTGTAGAATGCCTGGCCATAATGACTTGCATATTTAAACTTTGTATGGAACCTTCTAGAACTTACTATCAAATCATCATGTTGTGATGTAGTACTACCATGAAATAGTTGTGTTGTAAGCTTCTGGAATGTTCTGGAATATTTTGTAAATTTATATAAGGTTTCAGTCGTGTAGTTGCTGTTGTTGTTGTCGGGGGTGATGGACTGTTTGGAAAGCAATTCTGAGAGAGAACAACTGTGGAAGATTGTTCATTTTAAGGAACTTTGGGACAACTGTGAGATTGTGTCTGTGTTGAGCAAAGATATAGTTTGTAGTAAGCTTAAGTAAGGATCGTTACTTTAATGCCTTTAAGAGTCACTCTTTATTAAGAACATTACACGTTTTCTAAAAAAGTAGTCGAGTTTGTAGGAGGGTAGTGTTGTTTCTGTCGGTTGAACTATACCGTAACACTTCATTTTTTGTGTGTTTTCTGAACAAACTTGATCAGTGATATAGTTAGCTTTAAGAAGAAGTCACAGTACAACACTGTTCTGACAGCAAAGAAGGTAACTGTACTAAAATGCCGGACACCATGTAACTTCTTTTCGTTGTTGTACAAAGCATTCACTTTCTCAATTAACTCTTCGCGCACAGATTGTAACCACAACATCCTGGCTGATGTATAGCTAAAGGAATTTTTTCATTTGATTCGCGAGATGTAAATAACTAAATGGTATTGTCCTGAGTCGCCTTGGTGCAGCTTTGAGCAACGGTAATGGAACATAATCTTAAACTGTTCGCCAAGACAGCCCACGGTAGCCGTTTCCTAAATGACTTCCGTTGTTTGTCTGATTAGTTGCGCGTCACTGCATTTCCGGAAATGAACAGGTAACCAATCAAAATTAGTTAAATTAAAAACCGGAAGCACTGTCCTCCGACGAAAACAAACACACGTAGATCCGATTAGTGAAACGGTGAGGCAAGTTATTTCGGCTTGGAAAGAAATGGCTTCGACAAAACATCCTCTGCGGTCACAAATATGATCTGATATTTGCTGCACTTTATATTTTCCGAACAACAATCCTTAAGTATATCCGCCGTTAATCTATTTGACGATTTTTCTTCTGTTTGATCGTAAACGATACTTTGAAGCAACAAACAACAGCACTCAAAGGTTTACCCGCTATAAGTTGTTTGATGCAAACCGGCATACTCTGGTGAAACGGTGTAGCAGTGATCATAAAAAATACTTTGAAGAGGAAAAACGACGACTTCGCTCGAAGATTTCCCCGGCATAATTTCCTTCATACGAACCAACACTCGAAATATCAGGCTTTTTCTAAAGCCAGTTGGCAACACGGCCAGTAAATCCTTTCCATAAACCAGTGTACAAATTACTTCTTTTTGTTGCGATTTTAATGCGCGAGACAGATTAAATTCCGAACGACACTTTTGTGCTTCCTCGAAAGCGGAATCGGAACGAAGAACTTTACAGTTTCCGGTGCTTGCCATCTTTCGCATTTTCCCGCAAGAGTAACATGTTCAAATGACACATTTGGTTTGTGACTGACAGCTGGAGCTTAACCGCACCAGTCAGGAACTCCTTTCGTGGGCGACCGCCCCCTTAGTATAAAATCTCTTTCTTTCCCCAGCCTTCCGCTGCCATAAACTGCCACAAACGGAGCACTCGCTCGCCAAAATTACGCCTGCTCTGCAGGCTATATGTAGCTTAGTGGTGGAGTACATCCAAAGGACTGGGGTTCTTTGGAGACTCCATTCTTTTTTCTCTGCTCCACGCTCTTGAAGATATGGACGACATCTTTCCTTATAACGGAAGTTTTATAAATGACAAATCATTATTTCGAACCTTATGTTTGTTCATGATTGATAATTTCTCATTGCTTTAGTACATGGGCGGAACTACTACCTTTTAAAAAGAAACTGGTTTTTTTCTTCCTTTGTAAAGCTATGAAAGGTTTCCAAACCTCTCCTGCTCATTCTGTAAGGACATCTGGGACTCAGGCGACTCCAAAGGAGACGGGAAGTAATGGATCGACCCGGAGGAGAATAGAAATCATTTTAGGTGCTACTGTGACATGACAACGGATGGAGGTGACTTGTTGACGATCGTTCACACAAACGCAATTTTAACATATTTTCTTCCGTTTACGCCGGTTAATAATTTTGAGATTGTGATGTAGCTACCCCAGAATGTGAGTGATAAGGGTGAAATTTGGGGCTTTATGCTGGTTCTTATACAAGTGTGAACTTCGTTAAAACATAAGAATTCCTTAGTTAATTGAAAAATGGAAAAAAAAATTTTAAGGTACCTGTTCGGGAGCGATAACGAAAATCTCCCAAATGCGATTAAACTGGAAAACACAAGCGATAACGAAAATCTCCCAAATGCGACTAAATGCCACTAAAACTGCGACTACAACTGCGACTAAAATGCGACTAAAACTAAGACAACACACGTGAGAAATCGTAAGCGTAACTTGCTTACGACTGATTAACGTTAAATGTCTCAGCGCGCGCGCTAATTGCACGACACGCCAGTCCGGTACTTTCGTCTTAACACTACCCTTTCTGAAGTCGTGGGCATGTCGCATTTCTCGTCCGACCACTGTTTAGAACTCACGTTTAATTTAGTAATTACGTTTGAGTGCGAGCCAGGAAAACTGCCTCGTTCGTGCAGCCTCGACCTGATGTGTAAGCCTCGAGTTCGTGTCCTTCAGTGCAAGTCTCATGTCTTAACACGCCTCCGAACTTTTCTAACGGGGTATTTCGCTGATTTATAAATTAGGGGTTCATTGCAATAGTATATTGAAGGAGAGGATGGAGGATGGGCGTTCCTTTCATTACGAAAGACGTGCATATGTCATCAAGTGGACAAGTACAAGCGTTTGGCGTCGTGTACTATGTTATCCTCTGAGTCTACTTGAGTAGTCACTGCACTGCTTCATCAATTCAGGGGGCTGGGTTCTGGTCTCCAACATTGTGTTTTACAGTATATCATCCCTTCCACGCCTCTCAGTTGAGGTATCACACCGAGGAATCAGTCACACCAACAATGACAAAGCTGTGCTCATGGCAAGCGCTATGAATGAACTGAGAAAACTTATGCCTTTCACTCAATTTAGATTGCACTGCAGCAAGCAACAGGGACGTACGTTCCACGTGATCACCGCCGCTAACAGCTCTGGGGAAGCTTTTGTCCAATACTTAAGCGGTCAGACGGATGTGAACCCCTTGGTTCTTTTGTAATAATGAGTGAAAGACGACAACCTCAGATTAGCAAGAATGTGTAATGAGTGGAGGGAAGAAAAAAGTGTTACCGATGAGAAATGGGGGTTTCGAAACAAAGATGAAAAGAGATTGTTCATTTACCCTGCATTTAAATTAAAAAATAAAATTATAATTGGAAAACAAATGAAGATTGCTCGATATTACTTTGTGATAATTGAAATGCGAAACTTTATCCAATAAATTCTGGAGATTTTTGGCGGGTTTTTGTGCGTCAATCGTTAAATTGTCAGCAAAATGAGTACCCCAGACGCAAATCATCATAATTAAAGAAAATTGGTGGTGTGAAATTTCTGATGTAAATTGGTAGCCAATGACATTCCAGGAGAACAAGAGTCTACATTGCCATCGTTGTGGATTTACTGGCCCATACATACTTCTTAAATTTCGAAGTATAAATAGATCGGAAAAAGTGCTAATATATTTTCCCAATAATTTTTCCAAGTGAACCCTACTAGAGATTGAATCCAGTTCGGGTGGTAATTTTGTTTTTTTTTAATTTGATTGCGAGTCTTCTTTCAGCTGTGCTGTGAGAAAAATTTTTTAGAATATGCCGCCCCCTGGAAAAATAAAGTCCACAGTCGTTATGAAAAGATAGACATAAGAGTCTCCATTATGGTCTCTTCTATCTGAATAATCAGGAAAACGCGGAAATCCTTTGTTCGTTAAACATTTAAAGGTTCATCTATCCCAGCCCTTTTTTGATAGATTGTTGACATATGTTTTATTTGTTCATTTTTATTGAGATTTCAAAAGATTTATTCCGTCTCTCCATCGCAGTCATCATCAGTCGTTTCCT